AGATAGATAGAGAAACATCAGTGTGAGAGTAAAACATCCATTGGTTGCCTCCTGCACATCTGGGCCAGCAATCAGGGTATGTGCCTTGACTGGGAATCAAATCCACAACGTTTTGTTTCCGTGCAAGGGATTACCTTTCAGTGAGTGGGATGGGGCTCCATAAATTGAGCCATGGGGGCTCTAGTCAACCCTCTTGACTGGAACCTGTATGAATTTTTCATTGAGCTACTAATGGAGTGTGTGTTCAGTTTCTCCAAATGTATACTTTTACCCTTTTTGTTTGTTATTAAGTTTCATTACATTTGTAGACAGAGAATATTAACTATGTATAAAGCTGTTCCTATTGGAACTTGAAGAAACAGATACCATAAAGAGAAGAAAGAGTCATGAAGCATCCACACATACACCCCAAAACTGGCATATAATAGAAATGTCATTTCTGATGAGATAGGTATCTGATGAGAATGGCATTTCTGAGGAGATAGGCAGGGGAGGGTGGGGCAAAGGTGATAGAACTTTTAAAAGAATATTCTCAGATAATTACTTATCCTTATGGGAAAATGTAAGCTTTAATATCTTCCTTTTTCTTACACCAACATAAATTCCAGATTAAGACAAGTGTGGGGAAAAATATCTAGAGGAAAATAAGAGAGTATTTCTAGCGCATCATACCTATTGCCTCTATGTATCCTTATCTTCATATCTGCATTTAAATACTATACTCAACAGAGCATCCAGAGGGGTCCTATTAAATGTAAGTCAGATCATGTCACCCTTCCGTTCTAAACCTTCCAATTGATGGCTTCCTATGGCACTCAAACCACAATCCTAAATCCTCACAATAGCCTTCAAGGCCCTCCCTTTTTCAGACACTCTGGCCCCATTATTGTCATTATTGTTTATGAAAAAAGCTAGGTGCTCCTGTCTCAAGCCATTAGGTATTGTTTGTTTGGGCTACAAATTCTTTTTTGTTGAAAGTATTACATATGTCCCCCTTTTTGCCCCATTTATTCATTCTAGCCAGTCCCTTCCCACTGCCGCAGGCCTTCAGCACCCTATTGTCTGTGTCCAAGGGTTATGCATACATGCATACAAGTCTTTTGGTAGATCTCTTCCCACTCGCCCACCCTGACCTCCCTTTCCTCGAGATTCCTCAGTGTGTTCCATGCTTCTATGTCTCTGAATCCACTCCATTCATCAGTTTATTTTTTTCATTAAATTCCACATATGAGTGAGATCATGCGATACTTGTCTTTCTCTGACTGGCTTATTTTGCTTAGCAGAACTCTCTCCAGGTCCCTCCATGCTATTTCAAAGGGTAAGATATCCTTTTTTTCTGTGATATAGTATTCCATGGTGTAAACGTACCACAGCTTTTTTATCCACTCATCTACTGATGGGCACTAGGGCTGTTTCTAGGTCTTAGCTATTGTAAATTGTGCTGCTATGAACATAGGGGTGCAAACATTCTTTCTGATTGTTTTGGGTTTCTTAGGATGTATTCCTAGGAATGGAATCCCTGGGTCAATTGGCAGTTCCATATTTAATTTTTTGGAGTTAAGTGGAATTTTGGAGTTTAGATTCTAGTCCTTCCACTCTAAGTTATTGGGACAAAGTTTGCCTTTGAGGTTTTCCATTTGTAATTTAGGAATAACAGCCACAGCCTTAGGAGATAATAGATATCTCCTTCTGTATAAAATGTATAATATAGTAACAGACATTCATATGTACGCATTATATTTTGGCTGAATCGGTATGTAATACATTCAAAGTTAATATTGTTTAAAAGTTATTATTATTATTTTGCATTTTACTTTGTAGTTTAAATAGGTTTAGATTGGTATGGGCTTTCACAGTCCTCTGGTGTATTTCACTTAAATTTCTCAACAACTTCACTGACAGAAATTCTACCAGTTCCACCGCATTTCTTTTATATTTTCAGACTGTAATTGTCAGGCAGTTACTTATAACTTTTATCTTTTTGTCTTATTCTTATTTTCTGGAAGCTTTAATTGTCTTAACTTCAAACATGTGAATGGATCATGCATTAATTTCCTACTGCTGCTGTAACAAATGACCACAAACAGTACTGTAAAGCAAAACACAAATTCATCCTCTTACAGTTCTAGAGGTCAGACCCGTGGGAGGTGCCTTGACAGGCGCATTCCTTCTGGAGGGTCAGCGAAGAACCTGTTTTCTTGTCTTTTTCAGCTTCATTGCTTGGCTCATGGCTCATGGCTCATGGCCCTTCTCCCTTGTTCCAAGCCAGCAATGGCTGGGCAAGCCTTCTCGTGTTATCTCACTCTGACAGTCTTCTGTCTCACGTGTTCCTCTGCTTCCCTCCTATAAAGACCCACGTGATGGCACTGAGCCACGTGGGTAATCCCGGGCAATCTCCTCATCCCCAGCTCTTTCATCTGCCATCGTATGTAAATGAACATATTTACATGTTCTGAGGATTAATTAGGACATGGACGTCTTTAGGGGATCATCATTCAGCTATCACATATCTAAATCTCTCTCTTTTAACGTTTTATTAAAATAAAATACACTCTCACAAAGTATACACATTTTGGGTGTATGGCGTATGAATTTTCTCAGCCTGAACAAGTTTCTAGATCAAGAAATAGAAGGGACCCTGTTCCCCAACACCCCGCCCTTGGTGCTGTCTCCCAGTTACTGTCCACACCCTCTGCCACTGCAGGTTGACTTCTCTGTCCTACTATCAGAGGTTATGCACTTCAGTGAAATCACAAAGTGTAGACTCTGTATCTTATTTTGCTCAACATTATGTTTGTACATTTTATCCATGTTATTGTTAATAGGTGTCCTTTATTTTCATTGCTGTACAGTATTTCAGTGTATAAATATACTACAATTTACTTATATACACATGCTTATGGACATTTGACTTTTTAAAAAATATATATATTTTATTGATTTTTTACAGAAAGGAAGGGAGAGGGACAGAGAGTTAGAAACATCGATGAGGGAGAAACATCGATCAGCTGCCTCCTGCACACTCCCCACTGGGGATGTGCCCACAACCAAGGTACATGCCCCTGACCAGGATCAAACCCAGGACCCTTGAGTCCGCAGGCCGACGCTCTATCCACTGAGCCAAACCAGTTAGGGCCATTTGACTCTTTCTGAAGAGTGTGCCATGAACTTTTGCATGCCTTTTTGTGAATGTATGTACTGTGCTCATTTCCGCTCAGAAGTGGAATCACTGGACCATTGAGTATGCATGTGTTCAACTTTAAAAAATACTGACAGCCTGGTTGGAGTGGCTCAGTGGTTGAGCATCGACCCATGAACCAGGATGTCACTGTTTCATTCCTGTTCAGGGCACATGCCCGGGTTGCAGGCTCAATCTCCAGTAGGAGGAGTGCAGGAGGCAGCCAATGGATGATTCTCTCTCATCATTGATGTTTTTATCTCTCCCTCTCCCTTTCTCTCTCTGAAATCAATTAAAAAAAACATTTAATAAATATCGCCAAATAGATTTCTAAAGTGGTTGCAATTAACACTGTTACCAGTAGCAGTAAGAGGGTGCTAGTTGCACCCTATATTTGCTCCTGCTTGGTATCGTCTATATTTTTTATTTTAGTTCTTACGGAAATGGTTTAGTAATTTTCATTTACATTTCACTGGATAATAATGAACTGTAGCATTTTTAGATATGTATATTGACCATCTATATGCATTTGTATATGAAACTTCCCTTCAAATCTGTTGGGTTATCTTTTTCATATTGGTTGTGGAACTTATTTATAAATTCTAGTTCCAAGTCCCTTTTTAATTGTATTTGCTGAACTAATATTTTCCTATTCTGTGATTGCCATTACATTCTCTTAATCAGAGTTCTTAATTTCAGTGTTGACCAGTTTACCATTCTTTCTGTTTGTTATTCGTGTCCTTTGTACCTACTTTAAAAAATATATATACTTTTTTATTGATTTTAGAGAGAGAAAGGGAGAGAGAGAGAGAGTGGGGGCGAGATTAACATCATTGTGAGAGAGAAATATTGACTTTCTGCCGCCTGCATGCCACTACAGGAGATGGAGACCACAAACCAGGCATGTGACTTGATCAGGAATCAAACTTGTGACCTCATGGTCCATGGGACGATACTCAACAAACTAAGTCACACCATCAGGTAAGGGCACCATCATGTCAGGGCACTGTCATGTCAGGGCACATACCTAGGTTGGGGGTTTGATCCCTGGTTGGGGCTCATATGGGAGGCAACTAATCAATCAATGTTTCTCACAGCGTTGTTTTTCTCTCTCTCTTTTTCTTATTTCCTCTCTCAAATCAATAAACATATCCTTGGATGAGGATTTAAAAAAATAATCTGAGATACTTTTTTTTTACTTTTACTTTTCTTCTATACAGCAATACTATATACCTTTGAATTAAAAATATAAATTAAATTATATAACACACAGGAGTGTTGAAGTTTTAACAATTAATCTGATGAGACATTTGGCCATGCACTTTTTTTTAATTGTCATGTGTGAGACTTTCTCTTTTACATAAATGTTAGAAATAAAGTCAGTGGTGGTCCATTTCAAGGCAAGGCATTTAACCCTGAATGGAAAATGACTGGTAGTTTGCTAGCATAGCAGCCTGTGGACATGACAAAGTTCATGCACCTGGAGGGTCCCCGGGCAAACAGGATGCTAGGGAGGGGCACATTGACAGAGGAACTTAAACTGGAAAGGAAAGAATACCCTATAAGGAAACAATGAAACTTAGGTGAGGTCCGGGAAGATTGTATACCCCCTAGTACTCAGCCAATGAGGAACCAAGGGAGGGACCTGAGCACCAGGGAATAAAATGTGGGTTGTAAACCCTTTGGGTGTGCCTGCCCACCAGACACCTGATCTTGCCAGACCAACATTAAACACCTCACTTTTGCTGTACTTTGTGTCTCCATGTCCATTATCTTTATTTAATTTTGGACCGGTGAGTGTGTTTCCCATAATGCATAAAGATTAACACATTCTCAGAAGAACACAAAGTAGGCACAATAGATTACATGCTGCCAACTGTGGTGCTTCCCCCTTTGGTTCCCAATTTGGATATTCTGTCAATAAAAAACAACAGTTAAGAGCTCAAGTTAGTTTCAAGGGACCAAAGTAATTAAATCAATTCTCAGATAGTTTTATACATACCTACAAGTCTTTCACGTGTTTCATTTCCTACAATAGAAAAAAGTAATATAAAATTAAAAGTATTCATTTGCTTTTTGGGCTTTTAGAATAAGTTAATGAACTTAGTAAACAAAAATTGGCTTTTTAGCTTAAAAAAAAAAATAATGAAAGTTTCCTCCCCAAATCCTGTTGTACTTAAAATCCGTGTGATGCTCTCTGCCAACAATGTCATTTCCACAAATATTTCTAAAATGCCTTTTGCGTTGAAGGCATAAAAGCCAAACATAGACAAAACTATATCACTTTATATTTGATACTCTGTCATACCCATTTAAAAATCTCTGAAAAAGGTAGTCCTTCATGTAGTGTTTTGGGTACCCACAGCCTTCCATGAAATATCTCACTCATTTCTGCACTGGCCCTTGCTCTGAATTTTGCTCAATGTCTTTCCCCCTTCAAATTATTCTCCCCTATTTACTGTTTGATCAGCAATCTGCAGTTTGTAAGGAATGCATTTATTTATTTGTTTGTTTGTTTGCTTATTCATTCATTTAGTCCTTCTTTTCTTCCTTTTTTTTTTTTTTTAATTTTTGGCTGTGTATTGAGCATGAGTACAGCCTTTGGACATAATGGTTATCAGAACCAAAACAAAGTTCCTCTCCTTACAGAAAAATAAGGAAAGAAAATCTATCATCAATTTAAAAATGGACTAAGGAAATAAAAATGATCATTACAGAGAGTGATTAGTACTATAAAAAAACAAAATGCCTCAAAAGATAGACAATAATGAGGAACTTTAATACCTAAAACTTGTTGAGAGCTTACTTTATTTTGCACTCAATCACTTTGTATGACACTTAAATGCTTTTAATCACCTCCTCAGTAAAGCCACCTCACATAAGTTCAGGAGGCACAGAGAGGCCCAAGCAACAGTCAAGATTTTGTTTAAAAAGCGATAAAAAATAATAAGAAAATAAGAATACAGGAAACAATAAATAAACAATAATAAAGGAGGAAACAGGATGTGATAAAAGTTTAAAAAAATTAAAAACCACCCTGTATCTATCTCTTTGCAATAATTTCAAAATATTAGTTAAATGAACCAGTTTTTAAAAATATACTTACTCAAAAAGGAGTTGAGAGTAAAAGTAAATTTTAAAAAATTAAACTTACAATGTAATACTTAGAAACAGTATCCAGAAAGCAAAAAAAAAAAAAAAGTAAAGAAATACTATGATGAAGTTTACAACATTAAAGAAAGAGATTGGGGATCATTTGAAGAGATGCAGAAAATATCTTGTAAAATTAAACATTCATTCAAGATAAAAGATCACAGCAAAATAAGGAAAGAGAAAACTAACATAATCTGGCCATAAGGACTAATTAAAAACACTTTAAAGCAAAAATACATAATTTTGAAACATGTCCTAAAAAATATGGAGCAAGAAAATGGTCTCCACTGTTATAAATCACTATAGGCCCAGTTCATGAAAATTTATGCACTGGAGGGGGGGGTCCCTCAGCCCAGCCTGTCCCCTCTCACAGTCCAGGATCCCTCAGGGGTGGGAGGTGACCTGGTGATCAGGGGAAGGTGATGCCCCATCACACCTGTGCTGCTGCCACTGCTGCCAGCAAAGCCTCAGCCAGCCCTGTTTACCTGACCCTGGGTGGCTCTGGGTGGCTGCGCAGCCACCATCCGAGGCTTGTGTGCGCCTTAGGCTGCGTGGGAAGCTGGAGGGGCTGAGGGTGGGTCTGGCTGCACTGTGTTCCTGCCACCCCCCTGGCTTGGCTGAAAGGACTGGGGGGCTCTGGTGGGGCTGAGGGAACTGGGCAACGCCATCTTGTGGCTATGGGCACCACCATTTGTGATGGCATGATGGTCAATTTGCATATTCCTTCTTTATTAGGATTGTATTGGAAGATTCACTGACTATTAATATTAGTAAAATAAATAACTGATGTAAAGTTTATATGACAAAACATATTTTTTATAGAGAACATTAAGAAAATACAAGAGTATTAACCAACTATTCATAAGAGAATTATGTAAGATTTCTGGATATTAGACTAATATAAAAATAATTTATATTCTATAAATTAGCAAAAATCAATTAGGAAATATAATTTTAATATGCCATTTTAAAACAACAAATACATGCTACTAAGGAATCTAACTTGGTGTGCAAGGTCTTTACTGAGAAAAGTTTAAAACTTAACTGAAAGACATTTAAACCCAAATAATCTTTATTAATATAAATAGTCAATGTAATAAAGATGTTAATCCTTCTTACATTTACCTATAAACTCAATGTAATGCCAACCACAATTTCAAGGTCTTCTATGGAATCGATGAGCTTATCATCACATTAATTTCCAAGAGTAAAGGACCAAGAATCACCAAATATTTGGAAATAGTTGGAAAAGGAACAAGTTGGAGAAAACACCTCCTAGCAGGTCTCAAAGTTTATTGAGCCTTTGCAGTTTGTGCAGTGCTGTATTGGAGACCATTGTCAATACCTACTTACGTCTCAGCAATGTAGTCGTTTGGGACAGACAAAAGCGGTTGTCAATCACAGCTAGAAAATCCAAATCAAATACAACAAAACAGTGATTAAGAGCATCAGAGATTCAAAGCAACAAAGACTAGAGCAGTGATGGCGAAGCTTCTGAACTCTGCGTGTCAGCTTTTTGAAAAACCCTAACTTAACTCTGGTGCCGTGTTAAATATAGAAATTTTTTGATATTTGCAACCATAGTAAAACAAAGATGTATATTTTTGATATTGATTTTATATATTTAAATGCCATTTAACAAAGAAAAATCAACCAAAAAAATGAGTTCACGTGTCATAGGTTCGCCATCACTGCTCTATACACTGGATGTTTCCAAGACAGCAAAAGCCAAAAGCTTCCAGGTCTTTTAAAGACCAGTTTCAGAACTGGCACTATATCAAGTCCTTTATTCAAGGAGAGAAGATATATGGTCCACTCCTCAATCCGGGTAGAGGCATGCATGTAGAAAGAGAGTAGAGGCGGGGGAAGGAATAGTTGTTGGCCATTTTTCAAGTCAATGTACCACTCCAAGAGACAAAATATCCTTGCCTTAACCGGTTTGGCTCAGTGGATAGAGCGTTGGCCTGCGGACTGAAGGGTCCCAGGTTTGATTCCGGTCAAGGACATGAACCTTAGTTGCGGGCACATCCCCAGTAGGAGGTGTGCAGGAGGCAGCTGATCCACGTTTCTCTCTCATTGATGTTTCAAACTCTCTATCCCTCTCCCTTCCTCTCTGTAAAAAATCAATAAAATATATTTTTTAAAAAAGAAAGAAACAGCAACAACCTTGAAAGTAGAAACAGACCCACAGGTGATTTGGATGCTGGAGTTTTGTAAGGGGGTTGGAATATTTGAAGGTGTTGATAATGGAGCTTGAGGGTGGGGGAAGTTAATAGAAACAAGGGCTAGGCAGCTACATGGCATGGAGTCAGATTTTTCTTCAATTGCAGTAAGAAGCAAATGAGGAATTTTAAGAAAAGAAGGTATTTGATCTGATTTTCTTTGGGTAAAACAGTTTGGAGTAGAGTAGGAAGAGCATCATTAGACTGGACTAGTTCAGGAGAGTAATGACAGTGGCTTGGATACTGGGCAGGAAGGAGAAATGAAAAAGAGAGTTTCTTTGTTATCTTTTTATTTTTTCAAGGAGAAAACTCTAATTTCCAGGTGGGACATAATGCAGGAAGGTTATTTTTTAAATTGCTTTGAATGAGATCTGATTTTAGATGCACCATACTCTAAGTCATTCTTTAATTGATGTATAAAATGGATATTCAAACATACATATCTCATGGAAAGTTAATTATCACAAATTGAACATGCATAGATAACCTTTACGTATTAAGTCCCCTTTCCTTTCCAAAGGTAACCACTATCCTGAGTCCAAATGTAGAATAGTTTTGCCTGATTTTGAAATTTATATAAAGGAAATCTTTCTATGTGCTTTCTTTTTGTATCTGCCTTATTTTATGGCATTATAACTATTTCTTTTTCTTACATCTACCCCCTTCATCCATTTCACTCTATCTTCAATCAAAGAATTTATACACCTAACTTAAAAAGTATCTTTGTTCTGAGGACTAATAGGATGATGATGGAACAGAAACACTAGTTTTAAATCACAATTAATTTGGACATTGATTAACATGTTAAGCACCATGTCAGTCACCGGTGACTGACACTGTACTTTACATCAGGACTGGTCAGTCGCTGGTGTTGCCAGCATATTGGTGAAATCGGATATCGTGGGCTAAACGGAAAGGAAGACAAAACAGGCTTGGTGCTTAACGTGTTAATGTGTTACTCCTGAGTGAGTCACTATTTTAATAATCCTATATAATAAATGGGTAATATACAAATTGACCCTAATGGCGGAACAACCAGAACGACTGATGGACCAGTCACTATGAGGCGCACTGACCAAGTCCCATCCCCTGGGGGCAGGCTCCCATCGCCTGATGGCTAATGGGGAACTGAAGGTGGGTGTTGGAGGATGCAGGAGGCACCAGGCCAAGGCCCCCGTACCGCTGGTTGCCCCACAAACAGAGGGCACCCTACAGCAGGAGCTGGGCAGGAATGGCCAACCTCTCAGTCCCTCCACCCAGCTGCAGGCTCCAATTGCCCATGGGGTACCAGTTTCTATTAGTGGGAAGAAGATACAATAGAACAGCCTAGAAAAGGCAAATCTTTCCTTATTGATTCTTTATCGCCGGGCTTTAGAGAAATAATGGCCAGGTCCCCTGCTGGGTCCCTTGGAGTCCCATCTCTCCTCCTTTGCTGAACTCTGCTGGTTATCAGGTGTCCCAAGAGCAGGAGGGAGAGGAAAGCTGGACTTAGCAATGCCACCCACCTGAGGGTCAGGGGTAGCAGAGGGGCGTGGTGACCATATACCGACTTTGGAGCCACACAGACTCTGCCAGTTAGAGCTGTGTAACCTCTCTGAGCCTCAGTTTCATCATCTATAAAATGGGTATGATAATAGTACCAGCCTCATTGGAATGTTACAGCGTGTGCATAAGATTATGCATGTAAGGCTCTCAGCCCGGTGCTTGACAGGTACTAAATGCTCACTGTTGCCACTGTGATTATCTGTCCCCTGCCCTCACTGGGCCCACGAACCCCAGTGCTTAACTGGCAAGGTAGGCAGGTGTGGAAATTGCCTGCTCCATGTCCTGGGGCCTCTGGGGTACTCCAATTCTGGATTCTGGATTCCGTATACATGGGCAAGATGGTTCTGCAACATGAAACCCCTGAGGGTCAGGAGTCCAGCCTGGTCCCAGCATGTGCCCTTAGGTCTCTGGGGCAATAACCGCTGCCTTCTCTCTTCCTGGCACTGTCCTGTCCTGCCTCAGTTGTCACTCACTCCTGGAATCCCTGCATCATCTCTGTGCACATCTGTTCCCCAGCAGCCCCCACTCCGTGTGCCTCCCAGCTCTGCCCTGCACTTGGGAAAATCACTTAGCCACTCCACGCCTTTGTTTTCTCATCTGACAGCTGGGAAGAACAGTGCCGGCCTCCTGGGGTTGTGGATCAAACCAGGTCACCAGGTGCAGCACAAGTGCTGGGACCTGTTTTAAGTGGCCATTCAGTGTCAGCTGTTCTGTTACTACTGCTGAAAGGCGAGTCTCCTAGGAGTAGGGGTTCTGTGAGGTGCCCCCGTCCTGTGAAAACCCTGAATGAGAATCTTCAGCCGCTTTCAGAACCTAGGAGCTTATTAGCATAATAAACCACCTGTGAAGGACCTTTTGATGCCTATAGGCATTAACAACAAAGAGTAAAAAGCCTGAGGCCTAGATGTCTGTCCTGTATACCAATAGGGTGCTGGTTAGGTTCCCTGTCAGGGCACATGCCCAGATTGTGGGATCAATATTTCTCTTTCTCTCTTTCTTGCTCTCTCTCTCTCAAATAAATAAAAACATATTTAAAAAAATAAAGTCGGAAGTGAAGCCATTATGGTCCCATGGCTGCAAACTCTAGAAAAAAAACATAACTCAACAAGAATAAGAGACTCTTAAAAAAAGAAATTATAGCAATAAAAATAACATCGAAGTCCAATGAGGAAGAAAATGGGCATCTAAAAGAATTCATGTGGCTACAGGGGAAATCGCTAATGAGCCCAGTTTTTAAAACTCAAACTGGGAAAAATGTATTTGCAGCAAATAGTCAATAAATGGTTAGTATCTTTAACATATAAAGAGCTCACACAAATCCTATATAATAAAAGCCTAATATGCAAATTGACCAAACTATGGAACAACTGGTGGAATGACTGGTTGCTGTGATGCACACTGACCACCAGGGGGCAGAAGATCAATTCAGATGATCAGCTCAGCCAGAAGCTAGCTCATGGCTGGAGAGCGCAGCAGCGGTGGTGGGAGCCTCTCCTGCCTTTGTGACAGCGCTAAGGAGCAGTGAGCTGAGAGGTAAGGAGCAGCAAGCAGGCAGGTAGAAAGGAACAAGGGGCCCCGGACTGTAAGAGGTCACAGGCCGGGCTGAGGGACCTTCCCCTCCAGTGCACTGATTTCATGTACCGAGCCCCTAATAACTAACTAATAAAAGGAGGAGAATGGAGGCAAATGCCAATAAAATTTCAACTTGTAGTTCTTTGTATAGTAGCAAATATCTACTGTATAGCAGCACACTGGATCACAGTTATACCTCACTCCCACCTTCCTTTAGCCTCAGAGGGAAAATAATCAGTGTATCTGAGTTTAAGTATGATTTATGACAAATGAGTTATATCATCAGAGAGCAGCAAGCAAATCTTCTTCATAAATTCTCTATAAACTTGAGGAGAGCTAAATTTGAAAATATAATGAATTTATGGAAACTTTGCTCTCCAAATAGGAAATTACAATTTACTTTTTTCATTTTGCTTACTGCAGAGGCTGATTTCACAAGTGTCTTCTTTTCCACACATAGAGCAGGATGCTCCTTCAGTGTAAGGGCGGGCCCCTGCATGATTTCCTCTGTAAAAAAGGGAAACATTGAGTAGCCAAATGGCTATTTACTCCTCTAATTTTGTACATTTACTTATTTTTTGGTTGCTCATTAAGTCATGAATGTTGAAAATGACTTTTGTCTCAATTTTATGCTAATTTGTTTTGTAAAAAGATACTTTAAAACTGATCTCTACAGTGTGGTCTCAATATGTCAAAGTTATATCCTTTAAAATAAAAATTTTTATTGATTTTTTTAGAGAGCAAGGAAGAGAGGGAGAGAGGGAGAGTAACTTCTTGTTTCACTTATATATTCATTCATTGGTTGGTTGATTCTTGTATTAAAACTGCAACCTTGATGAGCAAGACCAACATTCTAACCAACTGAGCCACCCAGCCAAGGAGTTATATTCTTTAATATGCAATAAAACATAAATTAGATATGAAACCAGTGTAGTTATGTATGTGAAAGCCAAAGTTATTTTTTGTTTGTTGGTTGTAGAACACTAAGATTATCTCTTTATTTTGTAAATGGAATAGGCAAAATTTAAATAGCAAATAGAAACATATGCTTTATGGCTTATTTTAAAAGTATAATATCATCATCCTTATCTAGTCCTGTTTGATGACATACCAAAGTAATAGTACCATTTGGACAACCATTTGACAGATATTATGCCTGCTTTTCAATAGTATAAGCTGACACATTCTAACAAACCTGCTTTTTTCCATCTCAGTGTTTGTGGTAGACTTTACAAATGTTACTTAGAGTACCCAGAGAAAACATTAATAACATTAGGAACACTCCATTAAAGAATAAGCCACAATTCATTTATCCACCCATTGTTTATGGACGTTTGTGTTGTTCCGGTTTTTTACTATTACATATTAAAGTACTATGCACATTTTGAACATTCATATATGTCTCTTTATGGGCATACATTTCCTTGACTACATATCTAGGAGTGAAATAAATAGATGATATGGTCAGTGCATATTTAACTTTTTAAGGAAGTTCTACACTGTGTGCAAAATATTTGTGACACTTTATATTCCCACCAGCTGTGGTGGAGAATGCTAGTCCCTTCACATCTTCCTCTGGATTTAGAATGGCCAGTCTTTAGCCAAATTGATGTGTAGCAATATTGTGGTTTTAATTTGTATTTCCCTAATGATTAATGATACTGAGGTTTTTATCATTGCTTTTTTGCCATCTGAAAATTTTCTTTATTAACCTTTTATTCATTTTTTATCGTTTTAAGCATTCTTGATATTGAATTGTAACAGTTCTCCCTATATTCTTGATACAAGTCTTTTATCTGATATGTTTTGCAAAGACTTTCTTTTACTCCGTAGCTTATCTTTTCATTCTCTTAGCAATGTCTTTGAATAGTTGTAATTGTAATTTTAACGCAATCAACACGTCTGTTCTTCTGTGGATCATGCTTTTGGTGTGGTAGCTAAAAATTGTTGGCTATGTTAAGGGCACAAAGTTTTTATAGTTTAGGTTTTAGATTTAACTCGTAGATTACTTTTGAGTTATTTTTTTTTTTATTTTATTGATTTTTTACAGAGAGGAAGGGAGAGGGATAGAGAGTTAGAAACATCGATGAGAGACAAACATTGATCAGCTACCCCTTGCATACCCCCTACTGGGAATATGCTCACAACCAAGGTACATGCGCTTGACCAGAATTGAACCTGGTACCTGTCAGTCCACATGCCAACGCTCTATCCACTGAGCCAAACTGGTTAGGGCAGTTTTGAGTTATTTTTATAGGTTTTATTTTATGCAGATTATATATATACTAGTAGTCTTGTGCACGAATCCTTGCACCAGTAGCTCTCTGCGAGACCTCTTCACTCCACTCCCGCTTCCCAGAGGCTCTCCGTGGCCTAGAGGCACAACCGAGGCTAGGTGCGGAACTCTTGCCTCATAGCCAGGGTGACGACGCAAGTGTTCCCACCCCACACCTGCTCCCTGGCTGCTCCGTGCCTGCTGCCCAGAGGCCCTCCATGGCAGAGGTGGAATGCTTGCCTCGTTGCTTGCCTCCCTGGGACTGGGGGATTCTGGCGGGGCTGAGAGGACTGGGCACCACAATCTTTGTGATGGAGTGACAGTTAATTTTCATATTACCCCATTATTAGATAGGACATCCTATCTAATAAAGAGGGAATATGCTAATTGACCCTCACACCATGCAAAGATGGCGGCACCCATAGCCAATATGGAGGGAATATGCTAATTTACTCCTCTGCCCTCAAAGATGGCAGTGCCCACAGCCACTGGGTGGCGCCTAGTCCTCACACACCCCCAGCCACCCAGGGCTGGCCTGAGGGACAACCAAACAACTGAACAGCAGGGTGTGTTGGGCGACCAGGCTGGCAGGGGTGTTAGTGAGGGATGACCAAACGACTGAACAGCAGACTGCGTGGGGTGACCATGCCTGTGGGAGGGCTGTGAGGGGCGACCAGGCTGGCAGGGGGGGCAATTGGGGGCAACCAGGCCAGCAGCGGGGTTACTGAAGGATGACCAAATGACTGAACAGCAGGCTGCATGGGGTGATCAGGCTGGCGGGGGCCAGGCATGAAGGGTGACCGGGCTGGCAGGGGGGGGAAGTTGGAGGTAGCCAGGCCTGCAGGGGAGGTGCTTCTTTGGCAACCAGGCTGGCGGGGGGACAGTGTGGAGTGACTATGCCGGTGGGGAGTCAGTTGGGAGCGACCAGGCTGGCAGTAGGGTGCAGTTATGAGTGACCAGGCTAGCAGTTAGGGGGCAATTGGGGGTGAACAGACAAGCAGTAGCCGGAAGTTAGGGGCAACCAGGCCAGTGTAGGGGGGGGGGCAGTTAGGGGTGACCAGGCAGGTAGGCAGGTGAGCGATTAGGAGCCAGTGTTCCAGTATTGTAAGAGGGATCCTGGATTGGAGAGGGTGAAGGCTGGGCTGATGGGACTCCCCTGTGCATGAATTTCGTGCACTGATCTTCTAGTCCTATATAATATAAGAGTAATATGCAAATTGACCATCACTCCAACATACAAGATGGCCGCCCCAATGTGGTCAAAGATGACCAGCAGGGGAGGGAAGTTGGGGGGAACCAGGCCTGCAGGGGAGCAGTTAGGCGTCGATCAGTCTAGCAGGGGAGTGGTTAGGGGCAATCAGGCAGGCAGGCAGGAGAGCTGTTGGGGACCAGCAGTCTTGGATTGTGAGAGGGATGTCTGACTGCCTGTTGAGAGCTGATCCCACCAGAATTAAAGAGGGTGCAGGCTGGGATGAGGGACACACCCCTCCCTGGGCACAAATTTCGGCCCTTGCAGCCCCAGCTTCATCTGGAAGGTCATCAAGACAGTTGTTTTGCTGTTCTGCCATTCAGTCAATTTGCATATTACACTTATATCTATATCTATATCTATATCTATATCTATATCTATATCTATATCTATATCATCTATATCAGTGATGGCGAACCTATGACACACGTGTCAGAGGTGACACACGAACTCATTTTTTGGGTTGATTTTTCTTTGTTAAATGGCATTTAAGTATATAAAATAAATATCAAAAATGTAAGTCTTTGTTTTACTATGGTAGCAAATATCAAAAAATTTCTACATGTGACACAGCACCAGAGTTAAGTTGGGTTTTTCAAAATGCTGACACGCCGAGCTCAAAAGTTTCGAGATCACTGATCTATATCTATATTTATATCTATTGTAATAGATAGGTGTATATAAAGATGTAGCTAGATAGCATCTTGTTCCAGCAGCATTTGTTGAAAAATTTTTTTTCTACTGCAATGCCTTTTTGTATCTATTAAAAATCAGTTGAACACATGTGGTCAACCATGTGTAGATTTAATTTTGAACTCCTTATTCTATTCTATAGATCTATATGTCTAACTTTATGTCAATATTACAATGTTGTGATTATTCTAGCTATACTAATTCTTGAAAACAATAGTGTGTCAGCACTAACACGTTTTGCTCAGTGGATAGAGCATCAGCCTGTGGACTGAAAGGTCCCGGGTTTGATTCCGGTCAAGGGCATGTACCTTGGTTGGGGTCACATAACCAATACTGAGTGTGCAGGAGGCAGCTGGTCGATGTTTCTCTCTCATCAATGTTTCTAACTCTCTATCCCCTCCCTTCCTCTCTCTAAAAAATCAATAAAATATATTTAAAAACAAACGAACAACCAAAAATAACAATAGTGTCAGTCCTCCAAATTTGTTCTTTTCCTTAGTTGTTTTGGCTAGTTTAAGTCCTTTGCATTCCCATATCAATTTTAAGATCAACGTTTCTCAACATTTACAATAAAGGCCTGCCAGGATATTTATAATTGTGTTGAATATATATATCAATTTAGTGAAAAATTACATTTTATCAATATTTAGTCATTTATCCTATTAAAAAGGTACATCTATTTATTTTTATATGTTAATTTATTTCATGAAGATTTTATAACTTTCAATGTACCGGTCCTTCATACCTTCTGTCAGAATTGTCCCTAGATAATAGATATGTAAGGCAATATTTGTACCATCTTTATTTGTAAAAATAACCATCTGAATGCATTCCCATAGTGTATTACAGTTAAGTACTCATTACATTATTAGCATTCAGTAGGTGAAAAAGTATAAAACTGTGCTTGAGAGGATTCAGATTGGTTCAAAGTCATTCACTGAACTCAGTCATTTTCCTCATTTTTACAATCATAGCATTTATCAGCGTCATTCAACCCTAATTTACATAAGAAAACATTAAAGACAAAATCCCACTGAAATCATCGAACAATAGTTTATGCTGTTACAAATATATTATGCAAAATAGAGCACTGGCACCACATTTGTATCATCCTGCTTCACAAAGATAATATTGCATATAATAATTTATATTTTTAAGCTATTATGAATGATAATGCCATTTTATTTCAGCTTCTAATTGTTCATTGCCAGGATATGGGTATGCAATTGAGTTTTGTATCTTGATATTGTATCCTGAAGAATGTCTAAACTTACTTATTAGTTCTAGAAGAGTTTTCATAGACTCCATTAGATTTTCTACATAGATCGAAAGACCTGCAGTCAGCAAAGTATGGCCCATAGCTAAGAATTAATTTTTTTATATTTAAGGGGTTATTTAAAATACAAAAAAACAAAGATGGATATGTAACAGAATGCATGTGTTCTGCAAACCTAACATTTTTGCTATCTGTACTTTACAGAAAAATGTTTTGATGTTAGCCTTAACATTACAGCAGGTTTTTCACAGATGCCCTTTATTGGGTTTAAGATGTTGCCTTCTGTTTCTAGCAGGCAGAGAAAGTTCACTATGAATGAATGTTTGTCTTTTACTCCATCCAGTGAGATGATCAGATGATCTTTATTTTTAGGTTGATTGATATGGCTAATTACATGAATTGACTTTAGAGTGTTAAACCAGGCCTATATTCCTTGAATAAACTCCATTTGGACAGGATGCATTATGATTTTACTATATTACTGTATTCAATTGCTAAATTTTGTTTCAAAATTTTCTACTTATATTCATAAGAGATACTGTTCTGTAGTTATCTTTTCATTGTATTTCTCCTGCATAATTTGTGTCTTTTGAGGAATTTGTTCACTTCATCCAAGTTGTCTCTTGAATACTTACCCTCATTATTATTTTTAATGGTTTTCTTTATCCCTGGCAACATTTTTTGCTCTGAAATTAATATTACCTGATATTAATATACACAATGCAGCTTTATTTTGCCCAATGTTAGTATAGTAAAGCTTTTCCCATCCTTTTGCTTTTCATGTTTTTATATTCAAAGTGCTAGAGGCCTGATGCACAAATTTATGCAAGGGTGGGGTCCAGCTGGCCCACCCCTATCAGGTTGATTGGGGCAGGCTGGCCTGGGAAAGGGGCCCCATGTGATTGGCAGGCTGGTCCCACCCCCTTTGGGGTGGTAGGGCCCATTGGGGTGGGGTAGGCCTGGGGAGGGGTTGAGGGTGGTTTTCTGGCCGGTCCCGCCACCTATTGGGGTATGGGGGCCAATCAGGGTGGGGCTGGCCAGAGGGAGGCAGCACAGGCAGTTGTGGGGTTGGCCCTGCCTTCTGTTCAAACTCCCAGTCAAGGAGACAATTTGAATATTAGCAGATATAAGATGCTTCTTGTAGGAAGCATATGATTGTTTCTTGATTTTTTATCTAATCTCACAATCTCTGCCTATTCTTTTGAATGGTTGTAGCATTTATATTTGATGTGATTATTAACATAGTTAAGATTGATGCTATCATTTTCTTAATTCTTTGTTGCATCTGTAATTTGTTTTTTTTAAAGTTATGCATGTGTCATACTCATTTCTGTTGCTAACTGAGGGGTAAAAAAAATACAGGAGGAGATATACACACCTGTACTCAGCAGTTTTAACATATCTCAGCTTCTTTTTACGAATCCTTTATACTATGCTTGGATTTTGATCTTTTGTATATTTTATTTTAATATTTTTGTTTGTTAAATGGTTGGGTTGTGGGTGGATTTTATCTTCTTTCTTGTACAGATCAATGGGATTAGAGTTCCAGAATTTTATTTTTGTAGCCTCCCATTAGACTTATGTTATATTTCCACTTAGATGCACAATAGTAAAAAAGGCAATAAAACTTATGGTATTTTTTCAAAAAATGTGCTTTTCACTATCATTCAGAATCACTTGCTCATTCCAGTTATGTTATGCTATATTAGGAAAGCATCTGCCAGTCTATTTTGTGTTCTAGAACTTAGCATGGAAATGCATGTTGTTCTATTTAACAAAGAATGTCCATCATTTTTACTCTGAACTGTAAATATCTCATGGTAGGTATAATTCTTTACATAAGGTAATAGTCTCTCACCACTTTCTATTTTCATTTGTTTCTTTTATTATCATTATACTGGGAGACTTCATTTATTAAATATACTTCATTTATTAAATATATAAATAAATATAACATTTATTTCAATATAAAATATTTTTTAAAAGCAAAATAACTTACGCAGGTCCATAGTTACATATAAACATTACATGGTCACCTTTCCCAGATTTAGGACAAGCTGTCATTGCACAACCAACTTTGTATGAATCGGCCCAAGCTACCTATAAGGAAATGAATTCTTAATTAAAATATGCAAAACACCTCTATGCCACAATGCACTATGGGAATAGCTATAATCTTAGTCATGCAATAAAAATGAGTAGACAGAAATTTTTATTGGCTACTTTAATTTGTAATATTTAGTTTAAAACAATTTTTAAAAGGCTGCTTTCTTGGAGTCTACCTAACTAGATTTTCCTCACTGATAATTCTCATAAGTCAAACAATATAATATGTAGTCAAAATAATATTTTTTCTAGATGATTTATGAAAAAAATTATTTTCTCCATGGTTATATAATACAATTAATATTAAAATCATAGTGTAAATAAAAAGTTATAGACTTTTATTTCTTTTTCTCTAAAACCTTCTACTAGTGCTTAGTTTATGATCACATTTTAAAAGTTGTGGTCGTAGCCATAATCTCATCTCTGTCAAATTACTAGACTCAGATAGATACAGAGACTAAGAATATATTGAGTTTATTGCAAAAAACAAAAACATGATTTTCATAAGGAGGGTGAATATTTTTGTTTCATTGTAAAGAATAGCAATATTCAAAAGAAGAAGATTCCTATGGAAAACTAACCATGGGTTGGGAGGAGGGGAGAAACAAAAAGATTAAAAAAAATAGTATTCTTTTGTGACAATGATAGAGTAGAATTTTCTTCCATTTCCTAAATAAACAAAAAGGAAAATGCTAATTTACTCCATATGGAAAACAAAATAATAGAGGAAAATTGATATAGATTTTGATAACACTAATAAATTTTCTGAACCCATTTATTTTACAATTCAATTAATATAATCTGTTGACACATTTTATAAACTGATGTGTTAGTCACTATTTCCCATGACTTGGGTATAGCTGTAATCAACAGTTTTCAGAAGTATGTTTTAATGACTGTTTGAGAGGCAGCAAAGTGCAATAAAAGCACTGTGAACAGAAAAGATATGACTTTTGGTTCTAACCATGTGTGTGTCTTTGGAGAGTGATAGATCAATTCTGACCTAGTTTACCACTTAGTAAAATGAGATTAAGGTAGTTCCTTAAAATACCCATTCCTTTGGAATGTTTTAGAAAGTTAATAAACTATACGACTACATGTATATATATTTTTAAAGAAATTCATGTTTAAAAATTTGGTTAATAACTGACCACACTATGAAATTTTATTATCTTAATATATCTGAATTGTGACATTTTTTGACTTTTGGAATGGTAAGGATAAATATTGAACATGAATAGGTTTAAAATATTTACTTTCTTAAAGGAACTAAATGTAACATTAATATGAACATTGGTTGTAACTTCAGTACAAATATCTTCAGATGGTAACAGTAAGACCATTTTTACCTCATTTTCTTTAGAACACTAAGCAAGATACAGTTGTTGAGCCAATATGAAGAAAGTACCTATTCCTAGCTTTTTACACATCTGTGTACATTATCCAAAGCAGAGTGAGCTCGTGCTTCTGCTGTGTAATGCTAAGGGACAAGGGGTATTTGAAAAGAGATTCCTTTCCCCTGACAGTAAAAGAGGAGACAAATGATTACATAAAGGCTGTGACTCAGTCTTGATGCTATATTAGGAATATTGCATTATGCTTGTTATCAGGACACCTGACAATTGATCCCATTCTCTCAATTTTCCTAGCAGTAGCCAAACCATAATCATTGTATAAAACAACTATTCTGAAAGGGATTTCTAAACTTACAGCATCCTGTTGTCAGACGAAGTTTAAATGGAATAGGAGCTGCTAATTTCTGTGTTCAGTGAACCTCCTAAAAAAATGGCATGCTTTCAGACACTGTATGTTAATTCAACTTAGACAGATAAGTCTAGAGAAGAGATCTCTTCTCTTGCTTAAATGGTCCATCCTAGGGACTCCATGTCATGCCTAAAATGTGATTTCCATTTCTCACCCAAACTCTCTCAACAACCAACCAAAAGAATTAGAAAAATTATCTATACTAACAAAAGCGTAACATGATAATTAGATCAGACATCTTCAGGATGTCCTTCTGGACCAGTGGTTCTCAACCTGTGGGTCGTGACCCCTTTGGTGGTCGAATGACCCTTTCACAGGGATTGCCTAAGACCATCCTGCATATCAGATATTTACATTGCGATTCATAACAGTAGCAACATTACTGTTATGAAGTAGCAACAAAAATAATTTTATGGTTGGGTCACAACATGAGGAACTGTATTTAAAGGGCCAGAAGGTTGAGAACCACTGTTCTAGACAAAGCCACGGTGGCGGGTGCCAAGGCAGAGGATGTTAGGGGCAATCAAGCTGGCAGGGGAGAGCAGTTAGGGGTGATCATTCCATGGAGGGCAGTGAAGTTTGGGGCTATCAGGCCTGTAGGGGAAGGAAGTTAAGGGTGATCTGGTCAGCAGGGGAGCAGTTAAGGGGTGAAAACGCCTGTAGGGGAGCAGTATTGGTTGATGAGGCCAGGAGGGGGGAGCAGTTATGGGTGATCAGGCTGGCAGTGAAGCAGTTAGGGGGTGATCAGGCTGGCAGGGGAGAGTTTAGGAATGATCAGGCTGGCAGGCAGAGGCAGTTAGGGGCGATCAAGCAGGCAAGGAAGCAGTTTGGGGCATCAGGCCGCAGGCAGGTGAGTGGTTAGGAGACAGCGGTCCCAGATTGTGAGAGAGATGTACCTAAACTAGCAGTTGGACATCCCCCAAGGGGTCCCAGATTGGAGAGGGTGCAGGCCAGGCTGAGGTACACCCTCCCCACCCCCACTGCCCAGGCAGTAGATATTCTGAATACCCTCATCATGGATACCTGCCCACAGACACTTCAATAACTTGGCTTCAGTCAGGGCCCTTCAGAGTGCATCAGTGTGCAGCACTGGCAAACACTGTGGGTACCCCCTATGAGCCGCCACTGGGCGCATGTGTATCCAAGCGAGAAGGCAACAGCAAAAACTATTCTTCCCACCCTACAGCTACAGAACTGTGGACACCACAGATGCGCCTTTCCAGAGTGAAGGCTTCTTGAGCCTCACCACCCTGACAGATGGCTCCTGGGCACCTCTGTATGCCCCCGCCGGGCAAATGTGATTCCAATCAAGGATGCAAGGCAGCAATAATTGGGACATCATCCTCCCCGGCTGCTGACATCTGGACTCCGCAGTTGCACCTTTTCAGCTCGCAGGCCTACATCAGGATGCCCAAATAGCTCAAGTAGGGGGTTCAGCTAGACTACCAAGCCCAGGAGACCCAAGAGATCACACCAGTAGCACCATCCCCAAAAGAACCTGGGTAGCAATGCAGTCAGATCTAGGACACAGAAACAATTAAAACTGTAGACCAAAGCTTGGGAAGACAAAAAAGCAATCCCCAAAGAAAAGGAAAAATCACCAGAAAGGGAATTAAATGAAATGGAGGCAAGTAACATTTCAGAGAAAGATTTCAGAGTAATGGTTCTCAGGATGCTCAAACGTCTGGATAACAAATACACTCAACTCAATGAGAATTATAATGAGCTAAATGAGAATGTCACCAACATGAAAAGGAAACAAGAGTAAATGAAGAACGACATAGCTGCAATAAAGTACACAATGGAAGGCTTAAACAGTAGAATACAAGAGGCTAAGGACCGCATTAACGAATTAAAAGACAAGGTAGGAAAAAGCACACAAATACAGCAGCAACTAGAAAGAAGACTTATAAAGCAAGAGGAGAGCCTAAGGGAGCTTTGGGACAGCACAAAACGAAACAACATCTGAATAATAGGTATACCAGAAGGAGAGGAAGAGAAGTAAGGAATAGAAAACCTGTTTGAAGAAATAATGACAGAAAACTTCCCCGATATTGGCAAGAAAAAAAACTAGGCAAGTCTAAGAAGCATATAGGGACCAAACACAATGAATCCAAAAGACCAACACCAAGACACATTATAATTAAACTGGCTAACATCAACGACAAAGTAAAAATCTTAAAAGCTGCCAGAGAGAGACAGAAAGTTACATACAAGGGGTCTCCCATTAGATTATCGACTGATTTCTCAACAGAAAGACACCAGGCCAGAAAGGAATGGAATAAAATATACAAAGTGATGCGAACCAAGGGACTAAATCTCAGAATACTATACCCAGCAAAGCTGTCATTCAAAATTGAAGGTGGAGTGAGAAGGGGCTAAGAGAGTATATTACCACCGAGCCAGCAATGCAAGAAATGCTAAAGGGACTGCTGTAAAAAGAAGAAACAGAAAGTCAAGAAGAAACATAAATATTAAGAATAAAAAGGATGACAAACAATTAATAATCAATAATAACATTAAACGTAAATGGATGGATTAAATTGCCCAATCAAAACACATAGGGCAGTTGAATGGATAAGAAAACATGACCCATATATTTGCTGTCTGCAGGAGACTCATCTCAGAACAAAGGATTCACAAAGACTTATAGTGAAGGGATGAAAAAATTTTTTTCAGGCAAATGGAAATGAGAAAAAATCTGGGGTTGTGATCCTAACATCTGACAAAATAGATCTCAAAGTAAAGGGAGAAATTCAACAAGAAGATATAACTCTGGTAAACATATATGCACCCAATACAGGAGCACCCAAATACATAAAACAACTTCTGGAAGATATCAAGGGAGAAATTGATAGCAATACAGTCATAGTAGGGGACTTTAATACCCCACTGACACCACTCGATAAATCCTCTAAACAAAAAATCATCAAGGAAATAGCAATCCTAAGTGACTCACTAGATAAGATGGACTTAATGACATCTTCAGAATATTTCACCCCAAAGCCACAGAATATACATTCTTCTCCAGTGCATACGAGACATTTTCAAAGATAGACCACACATTAGGGCACAGGCAAAGTCTCTTCAAATTCAAGAGGATAGAAATCATAACAAGTATCTTATCAGATCACAGTGGCATAAAACTAGAAATCAACTACAATAAAAACAATGAAAAAAAATCAAACACTTGGAAGCTAAATAGCATGCTATTAAACAATGATTGGGTTACCAAAGAGATCAAAGAAGAAATAAAAGGCATCCTGGAAACAAATGACAATGAAAACACAACAATCCAAAATCTGTGGGACACAATGAAAGCAGTCCTGAGAGGGAAGTTCATAGTTCTACAAACCTACCTCAAAAAAATAAAAGGTAATAAATTATCTAACCCTGCCACTTAAAGAATCAGAGAGAGAGCAACAAGAAAAGTCCACAGTATCTAGGAGGAAGGAAATACTAAAGATCAGAGCATAAATAAATGACATAGAGATCAAAATAACAATACAAAAGATCAATGAAACCAAGAGCTGATTCTTTGAAAGGATAAACAAGATTGACGATCCTCTGGCCAGGCTCACCAAGAAGCAAAGAGAGAGGACCCAAATAAACAAAATCAGAAATGAAAGAGGTGAAGTAACAAATGATCCCTCTGATATACAAAGGATTATAAAAAAATAATACTATCAACACCTCTACTCCAAAAAACTGGACAACCTCAATGAAATGGACACATTCCTAGAAAAATACAAGCTTCCAAAACTAAATCAGGAAGAATAAAAAAACCTAAATAGGCTGATAACCACTGATAAAATTTAAACAGTAATCAAAATGCTTCCAGCAAACAAAAGCCTAGAACCAGATGGCTTCACAGGGGAGTTTTACCAAGCATTCAAAGAAGAACTAAAACCAATACTCCTCAGACTATCCCAAAAAATTCAAGAAGAAGGCACACTTCCAAGCTCTTTCTATGAAGGTAGCATTACCCTAATCCAAAAACCAGATAAAGACAACACAAAGAAACAGAATTACAGGCCAATATCCCTGATGAACATAGATGCTAAAATCCTCAACAAAATTCTAGCAAACCAGATCCAGCATTACATTAGAAATATCATACACCATGACCAAGTAGGATTTCTTCCAGGGATGCAAGGCTGGTACAATATCTGCAAATCAATAAATGTGATACATCACATAAACAAATTGAGAGACAAAAATCAAATAATCGTATCAATTGATGCAGAAAAGGCACTTGACAAAGTCCAACACTATTTTCTGATAAAAACACTCAGCAAAGTTAGAATAGAAGGATCGTACCTCAACATAATAAAAGCCTTATATGACACACCTACAGCACATCATACTCAGTGGGCAAAAACTAAAACCATTTCCCTTAAGAACAGGAACAAGACAGGGATGCCCGCTTTCACCACTCTTATTCAACATAGCACTGGAATTGCTAGCCAATGCTATCAGACAAGAAGAAGAAAAAAAGGCATCCAAATTGGAAAAGAAGTAAAATTGTCATTATTCGCAGATGACACGATTCTGTACATAGAAAACCCCAAAGACTCCATCAAAAAATTATTAGAGTTAATAAATGAATTTGGCAATGTAGCAGGGGACAAAATTAATGCCAAGAAACTAAGGGTATTTTTATACACCAACAGTGAACTTACAGAAAGAGAGATTTTTAAAAAAAACAATTCTATTTACCATTGCACAAAAAAATTAAGATGCCTAGGAATAACCTTAATTAAGGAGGTAAAAGACCTCTACTCAGAAAACTACAGAACCTTGAAAAAAAAGATAGAGGAAGAGATAAATAGATGGAAGTACATACCGTGTTCATGGATTGGTGGAATCAACATCATTAAAATGTCCATACTACCCAAAGAAATTTATAAATTCAGTGCACTGCCCAATAAAATACCAACGGCATATTACACCGACCTAGAACGAGCTCTCTAAAAATATACCTGGAATAAATTAAGACCCCGAATAGCTGCAGCAATCCTGAGAAAGAAGAACAAAGGAGGAGCGATCTCAATACCAGATATCAAGCTGTATCACAAAGCCACTGTTCTCAAAACTGCCTGTTACTGGCACAAGAACAGACATATCAATCAATGGAATAGAATAAGAACCCAGAAATCCACCCAAGCACTATGTTCAATTAATATTTGACAAATAGGCAAGAACATACAGTGAAGTCAAGACAGTCTCTTCAATAAATGGTGTTGGGAAAATTGGACAGAAAGGTGCAAAAAAATAAAAATAAAACTAGACCACCAACTTACACCATACACAATAATAAACTCAAAATGGATAAAGGACTTAAATGTAAGACAGGAAACTATAAAAATACTAGAGGAATCCAAAGCAACAAAATCTCAGACATATGCTGAGCAATTTCTTCACAGATACAGCTCCTAGGGCATTGGAAACTAAAGAGAAAATAAACAAATGGGACTAAATCAAAATAAAAAGCTTTTGTACAGCAAACAAAACAAAACAAAAAATCAATAAAACAACAAGAAAGCCCACTGCATGGGAGAACATATTTGCCAATGTTATTATCAGTAAGGGTTTAATCTCCAACATTTACAGGGAACTCATACAACTTAACAAAAAAGGAGATAAACAACCCAATCAAAAAATGAGCAACAGACCTATATAGATACTTTTCGGAAGAAGACATAAGAAAGGCCAAGAGACACGTGAAAACATGCTCAAAGTCACTAATCATCTGAGAGATGCAAATCAAAATGACAATGCGGTATGATCTCACACCTGTCAGAAGGCTATCTTCAACAAATCAACAAACGAAAAGTGCTAGCAAGGATGCGGAGAAAAAAGAACCCTTATACACTGCTGGTGGGAATGCAAACTGGTACAGCCACTATGGAGAACAGTGTGGAGTTTCCTCAAAAAACTAAAAATGGAACTCCCATTTGACCCAGTGATCCCACTTCTAGGAATATATCCCAAGAAACTAGAAACACCAATCAGAAAAGATATATGCACCCCTAAGATCATAGCAGCACAATTTACAATAGCTAATATTTGTAATAAGCCTAAGTGCTCATCAGTAGATGAGTAGATTAAATATATTTTCTAAATCTACACAATGGAACACTATGCTGCTATAAAAAGGAAGGAACTCGTACCATTTGCAACCGCATGGATGGAACTGGAGAACATCATGCTAAGTGAAATAAGTCAGTCAGAAATAGATAAATATCACATGATCTCACTCATTTGTGGTTTATAAGGAATAACATAAATCGATGAAGAAAAACAGATCCAGAGACAGAAACATCGATCAGATCTTCAAACCTCAGAGGGAAGGTAGGGAAGCATGGGGTAAGGGGGAAGATGAACCAAGAGACTTGTATGCATGCATGTAAGCATAACCAATGGATGCACACAACAGAGGGTGAGGGTGAGGGTGAGGGCAGGATTAGGCAGGTGGGGGGCAATGGAGGGATAACCACATATTTATAATACCTTAATCAATAAAAAAAACAACAACAGTGAGATATTACCTCACACCTGTCAGAATAGCTATTACAAAAAAGTCAACAAACAGCAAGTGCTGGTGAGGATATAGAGAAAAGGGAACACCAGTTCACTGCTGGTGGGAATGCAAATTGGGGTAGCCACTACGGAAAATAGTATGGATTTCCCTCAAAAAATTAAAAAAGGAAATTCTGTTTAACCTAGTGATCTTAATTCTGGGAATATATCCTAAAAACCCCAAAACACCAATCAGGAAGAATCTATGTACCCCTATGTTTAAAGCACCATTATTTACAATAGCTGAGATTTGGAAACAGCCCAATTGCCCATCAGTAGGCGAATGGATAAAAAATCTCTGGGACATTTACACTATGGAAGACTATGCAGCTATAAAAAGAGGGATCTTTTACTCTTTGGACAGCATGAATGGACCTGGAAACTATTTTTTTTAATATATTTTATTGATCTTTTTACAGAGAGGAAGGGAGAGGGATAGAGAGTTGGAAACATCGATGAGAGAGAAACATCAATCAGCTGACTACTGCAAACTCCCTACTGGGGATGTGCCCGCAACCAAGGTACATGCCCTTGACCAGAATCGAACCTGGGACCCTTCAGTCCGCAGGCCAATGCTCTATCCACCTAGCCAAACCAGTTAGGGCAGACCTGGAAACTATTACGGTAAGTGAAATAAGTCAAACTGAGAAAGACAAGTATCACATGATCTCACCTATTTGTGGAATCTAATGAACAAAATGAATTGACCAACAAAATAATATCTGAAGCAGGGAGGCATGGAATAGACTGGCATACCACGATGTGGGGTTGGAGGACAAGAAGAGATAAACCAAAGAACTTATATATTTATATGCATAGCCCATAGACATGGGCTATAGGGTAGGGAAGACCTGGGGGAGGTGAGTAGGGGCTGGGAGGATTGGGGTGGAGAGAGGGAATTGAAGATACTATAATACTATCAACAATAAAAAATATGTTATAAAAATAAAAGAAAATTATAAAGCTTATCAGAGAAACAAATGCATATTACATACACTGGAATAAATAAAAGGTTGACAGTAGATTTCTTATTGGAATTAATGCGTTGAGATGACAGTAGAGTAATTTTTAAAGTCCAGAAAACAAAAGATCCAGAGAATTCTATATCCAGTAAACCTATCTGCCAAATGATATTGAGCTTTCAAGATACCCAAGATTAACTCAAGAAAAAATGCTAAAAAAACAAACAAACATGTCTTATGGTTGAAATGGGCATAAATAAGAACTAATGAATAAAATATCAAATATTTACCTGTGTATAATGGCCACAAACTTTGGTACATTTGTGACTACTATAAGTATAAAATTGCCTTTCATTATACCAAGAGCGAATAGCAATTGCTGGTATATATTGGTATAAAATACCGAACCAAATATTTTCTCCCACAGATGGAAAAGTTGGGTGACACTGATTTGCTGAACATTTGTTGTGTTTTAGTTTGCACTTGTCTGCCCAGGATTTTGCAGTCTTCGCTAAACCTTCATCCCAAGTCTGAAAGACAAAAATAATTTCAATTGCATTGTGCATATTCCTTTGCATTTAAGTTATTCTAATGATGACAGTCAAAAAAATTTTAAGTTTTCAATTTTAATAAAATATAGTTTTTCTTTTGCATTTATTATGTTCACCATTAGTCCGTGTTTTGTTTTGTTTTTAAGTTGTGCTTCAGAAACACTGTACAACCCCTTCTGTGGCCGTTCATATTTGTAGGAAGTCAAAATGTACAGACTTCTGGTTACAAGGTAAACAAGTTTTGGGCTGTAGAGTACAGCATTGTGAGTATAGTTAAGCATTCTGTATTGTATACTTGAAAGTTTCTCAGATATTAGATCTTAAGAATTCTGATTACAAGGAAAAAAATGTAACTATGAGATAATTGATCTTAATTAAACTTATTGTGGAAATCACTTTGCGATATATATACATATACCAAATAATTATCTTTTATATTTTAAACTAATACAATTTTTTATATTAATACAACATTTTAAAAAGTTTGCATGATTTCAGTGCTGATCTGTTAACACAACATGCTCTATTTTTTCTGACATTTATAGAAATTGACATGAGAAATGAGATGCCTGGTTTTTCTGGTTGATGCAATGGTGGATGACAGGAGAAACTCCTGTTGAAGTCTTAGCCAATAGTCATCACTTCTACTTTTGGCCAAAATGGAGTAACTTTCTGACTTAAAACAATAAAACTAACATACATATGTGAAAAAGCAAGACACATGAAACTAGGCAAGAAGGACCAGTGATCCCTGAAAGGAGGAAAACCAATAAGGTTTATCCTATAATGGCCTTACCTGCTGCCTTGGGAGAATGTTCAGGCCATACAAGAATACCAGAAAGTACAGACGTGCACAGAGGAAGGGCTGTAAAGATGGCTATTTAGCAGAGGGTTGATTAACACACACATGTGAAGAACATATGAAACAGCAGGGAATGAATCACTCAAAATGACAGGAGAGCATATAACCTAATGCTTACACAGCACTGGGACTATTGCTTTTTCCTGCTAGCGAGATTGGAAAACCGCATAATCTTGGGAATTGCGTCGAGTACTCAGGAGGATCTCTCCTTAATAGAGATAATTATCCCTAGCCTCAGTCACTTCTTTTGTTCTACCTTACAAATCGTAAACACAAGACTCAAAAGGATCAGTATGCCAAGTAACATAAGTTCATGCCAGACAAAAATGTCAAGAATATTTACAGAAATACAAAAATTATCACCACCCAACAAGCTAAAATGGACAGATTCAGATATCCAATACAAAGTTATCTGCATACAAGGACTCATGATCTATATATATATAGAACCCTTATCTACTTATATAAAAACCATGGGTGGTGTTCCTCACATACAGACAAATAGCCGCGACCTAGCGGAAGGAAGTCAGTCCTACAGGGGTTGTCTTGGCAACAGCTGTGCCCTCCCCCAAGCTGTTTCCCAGAGCTGTTTCCTGTAAGGGCAGAGTTTGAGGCAGGAACCCACCCTGGGAGCCTGGAGGCAGATCTTTCTAAAGTGTGTCGCACCAGCACGGGGTGAACCTGAGTGGGGTGGCTGAAAGGCTTAGAAAAGACAGACAAGAAAATGAAAGTCGGGTCTTGGTGCGATGCTGCTTCTCTGAGAGACAGCGACCATGCCCACAGCCATGCCTTTAGTTTATAGCAGATGCTACAAGGCAAAGTAAGGGCGTGACCAAGATGTTTACAAATGTTCTCCTGGGTTTCCATCCTACTCAACTACATGCACCTGAACTCTATTAAGCCCACATCACTCAGGCCCGTGGGGCTACGTGTTCCGATCACAGGTTCAAGCTTACAACTACAGCTGTTGGCAATAATTGTGCTGGGAGGGCCCTGCCCTCCAAGCTGGGACTTGCACATGGCAATGAGAGGACTGTGGAAATCACTTTGAACCTATCCCAAACACTGTAGCGGCTCCCCACAATAAAGTTTTAATTCTGTTTCTTTTTTTAAATATATTTTATTGATTTTTTACAGAGAGAAAGGAAGAGGGATAGAGAAGTAGAAACATTGATGAGAGAGAAACATTGATCAGCTGCCTCCTGCACACTCCCCACTGGGGATGTGCCCGCAACCAAGGTACATGCCCTTGACCAGAATCGAACCTGGGACCCTTGAGTCCACAGGCCAATGCTCTATTTAATGAGCCAAACTGGTTAGGGCAATTAATTCCTTTTTACTGTGCAGGAATTTCGTGCACCGGGCTACTAGTATGCAAATAAACTGAAAGGCGGAACAACCGAACAACCAAACAACTGAACAACCAGTCACTGTGACATGTGCTGACCACCAGGGGGCATGTGTGGAACACGGCAGGCATCGGCAGCAGGTGGCAGAATGGGGAACGTGGCGGGTGTCAGCCGTGGCAGGATGGTGGAGCAGGTGAGCAGGGCACCAGACCAAAGTAGGGTGACGGTCGCTGTCATCAGTGTGAGCCTCTGGTGGTTACTGAAAAACTTTGCTTCCCACCTGGCACTCATACCTGCTGCCAGTGCTGACCCTGCTGGCACCCGCTGCCAGTGCCTGATGCCAGCCCTGATTGATTGGCGCCATCAATGGGTGTAAGCAGTGGCTGCCAGCCCTGATTGCCCCTAAGGGCTTCTCCATCTCCCTCTGCTCCTGAGGGGTGATTGAAGTAGCAGCCACTGCTCACATCTGCTGACAGCACCAGCCATGCTCACACCCACTGCTGGTGCCAGCCTCAATTGCTCCGTGCCATCAGCGGGTGCGAGTGGGATCAGCGCCATCAGCACGTGGGAGTGTCAGCAGCAGGAGCAGGGCTGCCAGCAGAGAGCAGACCAGGGGCCGAGGTGGGAGGGGCTGGCCGGGGGTGTGGAGGATGGGCTGAGACCCACCCCTGTGCTCACCACGGCATCATGGCCCATAGTTCCTTTCAAGGTGCACAGATTTGTGTACTAGGCCCCTAGTAATACAATAAAAAATGGGGAGAAAGGCCCTGGCTGGGTAGCTTAGTTGGTTAGAGCATCGTCAAGGTGAGCCAAGTTTGAGGGCTCCCTGGTCAGGGCACATATGGGAACCAGCCAATTAATGTATGAATAAGTGGAACAACAAATCTTTGTTTCCCTCTCTCTCTCTGCCTCATACTCTAAAATCAATAAGTTAAAATAAATTAATGAGGAAAATCAATGAGTGGAAATTAAACCAGAAGTAACACATCTGTTAAAATTAGCAGAAAGCAAGAGTCAGAAAAAAACCCTTTTACATGAAAAGAGCATCAGTAGGCTGTGAGATAACTTCAAATTTTATAATTAATATGCTTATAATTGGAGTCTTTAGTTTTTGACTATACAGTGGCTAAAATTTTTCTAATTTGTTTAAACCTGCAGGTCCAAGAAGCTCAATGAACCCCAGGAAATTAGAACAATACTACACCATGGTGTATTATAACCAAATTGCTCAAAAACAAGGATAAAGAGATTTCTTTAAAGCAGCCAGAGGAAAAATACATCTGATATACATGGGAACAAAGAAAATGATCCAGTAGATTTCTAGTCACAAACAATGTGCAGGAAGATAGATGTTACCAGGGCAACTTAGAATTCTGTGACTAGTATGTATCATAACTTAAGGAGAAATAAACTCACAGACACACTAAGTTGAGAGGATTAGTTACCAATTGACCCACAGTGTGACAAATATTAATATCCTTTAAGCCAAAGGAAAATGATACAAGGTGGATATTGATCTGAAAAAAAGAAAAGAAAAAGAAAAAAAGAAAAGCACCAGATCTTTCATGTAAAGTGTTAAAAAAAAAGCAAAAATGATCACATGTTTACAAAGTTGAACTATATATAAAACAAAGTAAACTCAAAGAAGGCTCATGTTTCCTCTACCTTATTCCTTTCTTCCTCCTCTTCTGCAGGTAGCTATGAAAATTTAACTTAATCTACATTTATCCTTCCGTTTAGAAAATATAGCATAAGTATGTGTTTATATAGAATGTCCGCATATACAGGGATGGGCAAAAGGAGGTTTACAATAAACAATACAATAATTAAAAGATAAAATACAAGAATAAACTGATTCATGTCTTCACAGCTGTAAACTATATATTAAAAACACACACATGTAACTCTAGCAAGTAACAGCATCAAGATTTCCTTTCTCTTTCCCTTCTATCACCACTCTGCAGGAGACAGCTCAGCCAAGGTATGATTTTAAAGTGCATGCTGAAAGTCCTAACTGAATTTACATAAATGCGTCCATAAAATGAATCGCTAAGATCCCTTAGTACAGTGGTCAGCACACTGCGGCTTGCGAGCCACATGCGGCTCTTTGGCCCCTTGAGTGTGGCTCTTCGACAAAATACCACGTGTGGGTGCGCATGTACAGTGCGATTGAAACTTCGTGGCCCATGCGCAGAAGTCGGTTTTCGGCCTGGGCGAGTCTATTTTGAAGAAGTACTGTTGATATTTGGCTCTGTTGACTAATGAGTTTGCCGACCACTGCCTTAGTATAATCCCAGCTCATTTTTTTTCTCACCATGTATTTCATGTTGGCTGCGGAGGGCTGGACTGTGCGACGCATTTCATTGTGAGCTCTGACACAGTCCTCTATGAACTTCTTGTCTTCGATGGAAGGTACGGTGGGAGTTTGACTGGCTACCAGATAGAAACCTAAAGTCCATAAGAAATTTAATTTATTCCCATAAACCATGGCAAGATGCAGAGGATGCCTTGGCTGTTTGGACTGGTAACGGCTAAGCCAGCCTGCGCTCTGCACCTGGGCCCAACTTTCTCTGCTGGTGTGAGCTCATAGAGGGTTGCACAGCAAGCTGGGCCCCAGGAGCGGGGCCAGAATGGACAGGGAACAGGCAGCAGGAGGAGCTGCCCAGAAAGCCCTGGGCTACAGGGGAAAGCCTTGAGTTGCCCCCTGGTGCAGGCATTCAACCATCCTGAAGGCACTGTCTGCGGACCTAATCTGGAATCACTGTGAAGGGCGTCTGGATTGTAATCCAGATTGCAACATTCAGGCAGCACCGTGTCATGCAAAAGAACAACATGAATTAGATGCTGACAATGAGCCAGGCTTGTGCAAAACCCTACAGGTTAGTTTCATAGACTCAGCTTCTGTGTATTGCTTTATTATTGTTTTAAATAAATTGCAATATCATATTGCTGGTTTCCCCAAAGATTGGGAGTAACGCTAGCATACTGAATGACATAGTATGAGTCTCAATGATTTCATCAAAGACTTAATTCAAGGACTTGTTTGTTTCAGTAACTAAAGAGAATGACTGCCTAGAAAGATAAAAACAGACACATGGAAAGTGCAGCCAAGTACTTTCCCTGGACAAAAATCTCTTCTTCTTGACACTTACCTTTGGACCACACCTGCCTTTTTGGTGACTAGGGCATTTCAGCTAAGGACTCATTTAGTTAGTATGCTGAAGACTAGGGCAGAGTACATTTGATTAGCTATTTTTATTTATACTATACTAGTAGCCCGGTGCACTAAATTCCTGCACATTAAAAGGGAATTAATTGCCCTAAGCAGTTGGGCTTGGGTAGAGCATCGGCCCGTGGACTCAAGGGTCCCAGGTTCGATTCTGGTCAAGGGCATGTACCTGGGTTGCGGGCACATCCCCAGTGGGGAGTGTGCAGGAGGCACCTTGTGGAAAGTGATTTTGGAAAAATTGGTTCACGCAATTGTGGGGGCTGGCAAACTCATAATCTGCAGGGCAAGCTGTCAGGCTGAAAGTCGTGTATGAGTTGATGTTTCAGACAAGTCTGTAGCTAGAAACTGAGGCAGTGTCTCCATTGCACTTTGGAGGCAGGATCCTGTCTTCTTCAGGAAACTTCAGACTTTGCTCTTCAGGTCTTTTAACCAATTGGATGAGGGCCATCCACACTATGAAGAGTAATCTGCTGTATCAAAGTCTATTGATATAAACCTTAGTCACATTTAAAATTTTTCCTCATGAAACATGTAGACTAGTATTTAAACAACTGCTCACCATTATCTGGCCAAGTTGACACATAACATTAACCATCATATCATCTTACTTCTCCAAACATTTCATGTGCCTATTTTATTACTTTATTTTTCTTTCCCCTTCAGACACTATACTCAATTTACAAGTTGTGTCAACTCTACTTTTACACTATATCCTGTATCCAAATACTGCTTCCCACTCTTGGGACGGCCAAGGCCATCATCATCTCTTGCTGGAACAAAGGCAGCAGTATCCTTCTACTCAGTTTTTTTGTATCCATTCTGGGTTCATTACAATTTATATTCCATAGAACAACCAGTGTATTCCCTTTAAAACATAAGCCCCCCCATTTTACAAAAGCCTCTGAGACTTCTTATCATACTTATAAATCTGAAGTCCAGGTATGACCTGCAAGGCACTACATCACCTCACCATGGCTCATCTCTGTTCCCTAACCTACATTCTTCCCCGACTCACTCTGCTTCAGCCACATCCATCAGCCTGACAAGGATGCTCTCTCCTCAGGCCTTTGCCCTCGCTGTTCCATTTGTCGTTAGGATTCCCCTCAGTAAAGCCATACCCGATCTCACCTCATTTTCTACCGGTCAGTGTCTAGCCCATTAACTGTTGCTATCTGAACATCATATTATTTATGTCTTTAACATTTGTCACCTCTTTTAGATTGTAACCTTCACTGAAAGACTGGCTTTCTTTGCTTCACTGCTATACCTACAGCGTCTAGATCAGGTACGGAACCCTTATGCCCGCAATAAAATTTTTTGAATGAGTTCCTGAGGAAATGAACACTCTAACTTTCCAATAATATGTATACAAATGTTAGGTTTTTTAGAAACTATATCTTATTTGTTACATACATGCTAGTGACTCAATAACTTTTTTAGACTCAATTTAAAAGATAATAAGTAGGCTCATGTTTTTACTATTCATGACATTGGATATATTTGCAGATAGTAGGTGTTCCATGAATATTTATTGAGCTTCAAATGCAAATTATTTTGATACTGAAAATAATATAGGTTAACATATAGTCAATTTAGTTTCATTTTGTTTATAGAGAAATTAATTGGCTGTAATAACTACAGAACTTTTGTAATGAATTTTATTGAAGAATGGCAAAAATGTATAATTTATATAATCAACCCATAATCCAAGATTTTTGCTTTTTTAATAGATGTTTTAACCCAATATCTAGATTAGATAGATTTGTTTTAATTAGACCATGTTCCTAATGGCTCAGAGAATCACATTCAGAAATACTATACAGTTTAGGTATAGGAAGCCTAAGTTACAGGAATAGAGAGGATATTTTATTTTCTTGCATACGTATTTGTTTAATGGGCAATGATAGTTGGGCATGAGAATTTTTAAGGTTTTTGATAAATGTTTAAAAGTTGAAGTTTAGCGTTAATTTCATTATTACTTTTGTTCAGTTTATTTTTGCTCTTCTTTCTGCGTGGGGATAATGGGTAAAAGAGTTTTATGGAGTGTAGGGAAGAAACAGAAGGCATGATTGCCTTATACCTATTTACTTCACTACCTTTATTCTTTAAAAATATATTTGTCTTTTTACTCCACAATTTTCTCTAACTGGAAATGTAATGCACGTATTTTGAGGGGAGCCGGTTGTGAAAAGGCACTGCAGAGTAGGAAACAACCTGATTTTATGGGACGAGAACTGGACTAGGCTTCAGAAGCTCTTAGTTCTAGCTTGGGTATCTGACACTTGCTCATACAGTTCAGGAGAGTCAGTCAGGCATCCTAGAGTGGAATGGAACCTTAGGAACCTCTCAAATCAGACCTTTTATTGATGAGGAGTTGCCATCCAAAGACATTGTGTGTAGAGCAAAGAATGAAATGGAGGCTTCCTGATTCCTAGGCTTGTTCCTATTATATCCACATGTTAATCTATAATCATATATATTATATACAACAAGTGATCGTATATATTTGTGTATATGTGCACACATTTTTAAAGAAATATTTATGTCTATGTCTATATAGCTCTCTATAACATTATCTTGCAATCTTGGCTTTTTCAATAATTGCAAGCTCCTTCAGAGCTTATAATGAAAAGTTTTCCCCATCAAAATATCATTCTGGGGCTGACACCTGGTAGATGCTCCACAAAATACGTTCAATAGAATTCGCCTAAAAGAGGAATTATACAACTGCCATTAATCCAGACCGGGCTTTCGCTCTCTCCCTGCGCAGGAGAAGCACCAGCTCCAGTGAGTCCGCTCCAGCTCCTCCCCAGAGTTTAGAGGCCTCACAGAGCTGGACACAGGGTAAGGCCCTGGAGGCTGTTTCCAAGTTCCCTTTCTGGGTGAGTACCTCTGCGAGGCTGGCTGGGTCACTTTAGGCGAGGACCCTGGGGAAGGAGAAAAGACCACACAGCTTGGGGGCAGCGGGAGGTGGCGTGGATGCAGCTAGGGACTTGGGACTATGACCCTCTTTCTCTGGAAGTGAGAGAAGGGTTGGAGGCCCAGGTGGAGAAGCCGGTTGCCAGGCAACCTGCAGACTCTGGTCTGAGTTGGCTGGAGCCTTTGCTGGGAACTGCCTCTTTTCCTTGTGTGTCTGAAAGTGTCTCAAGAGGGTTCTTGGTGAAGTCGCCCCAGCTTATACATTCCCCAGCCCTCCTGCTTGGGACCTGCTTTTTACCCAGCTTGCTGGATCAAGTCAGGTTGGCTGTCCTTGGGTCCCAACCCACCCAGTCCATGAATCCCAGATAGGAGGAGCTTGGAGCATTCGTTCTGGTACATTACAGGCACCATTGCCTTGGTGTATTATCTGCCTTGTTTGAAATTAACAATGGCCTCAGCTTCCATTAAGGTACCTGGGTCTGCCACTACCTGCGCTACAAGACAGATTTACTGGGTCCCTGCCTGCATGGAGCTGAAAATACTATTTCCAAATCTCATTCCTCTCTCTTTGATTATGTGCTGGACTTACTCTTTGCTTTCTGTTATGTTCTGATTTGGTGTAAGCAACAGTATAGCCACTAGTATCACTAACCAAGAGAGACATGATGATGATTAGAATTGGAAATAAAATTTTCTCCTTTCAAAAATGAGAAAAGTGGGAGGTGATCTGATTCATGTTGGCAGCACTAAGGATAATATGGTAAGTCTCATGGCAATCTAGCGGTAACTTCTCATGAGTTCCCTCAGTTTCAGAGAAGACAAGCCACTGAGGGGAACCTGGAAATTTGAGGGTGTGAATATTGTTGTTTTTAATATTGGCACATGAATTATAGTTATTTTAAGTGACCTATAGTTATTTGAAGTGGCTGTAGTAGCGACTGAGATATAAATAGTTGTGTGGCTGATGTGTGGTGAAAAGTCACCTGGCTGATTGTTCAACACCCTTGTCTCAACTTGTGTTTGTTGTCCACTAATCAGCATGGCAAAGACCCACAGCTGCTTGTGATGTGATGACAAGCAAACAACAACCTCCCTCCTCCCCCCAAACTAATAACAACTTTAAAAAGCTCGTCTTTGCAAAATTGATCTGTGAAAAGCAAGCTGGCCGCTAGTACTATAGGACTATTTTTAAATCAAATGATTTATGTTTTCAGAATATGTCTACTATTGTTAAGTCTTCCTGACTCCACTCTACCAGTAGAATTCCATGCTTAGGACATAGGGTTTTTAGAGGAGGGGGCTATGACAATGGTGTGAAGGGAATCGTATAGACACTTTATTAAAGAATTGGTATATCTTTCAGGTAAGAGGATTTCACGGGACATGAAATGAAACTATTTTAGTAATGATGGTGGCTACCATGTATTGATGTTAATGGTGTTCCACGTGATACAAGAGAAACAGAACGGTGCTAATATTAAGCTCATTTTACATGTAAGAAATGTTGGCTCAGAAAATTTAAGTTCTTACCCAAGCTTACGTTATGGGAAAGTGTAAAAAATGAGGATTTGAATATCAGCCAGTTTGACTTCAAGAACTATGGGGAGGGTGGGAGTAAGGGGGAGAAATCAACCAAAGGACTTGTATGCATGCATATAAGCCTAACCAGTGGACAACAGACAACAGGAGGTGAGGCCATGACTGTGGGGGTTGGGGGGTAATAGGAGGATAAGGACGCACATGTAATATCTTAACCAATAAAGAAATTAAAAAAAGAACTATGCCATACTATCTTTCTTTAAAAACGAAACAAAAATATTTTGCTATTAAAATAAATCCAAGTTTAATAGAAAAAGGAGGTATGAATGAATAAGTAAACAAAAATGTATACTTGGTAATATAAGGGTAAATATTCAGAATCTGGATGACTGAGATATTCATATGTTTTTTATTTTGTACATGTTTGCAAGCTGATTATTTTCACATTCTTTTGCTAGCATTTTTGCCTATCACCTCAGAATTACCAGTTGAATCATTCACTCCATTTTATTCTTTGTATTAGATAAATAATACTGCTTGCTACAAAACATTTTCAGCAGTCTCCTCAGGCAAAGCTAACACTCAAGAAAAGTTTGGGAAAAGAGTAAAGAAAATAAAACACTTTGTGGTAGAGAATAGGTACCTGCATTAGTTTCCTATTGCTGCTCTAAAAGGTAACCACAAACATGGTGATTTCAGGCAATATAAACCCGATATTTTGCAGTTCTGGTGGTCAGAGGCACAAAGTGAACTCTGCAGGACTGAAGTCAAGGTGTCAGCAGGGCTGTGTTCTTCTGGAGGCTCTGAGGGGGAATCCAGTTCTTGTCTCTTCTGCCTCCTGGAGGCTGCCTGTGACCTCTTCCTCCATTTTCAAAGCCAGCTGCAAGCACTTTGCTCCTCTATGACCTGTGCTTCCATCCTTACATCTTCTCTTTCTCACTGTCTCCCTTTTATAAGGACCCTGTGATTATATTGCACCCACCAGTTAAACCAGGGTAATCTCCACATCTCAAAATCCTTAATCACATCTGAAAAGTCCTTTTTGTCAAGTAAGGTAACATATTCACAGGGTCTGATGATTAGGATTTGGACATCTTTGGGGGGGTGGCGGGGCAGGGTTATTATTCAGACTAGTATTGACCCCATAAATGTTGCCTCACATAATGGAGTTGCTCCACAAATAGTTAATTTTGGTGAAAGAAGGAAAAGTGATTGACCACATGATTTTTTCCATATATTATTATTATGTAATTTGTAAGATTTATTTAAAATTTGAGCAAGAATTATACTTTTATATATTTTATGTTTTCCAAAGTGTATTACACAATCAGTACATGAACTTGAATGGATTTGGAGGTTAAAGGAGTTGCTGCTTCTCCTAGGCGTCAAACTCAGTCATTCTCTGGAAGAAGGAAGCCACTACAAGTACGTGTGCTATATAATTTCCCTCTTGTAGAATGAGCTGTTAAATAATTTTCTGACTCCTTTCTTGAGAAATTATGACTGCTCATACTCATAAATATTTAGGATCAATATTTCCCTGATTAGAGGAATTGAACCACTAAACTTGAAGATAATCATTACTTGAAAATTGATCACTGTGAATTTAGTTTTATTTTAAAATATTAAGCTTAATTACTATTTTCTTTTTGTTATTTTAAAAATTATCTGTGTATGTGTAACTAAAATATAAAAATAAGAATAAGAGTAAGAAGAATAAGATATCTATGTATACATTTTGTGTTAGCTGGGAAGAAGAGAATCTGGGCTTCTGTTATTAGGAGTTCTGTTCTTTTCAACTTTCATAATATCACTGTTGTGCATATCCTTAAGTAAGTATAAGTTTAAAGCTACATTTTTCCTGTACCCATTACCTAATTGGGTATACATAAAGTTTAGTTTAAAAACACATAAAAGTTACGTGTATTTTCTTGCTGTTCTTATTCCAAATATTGAATGCCTACTGCTTGTCAGTGACCTTGATAAATGTTTTGATAGCTTGCATCACTTGATTCTTACAATAAACCATTGAGGTACGTTGTATTTTTAAAAAAATATAATTTATTGATTTTTTACAGAGAGGAATGGAGAGAGATAGAGAGTTAGAAACATCGATGAGAGAGAAACATCGATCAGCTGCCTCCTGCACACCTCCCACTGGGGATGTGCCCGCAACCAAGGTACATGCCCTTGACTGGAATCGAACCTGGGACCCTTCAGTCCGCAGGCTGACGCTCTATCCACTGAGCCAAATCGGTTTCGGTGATACATTGTATTTTTACCTGCTTTTAAATATGGAAGAACTCATGGATGGACCTGGAGAACATTATGCTAGATGAAATAAGTCAGTCAGAGGAAAACAAGTACCATATAATTTCACTCACATGTGGGATCTAATGAACAAGGTGAACTGACAAACATATAGAGAATAGGCTGAGGGCAGGGGGATGTCCGCCTGCGGGTGATGGGCCTAACTGGCAGGCAGACATCCCCCGACGGATCCTGGACTGCGAGAGGGTGCAGGCCAGGCTGAGGTGCCCCCCCCCCCCAGTGCACAAATGTCGTGCACCGGGCCTCTAGTTAAAAAAATAAAAATGAAAGAAGTGAGGCTCACAGAAACAAGTGACTTGTCAGAATTTTGATCTCCAGTTCTGACTTCAAGATCTGAGTTCTCTACTGTCTTCAGCCATCTCCTCTATATCAAGTTGGTGCTTTGGGATTCTAATGGTTCACAATATTGGGTTAAATCTGAAGTATTTGATAATTTTAATCAAATCAGCCCTTCTTATTAGTCAAAATATCAAGTACAGTTTTATAGTCTTTCATATTATGATTAACGTATCATATTACAAACTGTTTTCCAAATTTCTAGGAAAAGCTCATGGTTTAAGTTCTTAAAAAAAAAAAAAGATTTCTAAAATCACATTCTTTCTCCTCAAGTAATAGCTTCCTTTAATCTTAATGTCTTATCTCTCTATTAGAAAGGCCCAGCTCTGGTGTTGGATGTAGGGGGCAAGTACATGTTTATCTTAGAACTCTAGATCCTCCAGAAAAGAAAAAATAACCTCGGGTATCCAGGTTATTGTTTCTCAGAGTTTATCAGTGAAGTATTACCATTTTATTTATCAGCTACCATTTCTGGAGTGCTCTAAAGGTAGAATTAGAAGTGAGAAATAATAATTGCCTGGCTCCGTGGTTGAGCATCAACCTATGGAGGTCACGGTTTGATTCCTGATCAGGGTATATGCCCAGGTTGCAGGCTCAATCCCTAGGGTGAGGCATGCAGGAGGCAGCCAATCAATGATTCTCTCTCACTGAGGGGCGATCAGGCAGGCAGGTGAGCAGTTAGGGATGATCAGGCAGGCATAGGGGTTAGGGTCAATCAGGCAAACAGAGCAGTTAGGGGTGATCAGGTAGGCAGAAGGGTTAGGAGCAATCAGGTAGGCAGAGTGGTTAGGGGTGATCAGGCAGGTAGGCAGGCAAGCGGTTAGGAGCCAGTGGTCCCAGATTGCAAGAGGGTACAGGCCAGGCTGAGGGACACCATCCCCACCCCAACCCCCCCAACCCCCATGCAGAATTTCATGCACTGGGCCTCTAGTTTATAAATAAATGAGCAGGCCTGTGTTCCCATAAAACTTTATTTACAAAAACAAAGCTGGGCCATAGTTTGCTGACTCTTGGCCCTGGGGTTTTATGAGCTATAATTTATTGTTATTCTGGATTGGCTGGTACCAAATTGGCTAGCACAAAAGAAAGATAACTGCTATTTAAAAAACATTTATGCCTATGACTTCAGAAGACTGTAAGTCCATTAAAGCACTTTCTGAGAATAATAGTTATGATGATCATGACTATGACAACCACAGCTACTCGTATATTCTATTTAGATGTTCACACTACCGTTACATGATGTCACAATGTCTCCCAAACACGATAAAGAAAATCTTTGATGTGTGATGAAAATGTGCTGCTATTTTAGCCTGATATATATATTTTAAATTGTATTACTATAATAAGGTAAATTAAATGCAATTAATTAATATCCTATCTAATAAAGAGAAACATGGTAATTAGTGTCACTCTGCCACCCTTCCCATTGGCTAATCAGGGTGATATGCAGATTAACTGCCAGCCAAGATGGCGGTTAACCACCAACAAAGATGGCGGCTAATTTGCATACTGCAGGCAGGATGGGACAGCAGCGCCATTCTGCCTGCCCCGCCGCCATCCGGGCCTGCTATCTGTGACCTGGATGGTGGGCGACCCCTGTGCGACCCGACCCAGGGCTGGCGGGCGTGACCCTGGCTGTCTGCCAGCTGTCACGCCCCCAACCAGCCCTCCCGCCGGGAGATCCGGGCTGGCAGGGCGACTGCTGCCCGTCAGCCATCAGTCACGCCTCCTGACGGGAGATCCGGCACTGGCGGGCGACTGCTGCCCGTCAGCCATCAGTCACCCCCCCAACCAGCCCTCCCGCCTGGTTATCCGGGCTGGCGGGGCGACTGCGACCGCCAGCAGTCTCCCCGCCAGCCTGGATCTCCCGCAACAGTCGCCCGCCAAACCGGATCTCTCACAGCATTCGCCCCTCCAGCCTGGATCTCCCGCGGGAGATCCGGCCCTGCTGGGGCGACCGCTGCCTGTCAGTCACCAGTCATGCCCCCAACCAGCCCTTAATGTGGTATACAGGGAGATATTAGAATAAGTTTAATCACTTTATCAGTCATTATTTGCATCAGTGTTGTTTTTACATCATGAGATTTTTGTTATATCATTTTATTATTGTTTATTTATTAATAAAATTATGTATTATTTTCATATACATTGTACTCATTTCCTTTTATCTCTCACACTTTTATTATAGAGAAAGGGCAAATAGCAACATTAAAATATTTCCTCTAATTAATTCCCTTTCAATGTGCACGAATTTCGTGCACCGGGCCACTAGTATAATCTAATAAAAGAGAAACATGCAAATTGACCGCACTTCCGCTGCGCCCCAAGCCCTGCCCACCAGCCAATGAGAGCGACTATATGCAAATTAACCCAACCAAGATGGCGACTGGCAGCTACGGACCTGGAGCAAACAGGAGGCTTGGTTGCCCTGGCGATAGAGGAAGCCAAGCTTCCTGCCTGCCCTGGCCCAGCTGTGGCCTCCACTCAAGGCAACAAAGTTTCAATTATAGAAGATAAATAAATTCCAGAAACCTGCTTCCAGCCAGCCTCCACTGGGAGCTTGGGTAGCTGGGGGCCATAGCCAGCCTACAAACAGACATCAGCCCCTCACCCAGACTGACCAGGCACCCCAGCAGGACCTCCCTCCCTAAAGAGGGTGTGACCTGGGTGAAGGGCTGAAAATGGCCCTCAGCCCTTCACCCAGGCTGGCCAGGCACCCAGTGGGACTCCCACCCTGATCCGGGACACACTTCAGAGCTAACCAGCTGGCCCCCACCCATGCACCAGGCCTCTATCCTATATAATAAAAGGGTAATATGCAAATTGACCCTAACAGCAGAACAACTGGGAATGACTGGTCACTATGACACACACTGACCACCAGGGGACAGACGCTCAATGCAGGAGCTGTCCCCTGGTGGTCAGTGTGCCCCCACCGGGGGAGCTCTGTTCAGCCACAAGCCAGGCTGATGGCTGCCAGTACAGTGGTGGTGGCGGGAGCCTCTCCCGCCTCCTCAGCAGCACTAAGGATGTCCAACTGCAGCTTAGGCCTGCTTCCCACTGGCAAGTGGACATCCCCGGAGGGCTCCTGGGCTGCCAGAGGGATATCTGACTGCTAGCTTAGGCCCGATCTCCCAGGGAGTGGGCCTAAGCCAGCAGGTGGACATCCCCGAGGGGTCCCAGACTGCGTGAGGGCACAGGCTGGGCTGAGGGAACTCCCCCTCAAGTACACAAATTTTTGTGCACCAGGCCTCTAGTATTATATATTTATTTTTGTTTCATTATATTAAATATATACTTCTATTTAAATAATCTTGTGATTTTATGTTTCTACATTTTGCTATTTGTTAAGATATTATTGAAAGAATATCATTTTGAAGCTGATACAGAGCCAGATTTGTTTTCTCTTACTCTTATGGTATATAATCTTATATATAATCTCTAACTTGCTATCAGAATAAAAAAATGACCAGTTATGTAACATTTCAGAATCTACACTAATAAAAGAGAAACATGGTAATTGGTGTACAACTGCTACCCTTCCCATTGGCTAATCAGGGCAATATGCAAATTAACTGCCAGCCAAGATGGCAGCAGCAGCCAGGCAGCTTGAAACTAACATGAGGCTTGCTTGCTTCAATGACGGAGGACTCCAACGTTCCCCGCCGGCTGCTGCAGGCCCCTGAGCCTGCAGTTTGAAACATTGTAACAAATATAGATGCCCAGAAACTAGCTTTCAGCTGGCTGGGATCTCAGAGCTGGAGTTGATACAGAGTTTCAAGAACCCGAAACAAACCAGATACCTGCTTTCAGGAGCGGAGGCCTAAGAGCTGGAGCCTCAGAGCTAAAGCTGGCCCAGAATAAAAATTAAAAAAAAGAAAAAAAGGAGCAATTGGGAGCTTCAGTCCCAGCCTGAAAACAGCCCTCAGCCCCTCACCCAGACTGGGCAGGCACCCCAGTGGGGACCCCCACCCTGAAGGGTGTGTGACCAGCTGCAAACAGCCATCATCCCCTCATCTAGGCTGGCCAGGAACCCCAGTGGGGAACCCTACCCTGATCCAGGACACCCTTTAGGGCAAACCAGCCGGCCCCCACCCGTACACCAGGCCTCTATTCTATATAGTAAAAGGGTAATATGCCTCCCAGCACTGGGATCAGCGGAGCTGAGAGGCCTCCTGGCACCAGGATCAGTGTGACAGGGGGCAGCGCCCAAACCCCCTGATCGCCCTGCGGCTCTGTGTGTGACAGGGGGTGGGGTCACAACCTCCCTATCTGCCCTGCTCTGTTCGTGACAGGGGAAGGCACCCCAACCCCCTGATCGGCCCTGCTCTGTGGGTGATAGAGGGCAGCGCCCCAACCCCCTGATTGGCCCTGCTCTATGCATGACGGGGTGGCGCCACAACCTCCCCATCGACCCTGCCTTGAGTGTGACAGGGGGCGGTGCCCAAATCCCCCAATCGGCCCTACCCTGAGCGTGACTGAGGGTGGCATCGCAACCTCCCGATCCGCCCTGCTCTGTGCATGACAGGGGGCGGCGCCCCAACTCCCCAATCGGCTCTGCTCTGAGCCCAACCAGGGGCTGCACCTAGGGATTGGGCCTGCCCTCTGCCACCCGGGAGCAGGCCTAAGCCAGCAGGTCGTTATCTCCCAAGGGGTCCCAGACTGCGAGAGGGCACAGCCCGGGCTGAGGGACCCCTCTCCCCCCCGAGTGCACAAATTTTTGTGCACTGGGCCTCTAGTAAGATATAAGCAACAATGGGTGAATTATTTTCTGTTTTCATTAACTTTAACTTTCCCTAAGACTCATACTTATTTCTTATCACTGTGGCTAAGCTCACTGTACTTTTCTGGTCTTTGTACACTTTTTTTGGCAATATGATTGAACATTTACAAACATATACATGTATATATTTGTCACTTCTTTGCTTACTATTTTCCCCATAACCTTTCAGACAGGGTCCAAGTTCCTTAACTTGTATTATAATGTAACAACTCTGGACATTGCCTTCTCACTCTATGGATTTCAACCCTTTCCACTGCAACTTCTGCCTGTGGGTGGTTTCAGCACAAGTTGCTCCTCTTGGCTGGAGCAGTTTTTTCCCTTCTCTCTCTATCTGGCCAACTCTCCTACACATCCCTCAGAGAGTCATTTAAACATTACTTTTTTGTTTTTGTAAAAACTTTGTCAAGTCCCTAGACTAGGTTGGATACACATGCTCTGTGTAGCTTCTCTGTCATAGCACTTATTTTTCACATTATTGTTTTTATGAGTGAACTAGAGTCCCAATGCATGAAATTTGTGCAAGAGTAGGCCTTCCTTCTCCTGGCTGCCAGCACTGGCACCCAGGACCCAGGCTTCCTTCCCTCCGGCTGCTGGTAGGCACCCGGCACCTGGGATGTGGGCTTCCCTGCAGCCTCCAGCAGACACCTGGGACCCAGGATTCCCTTGCAACCCCGACTTTGTCTGGAAGGACGGAAGGACGTCTGGAAGGATGTCCGGTCTAATTAGCATATTATGCTTTTATTATTATAGTTGTTCTCTGCAGCAGGTGGATTACCACGTAGGTAGGAATTATCTATATTGCTTATCAATCTATCTCTGTTCTCAAATACAGGGCTTAATCAATATTTTTTATATAAAGTTTAGTGAGAAAAGTTATAATTAACCTTATTGCATTAATCCATTGCTTATCTTTTAAAGTATAAATAAAAAGTATATGCACATTGATTCTATTTTTTTTTTTTAATTAAAGCAAGGATGGACTGCCAAATCATGGGCCATACAGAATCCTTGCCCTCCTGTGTAAGTCACATTTTTTTCACATTTGAACTGTTTAATGAGCAAATATTTATAATATACTGACAAAAAATAAGGCAAAATTATATATACATGGCTATGATTGTAAACCACAGAAAAATTTATATGCAGGTAGGTGGCCTAAAATTACTATGTCAAAATTAACTGAAATAGCTCTTCTATAGGATGATAGGATTAAGGATAATACTTTTCTTGTTTTTGCTTTATTTAATATTGTTCTTCTGTATTCCTGGAAAAGTTTAAATATTGTTTTATTTAGAAAATTTAGCTAAGTGCATTTATTAAAGAAATATATAAAATTTTGCATTTTATAACTAGGATAGTCAAAATGAATTTGATGGGAACTCTATCTGTACTTGTATCTTGAGGAGTATGATTTTATTTTGAACTAGAATACATTGACTTGTTTTATACTTTATATTTTACCCTTTTAAAATTTGGAAGTATATATGTCCTTTCAAGTATTTTAGATTACAGGGCATTCTGGAAAATAGAAATTAAACTTAATAATTATGAGGCTGAGTCACATGAAATTGGCAAGTATCAGAAATTTCTTGTGGTTCTACATAATAGTACCTGTATATTCATCTAGACAGGGAATGGAGCTGGGTGCAAACATTAGATACAAGATGTTGAGTATGTAACAACAGTCAATTGTGTGTTGGTAAATGTTTTTAACAACTGGTTTTCTGAAACTGTACTATAAGATTAATATAAATTTTAATTGTTAATTATAAAGAATCTTAAGTATATTTTAAATTGATTATACATTTTACTGACATAAAGGATTTGTAGCAAGGAATTGACAAATACTGATAAAACTTATAAGCCCTTTATTGTAAATTGATTGTAATCAATTGATATAGCCAATTGATTATCACAGAAATATATATTTTTGTTTTGTTTTATTTTTAAATTCTCAGTTGAAGATTTTTTTTTCTATTAAATTTTAGAGTGGAGGGGAGGAGGGAGATGGGGGAGAGAGAAAAACATACCCGGGAGAGAAACACATCCATTGGTTGCCTCCTGAATCTACCCCGAGGATGGAGCCTGCAATGGAGGCACACACCCTTGACTGGGAATTGAACCTACAACCCTTTGATCTTTGGGACAATTCTCCAACCACTGAGCCACTCCAGCAAGGGCAAGATATCTTTGTTTTTTGCTGAATTCTTTTGTCTGTAGCCAAACTATGGTTGGAATTGATGGACTGTATAGTTCCAACATGAGTGTTGGTTGATATTTTTATTTATTGTAGGGTGACGTGAGTGATTGCTGGGTTGAATCAGGTGATAGTTTTGAATACTGCAACAATATTTCTGTTTGTTGTTATTCACAATGTGACAGTGAAGACGTGATACACTTTTAAGTTTTTTCTGCATTATTTATTTTCTCCACCACTTTTAAAGTCTCAGAAATCAAAAGTAATAAAATCAAGTCCTGATTCTTATTATTTTGCCAATTTCTGTGTAAATAATACCACTGTGCTTGATTTCAGGCTACCTATAGAGCAGTGATGGCGAACCTATGACACGCGTGTCAGAGGTGACACGCGAACTCATTTTTTGGGTTGATTTTTGTTTGTTAAATGGCATTTAAATATATAAAATAAATATCAAAAATATAAACCTTTGTTTTACTATGGCTGCAAATATCAAAAAATTTCTATATGTGACACGGCACCAGAGTCAAGTTAGGGTTTTTCAAAATGCTGACACGCCGAGCTCAAAAGGTTTGCCATCACTGCTATAGAGTAATATCATTGAAAACAGAATTGGAAAGAAATGTCTACCATTATATTACTACACAGACATAAATAACCTCTGGCATACAAATAATAGTGAAGGATAGTAAAATCATTAGGAAGTAAACCGTTGGCATCAGTGCACCATTTTATGTAAGATGCAGCATATATGATTTGCAGCTATTAAAGTCTCTTTTTTAAAAGTTATGGGCTACATAGATTTTTCTTTTTCTTTCAGGGTCCCACGCCTTGATTTGGGAAGCCTTGTTGACTCTGATGATGAGGTAATTTTTACTTAGTATTTAATATATCAAACATTTGAACACAATATTATATGTAGCAGATAATAAGTATCACTTAATTTTTTTTTAGGATGATTTTTCATATATTCCATTTAGAACAGCGCATATTCATTTTGACCCACCAAATCCATCTTCTGCTCTTGATGGGGTCACACCATGTCAAATACCATATACTCAGCAACATCTAAATGAACTGGTTAGTATTTAGTTCTTATAACCAACATTCTGAATTATAGTGTGCATTTTAGCACTGTATTTAATCCAGAAATTTTATTATGTTTAACCTATGTTTTGTTCAGTTTAAGGGTTTAACATATTAATATCCTAAACAATAATGTTGGTGAAGTAATTTTACTGTGCTTCATGTTTTTTCTCACAGAGGGATGTTATTATTAAAGTACCTTATAAAATTGGTAAAGCATAGGATTATCCTAATAGGAAATCAGGAATTTCAAATTATGGCAGAATATTAGATCAGATCTTGCTCATTTAAAAATATAAGATTTGTTTCTTGGAAATTGACTCATTCTTTAGGCTACTAGTGTATTAGAGAATAAATAATTCCAAGGTATCTCCTTGGGACATATTTGTACTTCACACAGTATTCTGTGTTATGACCATAAATTCTGACCAGTATCCTGTGAGTAGGGCATGCCTTGCTGTCTTTGTTAGTCTTTCTCATGTAACTGTCTCTATTCATGTTCCCATCAGTCTTATTTTGGGTAAATTGCACCAATAGTACCCTAGTCTGTATCATGTTATAGTTTTGCCTGAAGCTTTGCCTCATCCTTCTCCTCTGGGTTAGACTTGGATATCCTATCTAATAAAAGGATATTATGCAAATTAACCATCACTCCATCACAAAGATGGCAGTGCCCATAGACAAAAGATGGCAGCGCATAGTCCTCTCAGCCCCGCTGGAGTCTCCCAGTCCCAAGGCGGGGACTGTTGAGAGCAGGCAGCATGAGCTGCCTGGCAGAATGCTTGCTTCGTCACTGTGGTGACGAGGCAAGTGTTCCAAGCTGGTCCATGGATGGGCCTCTGGCTAGGCCGGGGTGCGGAATGCTTGCATAAGAAGAGAAGGAACCAATGAGCTGAGGAGAGTCGAGTGGCCCCCTCATTCCCAGGCAAGGTCAAGTCCAGGTGGCCAGAGGGTGGAGGGGGTGGAGGATAGTGTGACAGGAGGGGCTGGTGGTGGAGGCACAGGGGTGAAAGCCAGCTGAGAAAGAGGAAGAAAGCCCTTTATTGGAGTTCCTAAGAACAGGGAGGGAAGTTGTTTGCATTTCCCAGCCACAGAAGGGCCTCTGGCCAGGCTGGGGCGTGGAATGCTTGCATTGCTGCAGATGGGCCTCTAGGCCATGGAGAGCCTCTGGGCAGCAGGCACGGAGCGGCCGGGCCCTGTAGAAGGCTATTGGTGCACAGATTTGTGTGCAGGGCTACTAGTTATCAATAATTTTCAAGGGTTGTGCTGGCTTTTAAAGTGACTGTCCCTCTCTGGTCCATTAAGTATGCCCTAGTGTTTGCCTAACACTTGTTTCAGGTTTCTCTTATCCACTCTGTTATGTCTCACTCTCATGGAAGTGTGGCAGGCGCCCAAATAATACCAGAAGATAAACATCTTAACATTCTGGAAATGGGAACCATCTCAGTATTAGTGATTTGTAATTCCTATGACCCTTCTGGAAGAAATGATTGACAGTGGAGTTTTTCTGGGGCAGGAAGAAAAGGCCTAAAAAGAAAGAAAAGTTGTTCATTGTCCTCTCAAATTATCTTAGTACCAGGGCTGATTATCCCTGGGAAACAAGCTATGGGCTTTCTGGTATTAAAGGCCAGTGCCCAATCTCAGCAGTTCTGTCTGCTCTGGTTGCTGTGATACTGCACAGCTAAAGGTTTTAATTATCGCCTCTTTTAGGACGTAGATATAATTGTCTGTTTCTTACACATAAATGCTAAGGTAAGTGATAAACATGTTAATGTTAGTAAGGCAATTAATAATGATTTTGATTTCTTTTTTCTGGTGGATAGCATACTTTTTCTTTTTGTCTTAGGAGCAGGATATTATACCTGAAGATTTGCCAGCACCAACAAGCAAATATAAACTAAAATATCAGCAATACAAAACTGAAATGAAAGAGGGATATAAACAGTATTGTCAGAGAAATGCAGAAAAGACAAAATCAAATATCAGATATCAACCATCTCCAAGAAACAAGATAGATAACAAGGTAATATATGAGGCTTTATAAAGTTATAATGAAATTTTGAAAAAGAGTACACATATTATAGAAACATCTTCTTGTCTGATATGTCTTGCTGTTAGTCATAATAAGTGTTCCCTGGTATTTTACTCAGATTAACTAGTTTATTCTTCACAATTATCCTAAAGGGTTATTGCTATCATTTTCAGATGTAAAAAGAGTCTAGCCATATGACATGACCTCATCATCTTTTCTCAATTGGAAATTTTTCACTTGCCATGGATTGTAAATAAGACAGTATAGCTGTTTTTGATGTAGCTGCCTTGAATTCTGTCTTCCAGTCTAAATATTAAAGTTGAAAAGTGGTTTCAGATTTTATAATGACCCTCTTTTTTTCTAAAACTACCATTACTCCATGATTGTCTTCTGTCTTATTTTGGGAAATGTGTTTTAACATCATGAATTCCTAAAATTGTTATGCTTTTATTTAACACTAGAGACCCGGTGCATGAAATTCGTGCATGGGAAGGGGGTCCCTCAGCCTGGCCTACACGCTCTTGCAATCCGAGACCCCTAAGATATCCCTCTCGCAATCTGGTACCACTGGCTCCTAACCACTTGCCTGCCTTCTTGCCTGATTGCCCTTAAATGCCTCTGCCTGCCTGCCTGATTACCCCTAACTGCTCACCTGCCTGCCTGATCACCCCTAACCACTCTGCCTGCCTGCATGATTTCCCCTAGGTGCTTGCCTGCCTGTCTGATTGCCCTTAACCACTTCTGCCTTGGCCTCTGCACCCAGTACCCAGGCTTCCCTCCTCTGGCCAGCCACAGGCATCTGGGACCCGGGCTTCCCTCCCTCTGGCCGACCACAGTACCCAGGACCCAGGCTTCCCTCCTCTGGCCGGCCACAGGCATCTGGGACCCGGGCTTCCCTCCCTCTGGCCGACCACAGTACCCAGGACCCAGGCTTCCCTCCCTGTGGTCGGCTGCTGGCATCTGGGACTGCAGGAGGCTTCCTCCGGCCAACTGCAGGCTCCCGTGATCACGGGCATCTCCTCCAGGCCAGCTGCAGGCACCTGGGACTACGGCTTTGTCAAGAAGGATGTCCGGAATGATGTCCAGAAGATGTCCGGTCTATCTGGTCTAATTAGCATGTTACCCTTTTATTAGTATAGATTAAATAGGTGGAAATTCAGTAAGAGTAAAACTTAATGAATTTAGTGGCTTTCCTGAAGCATACAGGAGAGATCAATCTTGAATTTTGGAAAGAAAGGTTTGGAAATAGTTTGTGATGCAACTGGACATAAAGAAGAGAACAGTTGTATACAATTCTTAATTCAGTTAACTTACTATAAAAGTAATGTATTTTCAGGGACGTTTGATAGTTATATTTGGTTAGTTGTATTTTTCTATAGGTAAAAAAAATTAATTTATAAGCATGTGTAGCACATCAGTTAATTTTTCTAATCCACATATAAATTATCTAGAATAACTAAATCACATGCTGTTTAGCTGAAAGCATAACAGCAAAAGTTATGGGGTTACTAGGTGTCCTTTATCTTAAGACAAAATTCCCAGATCCAAACAATGCACACAAGTATAATAATCTAGTGTCTATAATAAGCAGGATAATTTCACAATTTTTTCACATCTGATGAGAAGCCAGATTCTGCAGAGATTTTGAAGATTGGGCTGAGAAAACTTGCTAATGGATTTCTTGTAGGCTTGAGAGAAAGGAAAGATGAAGATTGGTGCTAAGGCTTTTGTTTTGAACAATTGAAAGGGTGAGGAAGACCACAAGGAAATATGGTTTGAAGAGGTTAAAAGATACCAAGTGGAAATACTACGGTTCCCCCTATGTAAAGGTTAAAAATAAGCTGAAACAAAACAAAATGCTTTTCAATTTTCAACTTAAACATAATGTAGAATGTCTGAAAGAAAATCTGACAAAGATATTAGCAGTAATAAATAAAGGTATAAAATATCCTCATACATTGATTCCTGATAGTTAATACTTGAACAAGATTCATTATTCATTCATTGAATAAATATTCATCAAGTGCTTACTCTGTGCGTTCCTCTTCTGTCACCTGGGAACTGCAACGAAAAGGACTGGCAAGATTCCTGCTCTCATGGAAGTTATAGCAGGGGAGGCAGGCAACGAGTCACAAAGAGATGTATAGTAAGATTTCCTGTAGCAATCACAGCCATGACAACAGAGTAGAGTATGAAGAAAGATCTTGAAATCTATTAAGTTTTTCCAGTTGCAATCCTACTGGAACACTTTTGTTCTTGTTAAGGGAATATAGCACATCTTATATTCAGAGAAATAGTTAGTGTTTATCTCTTTAGGACCCCAAAGGATTTTTTCCTTAAAGGATACACCCCTTCTTTTAGTACTTTACCTCCAAATTTAATTTTTATAAGGAGTGGGCATACTTACATTTATTAACTTTACAAAGACTTAAATGGACACTAATAGTTATAATAGTTGCTACCTTTTATGTAATGCTTTCTTTATGTCAGGTACTTCTTTTTTAAAGTGTGGAACATGTGTCATCTCATTTCATCTTTTTCTGTGTGTGTTTGTAAAGTAGTAACTGCTGTTAATTCCCATTTTCATGAGTAAACCAAGGCACAGAGAGTTCATCTAGCTAGAAAGTGGAAGGGCTGGATTCGAATAGGCAGTGTGATCCTCAGAGCCTATACTGTTAACCCCTCCACAAATAATCACTGACATGTTCACTGGTTCTTTAACCCTTTCTTCTTTTAAAAACAAATATTCAAAGTATGTGTATGTGAGTTCCTTTATTGCTTTCATGTATAGAATGCCCAAGGGGAAGAAGCCGTCACAGATGACCTTACAACTCTGGATAGGAAAGCCCTCTTACAGCAGCGTTATGCAGACAACCCTTACCATGCACAGCAGAGTACAAGGAAATCTAATGCTGTAAGTTACCAGTCTGTTTACTTATTATTTGATAAACCAGCGAGATAATTTGCCCTGCAAGGTTTTTACAGACTTATCATTGAATAAATAATTTCAACAATTAAATTTGGAATGAGATGAATATTCATTAATGTGCACATTGAGTCCTCATTTTAATAAATGATTGACGTTTGGTCTATTCACTGTGGAGAAATTGTCTTGAATCTTTGAGAGTTTGTAAAAATCCTAATATATAAAATGTAGGATCTGTAATGTCCAAAATGACTGAAGTCTCGACTGACCGGAAGTCACTCCTGCAGTCAGTGCTGGGTTTCTGTGATAACTGCCGCTGTTATTGGTGCGGTGGCCCAGCACTGACTGCCAAGGGGGCTGTGGATCAGGCCCAGAGAGAGAAGCAGATTCTGACCCGTAGCCTCCATGGCAGCTGTTGATCAGCCCTTGGCTCTCTCTTTCTCTCTGGGCCTGGCCAGAAGCCACGCCTCTCTTTCTCTCCAGGCCTCCCCGGGGCCTGCTGATTAGCCCCATCTCTCTGATCAGGCCCAGAGATAGACCCGGAGACACTAACTGACATAGAAACCAATCAATCAGAACCAAATCTGGGTGAAGTGCAAGGAGCCAATGGCTGCCTATGAGGCAGAGCTTTTGACACTGACTGGCATAAAAACTAACCAATCAGAACCTAATCTGGGTGAACTGTGAAGGCAGAACCTAAGGTGGGGGCTGAGGAGGGGTTTTAATGATAACAGCTGTTTGGTGTTAGGTGTAAGAAAGTGATTCGATTTTTTAATGACCAGTTTGTCAGTATAGTGTATATGGCTGGCTATCAGTCCAGATATAGGGATTATGTATTTTTGTCTGCCAAGAGTGTCTCCTCCTGCTGAAAAAGGCTTCCCTCACTATTTAAGCAATCCTATCCTATATAATCTATCTATAGTAATAAGAGTGTAGTATGCTAATTAGACCGGGTCGACCGTCCATTTTCTGGACATCCGACTTTCTTTTGGACAAAGCCATGGTGGTGGGGGCTGAGGCAGAGGCAGTTAGGGTGATCAGGCCAGCAGGGGAAGGCAGTTGGGGTCAAGATCAGACCAGCAGGGAAGAGTCGTTGGGGGCAAGATCAGGCTGGCAGGGGAGGGAAGTTGGGGCTGAGAACAGGCTGGCAGGGAGCGCAGTTGGGGGTAAGATCAGGCCAGCAGGGGAGGGCAGTTGAGGGTGAGAACAGGCCAGCAGGGAAGGGCAGTTAGGGGTGATAGGCAGGCAGGCAGAGGCAGTTAGGGGCGAACAGGCAGGCAGGTGAGCAGTTAGGAACCAGCGGTCCCACATTGCAAGAGGGATGTCTGATTAGAGAGGGTGCACGTTGGGCTGAGGGAACCCCCAGCACTGGGAATTTCATGCACCGTACCACTAATTTTGTTTATAAAGTTCCTAATGTTAATTGGCTACTCTTTGTCAGTGGGTTTATTTGTCATCGACTCCCCCCCACAGTAGTCTGGTTATGTTTTTCAAAGTCAGAAGCTAAGAAAGCTAGAGAAATTCAGAGCTGTTAAGGAAAAGGATAGGAATTAAATATAAGCTCTTTAGCAAGAGGGAAGTAAAACTTTAGACTCTCAGTATTAACTATATCATAACCTTTACAAAATCAATTAATATTGTTTGATGGGTATTGCTTAGATCAGTTCTGGTATGTCATTTCTTTTTTTTTAACATTAAAATAAATTTTTTCAATAGAAGTATTTTACTTAATGATGTTTACATTTTAAAAATTAAATTAATTGGGGTGACATAAGCTAATAAAATTATATAGGTTTCAAGTGTGCAATTCTATGATATACCATCTGGATATTGCATTGTGCCCATCGCCCATCAGACCAACCTGCTTGAAGTTGGAATCCAGTGGCCACCCCAGACACTCCCGGGTGGTGAAAATCTTAGGGATGCTTGTAATAGATGATGGAAATCCAGTGAATATTGGCTCAAAAGTTGGGAAAATTCACATTTAGATAAACTAAATAAAAATAAAGCAATATGGATCTAGCCAGTTACATTTTCATTATCATTGAATGGAAAATTAATATATTTTTATTTTGGTCAAACTCATCCAGAATCACTGCCTTCTGAACTGACAGCTGTGTGTAATCAGTTTCCACCAGGTAGACTGGTTTTCTGTGGATGTCCCACGTTGTTAACTTGTTATAGTTTTTTTACTAAAACCACATAACATTATTTTCTATGCCTAATATTATTTAGACTAGAGGCCCGGTGCACAAAAATTTGTGCACTCGGGGGGTCCCTCAGCCTGGCCTGTGCCCTCTCACAGTCTGGGACCCTTCGGGGGATGACCACCTGCTGGCTTAGGCCCACTCCCCAGGGGACTGGGCCTAAGCTGGCAGTCAGACATCCCTCTGGCAGCCCGGGAGCCCTCAGGGAATGTCCACTTGCCAGCGGGGAGCAGGCCTAAGCTGCAGTCGGACTTCCTTAACGCTGCTGAGGAGGCGGAAGAGGCTCCCACCACCACCGCTGTACTGGCAGCCATCAGCCTGGCTTGTGGCTGAGCAGAGCTCACCCTGTGGGAGCGCACTGACCACCAGGGGTCAGCTCCTGCATTGAGCGTCTGCCCCCTGGTGGTCAGTGTGTGTCATAGTGACCAGTCATTCCCAGTTGTTCTGCTGTTAGGGTCAATTTGCATATTACCCTTTTATTATATAGGATAGAGGCCTGGTACAAGGGTTGGGACAGTCTGGTTTGCCCTGAAGGATGTCCCAGATCAGGGTGGGAGTTCTGCTGGGGTGCCTGGCCAGCCTGGGTGAGAGGCTGAGGGCTGTTTTCAGGTAGGCCACACCCCCTTCAGGGAGAGGGGGTCCTGTTGGGGTGCCTGGCCAGCCTGGGGAGGGGCTGATGGCTGTTTGCAGGCTGGCCAAGCCCTCCAGTGGGGACCCTCACCCCATGAGGGTGTGGCCACCCTGGGTGAGGGGCTGATGGCTATTTGCATGCTGACCACAGCCCCCAGCCACCCAAGCTCACAGTGGAGGGTGGCTGGAAGCAGGTATCTGAGATTTATTTAGCTTCTATAATTGAAACTTTGTTGCTTTGAGCGGAGGCCACAGCCAGCCAGGGCAGGTGGGAAGCTTGGCTTCCTCTATTGCCAGGGCAACCAAGCCTCCTGCTTGCTCCAGCTCTGTGGCTATCAGCCGCCATCTTGGTTGGGTTAATTTGCATATAGTCGCTCTGATTGGCTGGTGGGTGTGGCTTGGGGAATAGCGGAGGTGTGGTCAATTTGCATGTTTCTCTTTTATTAAATTAGACTAGAGGCCTGGTGCACAAAAATTTGTGCACTCCGGGGGAAGGGGGGGTCCCTCAGCCCGGCCTGTGCCTTCTCGCAGTCTGGGACCCCTTGGGAGATAACGCCCTGCTGGCTTAGGCCTGCTCCCGGGTGGCAGAGGGCAGGCCCAATCCCTAGGTGCAGCCCCTGGTCGGGCTCAGAGCAGGGCCGATTGGGGAGTTGGGGCGCCGCCCCTGTCATGCACAGAGCAGGGCGGATTGGGAGGTTGCAATGCCACCCTCAGTCACGCTCAGGGTAGGGCTGATTGGGGAGTTGGGGCACCGCCCCCTGTCACACTCAAGGCAGGGTCGATGGGGAGGTTGCAGCGCCACCCCCTGTCATGCACAGAGCAGGGCCAATCAGGGGGTTGGGGCGTCGTACCCTGTCACACACAGAGCAGGGCCAATCAGGGGTTTGGGGCGCCGCCCCCTGTCACACACAGAGCCGCAGGGCAATCAGGGGGTTGGGGAGCTCTCCCCCTATCAGGCACAGAGCAGGGCTGATCAGGGGGTTGGGTCACCTTCCCCTGTCACGAACAGAGCAGGGCGGATAGGGAGGCTGTGGCCTTGGCCCCTGTCACGCACAGAACCGCAGGGTGATCAAGGGGTTTGGGCGCTGCTCCCTGTCACGCTGATCCCGGTGCCGGGAGGCCTCACGGCTCCTCTGATCTCGGTGCTGGGAGGCATATTACCCTTTTGCTATATAGGATAGAGGTCTGGTGCACGTGTCGGGGCCAGCTGGTTTGCCCTGAAGGGTGTCCTGGATCAGGGTGAGGGTCCCCACTGGGGTGCTTGGCCAGCCTGGGTGAGGGGATGATGGCTGTTTGCAGGTGGTCACACACCCTTCAGGGTGGGGGTCCCCACTGGGGTGCCTGGCCAGTCTGGGTGAGGGGCTGAGGGCTGTTTTCAGGCTGGCGGGTGACGGAAGCTCCCAACCGCTCCTTTTTTTCTTTTTCTTTTTAATTCTGGGCCAGCTTTAGCTCTGAGCCTCCAGCTCTTAGGCCTCCGCTGCTGAAAGCAGGTATCTGGTTTGTTTCGGTTCTATAATCGAAACAATGTATAACTCCAGCTCTGAAATCCCGGCTCGTTGAAAGCAGGTTTCTGGGGTTTTGTTTAGGTTCTATATTTGTTACAATGTTTCAAACTGCAGGCTCAGAGGCCTGCAAGGCAGGCGGGGAACGTTGGTTTCCTCCGTCACTGAAGCAAGCAAGCCTCATGTTAGTTTCAAGCTGCCTGGCTGCTGCTGCCATCTTGGCTGGCAGTTAATTTGCATATTGCCCTGATTAGCCAATGGGAAGGGTAGCGGTCGTATGCGAATTACCATGTTTCTCTTTTATTAGATAGGATATTGATGTTTGGTAGAATAAGGAATATTAGCAGGATCATTCTAAAGATAAAGAAGCTACTTTATAAGACAACATAGTGTCTCAAATAAGGGTTCTTTGATATGTGTCTCAAGTTACACTTGAAATGCATGTCACCAATGCTTAAGGTCAGTTGAGTTTTGGTCTTGGTGTAATCCAAAGCCACCGGGTGTGAGTGGAATTCTTTTCCTTACAATTACTTTATTAGTGGCAATATATCTAAATTCACTATCAAGTACATTTCACTTGATTGTGGTAGTCCTCATTTATCTATGCTTTTCAAGGGAATGTTTATTTAAGTAAATGTTGAACACATCAAAAATTAGTATTTATTTATTTTTAAAATGTAGGTGGCTACTTTTTAATTTAATATTTAGCCACCTAACTGGACGACAGAAGCAGTGAGAGTGAGGTTTCCATTTCATATCTTCTAGTTTGCTTGTCATTTTTCAATGTTATCATATTCTTTGCACCAGTGTGACTTCTGTATCTAATCTGTTTTATGCTTACACAGACCTCTAAATCAATGTGCCTCAGGGTGGTTCTGACCTTTCCAAAAAGTATAAACCACCATAAATGTCAACAGTTACGGTGGGCTTTCTGCAAAGGCTCCATATTTATTAACCTCAGCTCTTTTGTTTGCTTGTTATTGGTGTAATTAGCTAGTTTATTGATATTGATAATAGGAAGAGAGCAAAGGGGAGGCCAGACATTATAAGCATGGTCATCTGGGCAGCTTCACCAAGAAACTGCAACATCACACTCCCCATGGGAACCACTGGTCCATTCCCTGAAGATCACTGGGGTAAGAAATCATATAAAAAGGTAGATGGATGCATGCACAGTGAAGTCGGGGTGACGTAGGAAAGGTGCTTGTCTGTCAGTCTAGCCTGGGGAACAATGGATTGGCTAGGGTGTGGACCCCATCAAAAGCATGCAAAGTCTTGGAAAGTTAAAATCTCCAGACAAAATCTCTTGTTCATGCTGGCTCCCTCTTGCTCTGTGAACAGCACTGTTCTCACTCCATAGCCATGTGGCCTTAAGCAGTGCATGGCCATGGCTGTGCGAGCCTCACATGCAATGGACTGCAGCTGGGAACACAAGTTAAGCTAGCCAGAGGCTAGACTGGAATGGACTGTAATATGGAGCAGAAATCCTGGGCAGTGGCCTTTATTCTGGCCCTACTGAAGACACAGTTGAACTCTTTCAATGGTGGGATGAACAGAGATAAGACCTTAGAAGGGAACACCTGTAATTTTGCATAATCATTAAGGCTTTCTACTAACCCCCATCATCCCATGGGGCCTCAGGAAATTATTTTCCTCATGCACCCCAAGAACTTCACTTTCACTGGTAACACTTCTGGGTTTTACATCTCTGTTCTGGCTGATCTTTATTCTATATAATTTCACATTTTAGATAGTATCCACTTTCTGAATCACCCTTGAATATAAAATGTTTTACTTGTAAGTTACACAATTCTTCTAACTTCTTAAAAATCATTATAAAGTGTCACAAGCTTAAGACCACAAGATGCAGTTATATATTACACTAGAGGCTCAGTGCATGAAATTCATGCATGGGGGTAGGGGGGTCCCTCAGCCCAGCCTGCACCCTCTCCAATCCAGGACCCCACAAGGATCAGGCCTAAACCGGCAGTTGGACATCCCTCTCGTAATCTGGGACTGCTAACTCCTAACCACTCACCTGCCTGCTGGCCTGATGCCCCTAATGCTCCCCTGCTGGCCTGATTGCCCCCAACCGCCTCTGCTTGCTAGCTTGATCACCCCCTATCTGCTCCCCTGCTGGTTTGATCACTCCCTAACTGCTCCTCTGCTGTCCTGATTGCTCCTAACTGCCCTCCCCTGCTGGCCTGATTGCCCCTAACTGCCCCCCTGCCAGCCTGATCACCCCTAACCGCCTCTGCGTGGCTTTGTCCGGAAAATGTCCAGTCTAATTAGCATATTACTCCTTTATTAGTATAGATGATATGAGCTCCAATGAGGCATATTTGAATGTGTAAAGCATGCATCTTAAATTTCTACCCAACAAACATCTAAATTCAATTGCAGACTAACAATTAAATGATTGTGCCCAATGTTTCCAGGTTTCTTAGGAGTTTGTACTTTTTGTTTTTATAATATACCTTTACTTATTCTAATTTAATTTTGTGCCAGTTTCAAATAACATTCTCTCTCTAAATGTACAAAGCCTCTATCTTAAGCAACATTACATACTTGAATTCATTTATTGGAATGTTTATTGGAATGATCCATGGAGATGGATGACAATAATTTATATTCTGAAAATAGAACAAGTTTTATTTGACTTCTTAATTTTTTCACCATTTTTGACTTATCCTTCAAAAGAAACATTTTAGTGATTATAGTTACTTGATAATCTAACTGGACTTGAGTGATTACAAATTAGTTTATGAAACCTAAAATGCAGTAAAAATACTTTTGGAAAAGCAAAAAATAGTATGAAGATAGTTTAGTCAAAACACTAATTGAGAAAAGTTGATCAAGGATTATTAATGGATTATATGTATCAAAAATATTACTCTTTTAATGATGGGAGCCTTTGTTAGATTTTTGCTATAGCATTAATTGATTGCAATTCAATTTCAGCTTCAGGTACTGGGGATGGTTTATATTTTAGGACTCTTGAATTAACTGTAGTATATTCTGCTTTATGGACAGTGTGATTTTCCTTATTTCTCTTCTCAGGAAATTGTGGCCGCTGAAAAGAAGAAACAGAGCGTTGCAGAGCAAGTGATGCTGGACCACCTATGCCGGTGAGAGTCACTGCTGACAGAAATCCATTCAGAACATGTTCATAGCAGCACAACTTACAATAGCTAAGACCTGGGAACAGCCCAAGTGCCCATCAGTAGATGAGTGGATAAAAAAGCTGTGGTACATTTACACCACGGAATACTATGCAGCAGTATAAAAGAGGGATCTCTTACCCTTTGCAACAGCATGGAGGGACCTGTAGAGTATTATGCTAAGCAAAATAAGCCAGTCAGAGAAAGATAGGTATCCCATAGTCTCACTCATATATGGAATCTAATGAACAAAATAAACTGATGAACAAAATAGATCCAGAGACATAGAAACATGGGAACAGTCTGATGAATCACAGAGGAAAGGCAGGGGTGGGTGGGAAGAGATTAAATGTAACATATGCATATGTGCATATATGCAAAACTCATGGACACTAGAGTGGGAGCATGGGGCAGCTAGAAGGAGCCAATGGGGGTGGGGGAGGAGGAAGGACATCTAAAATACTTTCAATAATAAAGATAAATTTAAAAAATACATTTTTTTATGCCTGATGACCCATATCCTTGGCTAATCAATAAGTTGTTAACTCAATCCCAAACTTTCTCTGTTCAATGCCCTCATAGTGTTTTAGTACTTTTTAAATAGAAATAATAATATCCATTATTTCTATTTATTGAATACTAGAGGCCCGGTGCACGAAATTTGTGCACGGTAGGGGGGGGGGCGGTGTCCCTCAGCCTGGCCTGCACCCTCTCCAATCTGGGACCCCTTGGGGGATGTCTGACTGCCGGTTTAGGCCCTATGGGATCGGGCCTAAACCGGCAGTCAGACACCCCTCTCACAATCTGGGATTGCTGGCTCCTAACCGCTCACCTGCCTGCCTGCCTGATCTCCCCTAACCACTCTGCCTGCCAGCCTGCTTACCCCCAACTGCCCCCCACCGGCGTGCTCACCCCCAACTTCCCCCACTGCCAGCCTGGTCACCCCAACTGCCCTCCCTTCCTGGCCTGATCTCTCCTAACCACCTCTGCCTCAGCCCTGCCACTATGGCTTTGTCTGGGCAGTGGCCACAGAGCCTGGCTTAGCTTTCTGGGTCACTGGGGTGACCCAAGAAGCCAAGCTAAGCCTCCCGCCCGCTCTCCTCCAGTTGGCTCTGTGGCTCCGATTGGCTCTGTGGCTCCAGTTGGCTCTGTGGCTCTGGCTGGCAATGCCATCTTTGTCGCGTCAATTTGCATATTCCCTCTTTATTGGCTGTGGGAGCCACCATCTTTATCGTGAAGTGACAGTTAATTTGCATGTTACTCTTTCATTAGATAGGATTTTTGTCTAAACAACTGAATGAGCATGCACTTCCTAACTATTTAATGGCTTTGAAAAACAACAGCACATGAATTAAAAGAAGAAGTATTTTTCTCATTCTTAAGTAGCCATAATTACTTGCTAATGGGATGTATGTACCTTTTGGGGGCACTGCACAGTCTCTCAAACCTTGGACCTGTTTATGATGCTGCCACAGTCACTTTCTATTTCATATGGCACTTGCTGTTTACCACAGCACTGTAGAAAGCCCTGCTTTGCAAAGATGTGACTTCACTGAGGGAGTGTGTCTTGTTGAAACTGTGAGTTACTTTGAGCTAGTAGTTCATGTGGTGTCCAAACAAAATACTGTTTCCCTCAAAAACTAAAAATATCCTTCAGTCTCCCTGAGAGTTCCCTGGGGCACCTCAGAATGACTTGGCGTAGAGTTTGGGAACAGTAGGACTAACTATAGAATTGTAGAACGTAATCTAAGTTTCACAACCCTTAGAAAACTATATAAAGATTTAGCACCTGCTGTGCTCCATTGCATAAGAATGTGTAAATACTGCAAGATTTCAAAAGAAAACGGAAGAGTCTCGGTCTAGGACACCTTTGAGAAGAAGTAAGACAAGTTTAGCTGTAGAAAAAAGTCTTTGATTAGGTGGTAGAGAGAAAGAATAATATTCCACATGCATGTTTTTCAGTAAATTATCTGAAATAAATAATTATACTTACAGTATTCAATGTATCTCCTTCCATTATCTCATGAACTCACTTTAATAATGTTTCCACCCCACCATCCCACCACAAGGTGATTATTCATTTAACATCTGACAAATACAGAATTCTGATAGCAGTATAAATTTGCATTCATACATGGGCTTTTTCGACTGCCTACCAATATGTGAACGCTGGCACAATGGATTATCCCACTTCAATGTCGGACTTTGTGTTTTGTGGCGTAGGGCTGTAATCAGTGATCCAGAGCAAAACTTAACCACTGAGAAACCAGAAGGTGCTTGTGTCCTTCCAGACTCAAACCTAACACCTCTTCGATTTAGGAAAAGAACACTACATGAAACAAAGTAAGAAGAGCTTACCAATCAATGTAAATTGAGCCTGTGGTATTTATACATGTGTTTTTTAAAATGTTATTTTGTGTCCAACTGAAAAGTGTTTTGCTTTTTGCAATTTAAAAGGAAGTGGATTTTTGGAGTTTAGATTCTAGTTCTTCCACTTTAAGATACTGGGATAAAGTTTGCCCTTTAGGTTTTCTATCTGTAATTTAGGAATAACAGCCACAACCTTAGGAGAGAATAGATATGTCCTTCTGTATAGAATATATGATACAGTAACTGAGACATTGGTATGTACGCAATATATATTGGCTGAATCTCATTGGTATGTATTACATTCAAAGTTGGTGTTGTTTAAAGTTATTATTTTGCATTTTACTTTGTATCTTATAACAGCCTTTGGCTGGAATGGGCTTTCACAGGCCTCTGGTGTATTTCACTTAAATTTCTCAACAACTTCACTGACTGTTGACATCTAGCCTCAGCTTTAAAAGACATAGAAAATCTACCAGTTCCACTGCAATTCTTTTATATTTTCAGACTGCAATTGTCAGGTAGTTACTTATAACTTTTATCTTTGTGTCTTATTCTTATTTTCTGGAAGCTTTAATTATCATGACTTCAAACATGTGAATGGATCATGCATTAACTTCCTACTGCTGCTGTAACAAATGACCACAAACAGTACTGTAAAGCAACACAGATTTATCCTCTTACAGTTCTAGAGGTCAGACCCGTGGGAGGTGCCTTGACAGGCGCATTCCTTCTGGAGGGTCAGGGAAGAACCTGTTTTCTTGTCTTTTTCAGCTTCATTGCTTGGCTCATGGCTCATGGCCCTTCTCCCTTGTTCCAAGCCAGCAATGGCTGGGCAAGCCTTCTCGTGTTATCTCACTCCGACAGTCTTCTGTCTCACGTGCTCCTCTGCTTCCCTCCTATAAAGACCCACGTGATGGCACTGAGCCACGTGGGTAATCCCGGGCAATCTCCTCATCCCCAGCTCTTTCATCTGTAAATTAACATATTTACATGTTCTGAGGATTAATTAGGACATGGACGTCTTTAGGGGACCATCATTCAGCTATCACATATCTAAATCTCTCTCTTTTAAAGTTTTATTAAAATAAAATATACTCTCACAAAGTATACACATTTTGGGTGTACGGCATATGAATTTTCTCAGCCTGAACAAGTTTTTAGATCAAGAAATAGAAGGGACCCTGTTCCCCAACACCCCGCCCTTGGTGCTGTCTCCCAGTTACTGTCCACACCCTCTGCCACTGCAGGTTGACTTCTCTGTCCTACTATCAGAGGTTATGCACTTCAGTGAAATCACAAAATGTAGATTCTGTATCTGGCTTATTTTGCTCAACATTATGTTTGTACATTTTATCCGTATTATTATTAATAGGTGTCCTTTATTTTCATTGCTGTACAGTATTTCATTATGTAAATATACCATAATTCATTTATGATATATATAGTAAATGTCCATGCTTATGGACATTTGACATGTTATGAATAATGTTGCCATGAACTTTTTGCATGCCTTTTTGTGAATATATGTATTCATTTCTGCTCAGTACCTACTTAGAAGTGGAATCACTGGACCATTTAGTATGCAAGTGTTCAACTTTAACAAATATTAACAGCTGGCTGGGGTGACTCAGTGGTTGAGCATCGACTCATGAATCAGGATGTCACTGTTTCATTCCTGGTAAGGGCACATGACTTGGTTGTGGGCTCGATCCCAAGTAAGGGGCGTGCAGGAGGCAGCCAATGCATGATTCTCTCGTCGTTGGTGTTTTTATCTCTCTCTCCCTTTACCTTCTCTCTCTGAAATCTATATATAACATATTTTTTAAAATATTGCCAAATAATTTTCCAAAGTGATTGCAATTAACACTGTCACCAGTTACAGCAAGAGGATGCTAATTGCACCATATATTTGCTCCTGGTTGGTATTCTCTATATTTTTTTATTTTAGTTCTTATGGGGATGTATTGGTAATTTTAATTTACATTTCGCTAGAGAATAATGAAGTTTAGTACTTCTACATATGAATATTGGTCATCTAAATATATTCTTATATGAAACTTCCCTTCAAATCTGTTGGGTTATCTTTTTCACATTGGCTGTGGAACTTACTTATACATTCTAGTTACAATTCCCTTTTCAGTTGTGTTTGCTGAACATCTATTTTCCTACCCTGTGGTTGCCTTTACATTCTCTTGATCAGAGTTCTTAATTTCAGTTTGCCATTCTTTCCATTTGTTGTTAGTGTCCTTTGTGTATTATTTTTTAAATATATTTTTTATTGATTTGAGAGAGATAAAGGAATGGAGAGGGAGAGCAGGAGAGAGAATAATCCATGTATGAGAGAAACATTGATTGGTTTCCTCCTGCACGCCCCTTACTGGGGATTGAGCCTGCAACCTAGGCATGTGCCCTGGCCGAGAATCAACCGGTGACCTCTTGGCTCATGGGTCAATGCTCAACCAAATGAGCCACACCATCGGGGCTTCTCTATCTTCTTTAAAAATTTTCTGCCAACCATAAACTCATTATCTCTCTGACTTTTAATGCCATTTATCAAGTTGTTATAAATTCATGGTAGGCTTCTAGGCTTTTTCTTTGGTCTCATCTACCTGTAATATATTTTTGCACCAATATAATTCTATCTTTTTTATTGTTGTTGTTGTTAATTCTCACCCCAGGATATTTTCTTCCACTGATTTTTAGAGAGAGTGGGAGGGTGGAGAGGGAGGGGGAGAGGGAGAGAGAGAAACATTGATGTGAGAGAGACACATCTATTGGTTGCCTTCTGCATGCACCCAGACCAGGGCTGGGGATCAAAGCTGCAACACAGGTATGTGCCCTTGACCAGGAAGCAAGCCCATGACCTTTTGGTGCAGGACCCGAAGCTGTTTCCATTGAGCCACACTGACTAGGGCTATAATTCCATCTTAATTAGTATTGCTTTATATTAAATACCTGCAGCTTGTTTATCTTCAATATTGTCTTAGCATACTGGGCCCTTTTCTCTTTAATAGAAATTTTGATTAAGTTAGTTTAGTTCTATGAAAAATTCTATGGGGATATTGATTAGAATTATTGAATTTACGGACTTCATCCCCTCCCTTTTTTTATTATTCCCAATAGAGGAGGAGAAAATTCTGCTTTATAGAGTTAGAAGCAGAAAATTGGCATGTCTTCTCGTCTCTTCCTTGGGAATCAGCTGTCTGCAGAAGTACACATTCTGTTCTATGCATTATATTTTACAAGTACCTCCCCAACGGGAATGAGTGAATTAGTCTGTTAAATTCTAGCATCAAAGACTTAACTTCCTGTTGCTGTATTCTTAAACTCAATCAATAATAAAATTCATATTTTGATCTTAACCTGCTTAATTCTTATTTCTGTATTGGTTAAGAACTTGGGTAGGTTATTGGTACTGCTTATCAGATACCTAAAAGCCCAATATGGAACTTTCCATTAATAATACAGATGCCTGTTTACTTCTTTTATGTTTTCACGGAGTCACTAGACTCATTGAAGCTATTACTTCAACTTATCACTGTTATACTGAGTTCTGTTCACCTTTGAGAAGCAATATAATGTAATGGCTATGAGCAAGATTTTTTTTCTAGCTTTGCCATGTACTAACTGTATGTCTATGTAAAATTTGCTTGTGAAATGGGGATAATAATAATTACTTCACAGAGTTATTGCAAGCATTAAATAAGCCAATACACATTGAAGTGATTTTAATAATAGTGTCTAGGAAGTTCTCAATAAATAGTAACTATTATTAAAGCTGTTATTTTCTCAGCATTTAGAGTTGTTTGTGGCACATAATGGGCATTCAGTGAGCACATTAATACTAATGGATTAAATTGAATTGAGATGATCAAGCTTTTATGGCTCTACCCTGTGTTCACAAACTCATTTGGTCTACTGCCTCTTGTTGGCTGTATCTTGTTTACCTTTCATAGAGACCTAGGTTTTATAGAAATAAAACATTTGAAGATCTTTATATCCCTTGCTATTTGCATTGTTGCAATGTTATTACACCTGCAGGATATATCATAAGACTATTTAGGAAGGCTATTAAAAATATATCACTGAATCTTAAGATTTCTTAACATAGAGATTATTGGTAGTAGAGTGCCAAAGTGTGTACATTGGTGCTTTGCTTCATATTATTAAACAGAACTTTAAGAAGAGCAATCTTTGTGAGATCACTCAGTGCTGTCTGAAGGCCATAAAGATTAAATGTCTGATCTGAGGTCTCATAGACCAATTCCAAGGCTAAAACCTCATCGAATTCTCTTTTGCATTCTCCTGGATTTTGGTAAGAAATGTTTTGAGCTACCCCTACTGAAAACCTGACTGCTAGTGACTTAAACAAGTCAGGATTTATTTTTTATATATAACTAGCTTCTGGACGTTGTTGTTGGTTTTACTTCAGTAGCTCAGAAATGGCACAGCTCTGGGCTGACTTTTTCCAGGTTTGATTGGCCTTTCTGACATGGTTGCTTGATGGCTATAGTGGCTTCTAGTGTCATATCCCTGCCATGTTCACAGTCAGGAGCTCTTCCCATGCCACTCTCTTATCCGGACAAACCAGTCTTTCTTGGAAGTTTATTGGTAGAACTGGGCTGCTCGGTCACGTAAAATTGAAGAGGCTAAGAAAGCAAATTGTATGGTGGAAGGAAAACAAGGAGAATAGGGTTAGAAATGCCGTCGGGTTAGCCCTGCAGCAGTGCCAGTCACTATGCTACTGTACATTCTAACATAAAAGTTGTTCGTCTTACGTGCCATATTTTAGGTTTATACTTATGTGTCTGCTGCAATGATCAATCTGGAAAAAAGAGGTTAAATGGTCATCTTAATGCAATTTGTGCATTTCAAAACATTAACAACTTTTTTGTACTTTTATTGTTTATATCAAATGTATGTAACTTTAAAATCATTGTTGACAAATGTGTTTCTTAACAGGATAAAAACACATTCTACATTAACCGAAAATATGCTTTCTCATAAAGTACAATTTGACTGTAGGATCATATCAAGGTAATTATAATTTTATTAAACTTTTAAATCTTATGATTATAAAATGTATCCTATTTTCAAATAGAAATGACAATAGTGAGATTAGTTAAATTTGTCACAAACAAGTGAAAATGTGAATTTAGAAAAAACATTTTTAGGTAATATATATTGATCTGTTATAAAAATTATAGGAAGTATGAACCTAACTAAAAGCATTTTAATTAGAAGTTATTTAAAATGTGATTTTAAAATGTCTTTCGAAAAGAAATAGAGAAGTGAATTTTTAAAAGGTATATATTACTACCAGAAGATTCTAAGCCATTGAAAAAATAACCTTTATGTAAGCTGCTTTTATAATTTCATGTTAATGTCTTAAGTTAGAGTAGATTATTGATAGATGCAAGAAGATGACAAAGTAGATGATTCTTAACTCTCTTTTCGCTGTCTTATAAACTTCCAGTAAAATGTAAATGCTACTTGATATTCTTTGTGTACACTACTGGTAAAGTCTTTTTTTTTTTTTTAACTATCATGTTTGTTTAATGATTTTAAACTTTCTTGGACAAAGGGTAATAAATGCACATCCTTGATTGGCTTCTTGAAAAGTCAACATTTTTTTAAAGATCTTTCACTTTACTTTAAAAGTCTATATCAAATTAGTAATCTGTTTATCCATGTTCATATCAGTGTAAGCTAAAGCTTTTTCTCCATCCAAATCTAACTAAAATGGGCACTGCACAAGCTGTGGCATGTTCTTCCGGCGGCTTCCCCTCCAGTGGTCGGCAAACTCATTAGTCAACAGAGCCAAATATCAACAGTACAACGACTGAAATTTCTTTTGAGAGCCAAATTTTTTAAACTTAAACTATATAAGTAGGTACATTGTTATTAACTTAATTAGGGTTCTCCTAAGGCTTAGGAAGAGCCACACTCAAGGGGCCAAAGAGCCGCATGTGGCTCGCAAGCCGCAGTTTGCCGACCACGGCCCTAACCCCTGCTCATTGCCACACACTCCAGGGAGTTAATATCATCCCTCTGACGAGATGATTTTAGCTTATTATTTAATTTGAAAGTTTTCTTATTTGAAAACTTTTGATATTATTCTCTTTTTCTAGAAATGGACGTGATGCTTGCAGAGAGCTGGTTGGGTTCTTTTTTATTCATGATCAGTCCCTTACAATTTACGAATATCGGCAATTTGGGAAAAATAGGTATGCCATAAAGCATTGTTACATTTCTCAAGATGACTACTTCCGAGAGAAGCTGACTAATTTCACATTCTTGTCATTTAACTTCTAGAACAAATGTGCTTCCTTTTATTAAAAAAAGCACTTATAGTCATCAGTGTGGGCGAAGAAAAGGCAAACAGTACCAACTTGGCGATTTTTATATTGTAAGTTTGTGTATGTGTACAAAGGTTTAATTCCAGGTGTTGGATTTTGTGGGTCCTGTGGGGCTGGAGGAGTGGGCTTCTCTTCTTAGCTGGTTCTCCCTCCTGAGCAGGGGCATTTATTTGTGTGAATGGCCAATGGTTGGTGTTTCCCTGGAGGTTCTGCCTCTCAGACTCAGACCCCAGTGCTCTGAATCGAAGCACAGCTTTTATTCCCTGTAATGTTACCTCTGCCCCCACCCAAATCCACAATGTAAGCCGTGAAGAGCTTATTTCTTGGTACTTTTAAAGGCTTTCCAGGGCCCTAGCATTTTGCTCAGTGGTTAGAGCTTCTGCCTCCAGAATGAACCTGTCTCAGGTTGGATTCCAGTCAAGGCCACCTACCTTAGTTGCAGGCTCAATCCCTGGCCCTGGTTGGGGCACGTGCCAGATGCAACCAACTGATGTGCCTCTCTCACATCGATGTTTCTCTCTGTCTCTCCTCCTCACTTCTACTCCTTCTAAAAAAAAAAAAAAATCAATGGAAAAAATATCCTCAGGTGGGGATTAAACAAACAAACAAACAAACAAAGGTTTTACAGGGCTGTGCCACTGGGCTAGGGGCAATGCTCCACCTAAAACAGGCTTATCTTCTGGGGACACGTGGTTTTTCTCCACACAGAGGGGTAGTTGGCTCTGGAACTGTCATATATCTGATAGTCAGTTTATCTTTGTGATTTTCCACCTCATGTAACTCCTGGCATATGTTGTATCACAAGGAATTCCTAGAATGGGTTGATAATCTATAATAATAGAAGTGTAATATGCTAATTAGACTAGATATTCTTCCAGATGAAGCCGTGGCTGCTAGGGAAACCCGGGTCCCAGGTCCCAGAGGGAAGCTGGTGCCAGTAGCTGGGAGAAGGAAGGCCTATTCTTGCATGAATTGTGTGCATTAGGCCTCTAGTAGATAATGTTACAAATCTGTATAGTGCTCCTATATTTTAAATCATTATATTCACGCTAGAGGCCTGGTGCATGAATTCGTGCATGGGTGGGGTCTGACTGACCCACCCCAATCAGGGTTGGGGGGGGAGTGATCAGGGGCAGGGCCAGTTGGGGGGAGGGGCCTCAAGCGGTTGGCCAGACAGCCCCACCCCCTGATAGAACTCCTGGTGGAACTCCCGGTTGAGGGGACAATTTGCATATTAGCCTTTTATTATATGAGACTAGAGGCCTGGTGCACAAAATTAGTGCATGGGAGTGTGTCTCTCAGCCCGGCCTGCACCCTCTCCAATCTGGGACCCCTCGGGGATGTCCGACTGCCTGTTTAGGCCCGATCCGATAGCCCCCAACTGCCCTCCCCTGCTGGTCTATTCACCCCAAACTGCCTTCTCCTCCCGGCCCAATTGCCCCCAACTGCCCTCCCCTGCTGGCCTGATCACCCACAACTGCCCTCTCCTGCCACTACCGGCATTTTCCGCCAGGACCAGCCTCCTCCACACTGCATGGAGCCACGGGACCCCCAGGCCTCACTGCGCAGAGTGGCCACCAGGCCCCGCCTTTGCTGTGCACACGGCCATCTTGTGGTGGCCATCTTGTGACGACGTCACGCGCGAGGGCGCGAGGACCACCTAGGTTTTTATTAGTTTAGATGTTATCTCATGATTACAATGCAGCACTATCCACCGTGATCATTCATGCAACAAATATTGTATATTCATAGGCTAAGCATTAGAGAGTAATGGGTAAGTCAGACCCATTCCCTGCTTTTGTTGAGTTTAGTCTAATGGGAAACATTGTCAGATAGGAGGGGTAATAATTTAGATTTGTGGAGTCAAAGAAGGATTCATGAAGAAAGTGCCATCTAAATTTCACTAGAGGAGGAATTAACTAGATTGGATAGGGAGATAGGAGAGGTGAGGGAAAGTCTGTCTGGAGTATAGAGTTCAGGGTTGGTGTTGTCAAGAATGAGTCAGAGCTTACTAACAGCAGCGTCTGTTAAAGAGTTACCCAAAATGTGTTGGGTTCGATTCTGGCTCAGGGCACATTGCTGGGTTGTGTACTGAAGGTAACCGATTGATGTTTCACTCTCCTTCTCTCTCTTCCCCTCTCTAAAAATCAATAAAAAGAACACATATCCTCCAGTGAGGATTTAAAAATAAATAAATAAATAAAATGTGTTGGGGAGTCATTGAGAGATAAGATGTGGATGGAATGTGGAGAGAGAGGTATAAAGAACCAGATTGGATTGAAATACAGAGATTTAGGAAGGAGGTTATGACAACCTGAAGTAGGCAGGTGGCTGTGTCTGTGAAACTAATTAGAAAAATAAAATGAAAAATCCTCTTTAGGAGGTAGAATCAGTAAGATGTAGTGACTGTCAGGTGAGGACAAACTTTACATCTTAAGCTGGGATTAAATAGAATATACACATGTCACTCAAGTCTGCCTCTTGAGATCTGAAGAAAATCAGCTCCGACTCCCACTTCACAACCTGCGGAAAGGATGTCTAATGCCTACCCCACGACTGAAGTTACCTCTGGCTCTAGGTGCTATCTCAAATAACTTAGTGTGGTTTATGATTTATTCTACCATTCCTGTTCTATGTCACTTAAAGCAGATGTGGAACTCTGCTCCCTTTGATGATTTCCATCAAAGAAAAGAAGAAGAAAAGGGAGAGAGCGGGGGAAATCTGCACGCAAATTTGATGCTTTGTGTGTATGGCAGACAATTTGAGAGGGACATGGAGGGAAGTTAATATTGCAGCAGTGTCAGCAGCTTACAATTTATTAGACATTCTTATTCTTAGATATATGTCCCTTGAGTATTTCCCATGGTAAAGGTACCTCCTCTTCAATATTCTATTTTTGACTCCTCCCATCTTTTTCTCCTCCCTTCAATACTCCACTTCTGTATGCAGAAATATTCTACCTTGTCCTTTATTTTGGGGGTGGGGGTGTTCTTCTGATTTCCAGATGTTACTCTGGAACTTTTCTATATGCCCCACCAAGGTCTTTTCCTAAACACTTCCTAAAAGAAATTTTAGTGCCAGCTATTAAGATAATAATCAAATAAACACACACATGCCCACAGGCACACATGTGTAAAAAGTGTACCCACATATGTTCATTCATATGCATGAATGTATAGCTTCAGATTCACGGACACAGATCACATGGATGTAACCTATGCACACATGAATACATACACACATTTGCTTTGTATGTATGTTCTTATATGTATAACCCTACTACCCAACCCACATAGTCTCTTCAACTGCTTATTATGATTTGAAAAAGCATTTATATACATCCTATATAATAAAAGGCTAATATGCAAACTGACCAGAGGGACGACTGGTCGCTATGACACACACTGACCACCAGGGGGCAGATGCTCAATGCAGGAACTGCCTCTTGGTGGTCAGTGCACTCCTACAAGCGCTGCTCAGCCAGTAGCTGGGCTCAAGGCTGGTGAGTGCAGTGGTGGTGGCAGGAGCCTCTCCTGCCTCCATGGCAGTGCTAAGGACCACTTTGGGGGTCCTGGACTGCAAGAGGGCGCAGGCCGGGCTGAGGACCCCCCCACCCCCTGTGCACGAATGTCGTGCACCGGGCCTCTAGTTTCAAATAAAGGAGGAAGCACTTAGAGTTACAGGTTTTCTTAAGTAAATGCTCCAGGAAAAAGGAGAGGAGAGAAACCTCTTCCATTATTTTTAAGAGAGAAAATTAAACTTCCCATCTGACTATATTTATATGAGTGACTTAGAGATCAAAATAATAACCATTTTCTGAGTAGGTTAAGTATATTTGATAGGAATATTTTATTGAAGCCTGTAAGTTCAAATTAGGTTAAAAGTAGGTTTTATGTTTATGTGATGTTTGTTATCAAAAGACTAGTTGAAAAAGTGTGATTGATCTATCACAGTTCATCAATTTGCAGTACACCTTTCTGGGCATCAATAGCTGTATTTTCATTTGAATAATTTGTCATTTCTTCCTAAGATTCTTATGAAGATCGAGTTCTTATATTATGTTTCTACACGAATTGTTAAATAGATGATTATTCTAAATCAGAGATTGATTGGGAGATTAGTTCCTTTATTTTTCTATATTATTAGTTGAAGCCTGTGTGACTTCTGAATGGTCTCTAAAATGCTTTTTAAAAATCATTATAAAAGTATACCATGTCACATAGTCAAAATTGAATACTTAAAATTAGTATTAGTTGTATTTTACTTCTTTTAGGCATTATAAGTTTTAAATAATTCATCTGCTAATTTTTTTAGGGTGCAAACTTGACATTTTTAAGTTCTGATCATCTCAGACTTCCAGAAAGCATAAAAGAAAACACATTACTTATCCTTCGAATCACAAATATTGATCAGGTAGCTTCAGATGATCTCAGGTAAGTCACACATGCATTTGTCATTTTGAAGGAAAGTGAAAACACTGTTATTTATTATCTTAAAATTAAATTCAATTCCAAAGCATTTTGACTTAAGTTAGATTTATATTTTTTAAAACAAAGCATAACCATATCTGTCTGTTTTATTTACCTCACACTCCATGTGTGGAAACAGTTACAATCAAGCCATGAACAAAAATTTCCCATTTTATGTTGAAGAATCTGTATTAATTGGCCTTTGCTATAACAATTCTATTTTATAAAATGCTAAAACAGAAATAACATTTAAAAGATGAGATACAGTACATCACACTATAGCAGTGATGGCGAACCTTTTGAGCTCGGCGCGTCAGCATTTTGAAAAACCCTAACTTAACTCTGGTGCCGTGTCACATATAGAAATTTTTTGATATTTGCAACCATAGTAAAACAAAGATTTATATTTTTGATATTTATTTTATATATTTAAATGCCATTTAACAAAGAAAAATCAACCAAAAAAATGAGTTCACCTGTCACCTCTGACACGCGTGTCATAGGTTCGCCATCACTGCACTATAGTTTAATTTCCCCACATTTTAGTGTGATGTTTTGTTTTTATAGCATTAAAAGTGTCTTGGGTCCTACATGTTACTAGTGTTCATTGATTGCTAATATTCATAATGTAAAAATAATGCTATGAATATAAAAGGCTCTTAAATGAATTGGACTTATGTTAATTATTTTTATATATGCTATTGTTATTGCTGAGTGCTTCTTAGTGGTAAATATAGTGCTATTCTGTGTTTCTTAGTGATAAATAGAATTCATTTTATTGTATGGCTCAAAGTGAATGCATTTTTTAGTTTTCCAAAATAGCACTTTATACTTTGCAAGGTAAAACTGCTTTTAAATTTAATAGTTTTAATTATTTTAAAAGAACAATGAAATGGCCACAAAAATGAATATAATGTTTAAAGATAATTCTCGGAAGGTTTTAAGGATGTTAGCCCGTGATTTAGCATATTAAATCCTCCCAGGTCTGAAATCAGCAGGTGGAAGGTGGGACTTGATTAATCTTCTAACTTTGATAGAGTTTCACTGAGCCTTGAGCAGGGAAGAGCTGAGAGTTTCCGCACTCAGAGTTACAAAAGAGATTGTATTTTTTTCATTGTGAACATGTCAATTGCAGAACTGATTCTGTGCAACAAGAGGATGATACAACCAGGCAAGAGGCCAATGATAGGCTGGTCTTCAAAGCCATTCAAGGTCTGTGTCAGTTTAGTATACTCTCAAGTATTTTAAATTTTTAACAATTTTCTGTGTAAGTAATAAAGCAGTATTTTTCAGGTATTTCTTAGTTTTATGGCACTTGACTTTTTTTTGCAAGTTAATTATGTACATATCCATATTATGGTTTCCCAAAAAATGTATACACATACTTTGAATAATTATAAAGGCAGTTTTTATTAAAATACATTTCATTTTCAAAATTGAGCTATCAGTTGTTAAAGGGTGTATATATTTTTTGGGGGGGGACACTGTATATGTTTACAAGTATTTTAAAGATTTCTCCTACTTTAATAATCCTATCTAACTGAATAACTAGTATTATATGAATTATGAATTTAACAACTAGAAAGAACTAGGCAATATGGGTTTATTCATGAACTGAATCAAGTAGCTAATTCTGTAATATAATACTTGTCTTATGCATTAATGATGATATCCAAAAGAGATTTGTAGTAGCTTAGTGTAAAAGAAAAATGCGAGATTGGGAGCCAGATGTGGTTGGACGCTGTCATTCAATAGACATATAATTGTGTAATTCTCTTGTACCTCTTTCTTCATCCTTCAAATGCAGAAAACAATTGGTTTTATTAACTTTACATAGTTGATGTAATATATGTAGGCTTTGGACACTAACACATATTACAGATTTTATTTCTAGAGCCTAATCTTCTACTACAGTATACTAGGCTCAGACAATTCTTTTGTTGAATTTCTTAGCCTAGAAGTAATCACAGAGAGTCATCATATAATTTATGAATTTTGATAAACCCTGATTTATAATTTAAAGATTATCACAGAGTAAGAAGACTAGAAACATTTTAAAGTTGTCGGAATTTGTATTTGAAGTCTCAAATATTCTTGATGCCGTTGTTTGTAAATTGTTTATCCTATCATAGTCAATACAATATTTGTCACTATTATGTCTAGTGATATTTACTTCCTCTATATATTTTATTTACTATGTTATTAGTAAAGTTCCCTATATTTTCTTGAGATGGCACAAATTGCACTAAGTGAAATCACTGACCCACAAAGAGAATACTAGGGGCCTAGAATATAACTTATTATGAATTCCTGGAAGAAAGGATTACTTTCAAATTTATCAGTACAGAATAACACTCCAAGCCTTGATGCTCTTTCACATAGAAGTTTTAATTTGAAAATTGCAAACAGTTTTAGACATTTTGAACTGATCATCTTTGAGTGACTTGCCTGGTGTCAATTTTGTAATTCATTTGAACAACAAAAACAGAGGAAGGAGATGAAAAAATGTGGGATTGTTAGATGCAGAGGATGCCTAGAAAACGAAATTTTATTTTTAACATTTAGGTTATTTTCATGCTGATAAAGTGAAACATTGTTTTCCTATATTTAAAAAATAACACTTTCACCACTCAGTGGTGCTATAGTTCTGGTATATTTGCATGCAATTTTATATATAACCTTCTTTATTAAAAGGATTCTATTTTTCAAAGTTTTTTTGTCAGTCATACATACAGTTAGGTTGACATTACTCATATCAGTTACATCAAGTTTAACTTTCTTACATGAGAGACAATTGCAATTTGATAAATTTGTGAACAGGAAGTATTAGTTTCCTTCTTTCCTCTTCCTAAACAGATAAGCTAAAAGAACAGCTACATAAAAGAGGTGTCCGTATTTTGACTGCAATGGGAAAATACTTTCAACAGCTGGACAAGGAAAGAAATGGACTTTTAGATAAAGCAGATTTTAAGCAAGCTCTAAAAGTCTTTCACTTAGAAATGTCTGAAAAGGTATGCATACAGATACTTCACTGCATCAATGATTTATTATTCTTAGGTGATATTCTTCACTTCTCTACTGAAATTTTAGTAGTTCATATGTCTCCTTCTTCTTCTTTATGCCCTGTTATTAGTATTAAGCCACTAGGAAATAAGCCCTGTTGATTTTTTAAAATTTCAACATTCATTCCTCTACCATATATATAAGTGGGGTTTCCCAAAAAAAATGTATACACACTTTAACAGCTGATAACTCAGTTTTCACTCCTTCTCAGGTTTAACTGATTTGAAATAATGGGTGAAGCTAGACTAAACTTTGAACAAAGAAAATTTATCCTAAAGTGTCTCTAGACTTTTTTTATGGGGATACATAAAATATAAAGTTTACGGTACAAAACTGGCAATAGTCGATGAATTGAGGGTACATAAATACTTAACAATATGATTATTGATGTTTGGGATTCCATTGCTTTGAGTCATCAGCAGTACCTGGACCAGAACAGTCATCACTTTGAAAACAGGCATTGACCGAAAAAAAAAAAAATTCATTTCTGTAGATTCTTTTAAATTTTAAAAATGAACTATATGTTAATAAACACTAACTTTCTAATAACTCAAAGTGTGTATACATTTTGGGGGGGACACTCTGTATATTAAGAACATATTAACTAGCCATTATCTAAAGTTCTGAAAAGATATGCTCTGTCCTCAAAGGTCTTCACAATAAAAGGATAGAAAGATATAAATGATTACAAAATGACATGTGTTAAGTAGTACATGCTTTCAGAACACATGGGATAAATTTCAAATCAGGTTATAGGGAAGGAGAGGGAAGGTCGTAGAAGGATTCCTGGAGGAGGACGTATCCCAGCTGAATTTTAAACATGAGGAATTATCAGACAAGAGGGGAGGGGCGTGGATCAGACAATGGATCATTCTCAGGAAGGAGAAGCGCATGTGAAGGCATGGAGGGGAGAGGGAGTGTGGCCTGTCCAGGAATTACAAATTGTTCATGCCCTCAGTCCCCAGCCCCAGGGCCTTCGCACATACTGTTCCCTCTGCTGTGAAGTAATCTTCCTCTAGACCAGTGGTTCTCAACCTTCCTAGTGCCACGACCTTTTAGTACAGTTCCTCATGTTGTGGTGATCCCCAATTTCATTGTTACAAGCTGAACATAATTAAAGTGTAGTGATTAATCACAAGAACAATATGTAATTATATATGTGTTTTCCGATGGTCTTAGGTGACCCCTGTGAAAGGGTCATTCGACCCCCAAAGGGGTCGCGACCCACAGGTTGAGAACCGCTGCTCTAGATCTTTGCATGCGGGATTTTCTCATCATTCAGGGCACAGCTTTCTCTACAGAGAGTACAGCCCTGGCACTTCTGTCTATAGGAGCACCCATCTGGTCCCTGGATCCCTGGTCTTCTCTCTACCATTTCCCCATTTTCTTTTCTTTATGCTACTTTTTAAGTATTGTCTGGCTGTGCCTGCAAATGGAAAGTAAACCCCATTAGGGCAGAGGCCAGGGCACTTCTTATTTCCTGCTCTTTTTCTTTATTTATTTTTAGTGATATTAGAGAGGAGAGAGAGAGAGAGATCTCGACCATGGACTGGTTGCCTCCCATATGCGAGCCCAACCAGGGGCAGGAGTCCCAACAGGGGGCAGGGAGTGAACTTGCAACCCAGGTGCATGCCTTGACCAGGAATCGAACCCGAGACCCTTGGGTGCATGAGATGACACTCTAATCACTGCACTACCAGCCAGGGCAACCTTGGTGTCTTTATCCACAATTACATAGGTAATTAATAACCGAGATAAAACGGGAACCCAGATAATTCAGTCAAGTCTAGTACTCTTTCTTTATATATGTGTGTATATATATTTTTTACTTCAGAGAAGAAGGAAGAGAGATAGAGGGATAGAAACATCAATGAAGAGAGATAATCATTGATCGGCTGCCTCCTGCACGCCCCCCACTGAGGACCAAGCCTCCAAACTGGGGATGTGCCCTGACCGGGAATTGAACCATGACCTCCTTCCTGGTTCATAGGTCGAAGTTCAACCACTGAGCCACACTGGACAGGCAGTCTAGTATTCTTTCTGCATCACCACAATAGTTCCCTTTTTGGTTGATTTGTTAAATTTTTATGATTAGATTCAGGAATAAAAACAAAAAATTATACAAGGCATCTAACAGAGAGAGAAAATTTTATGAGAATATGAGTAAACTTCCCTTTCTCTCATATATTTTAAACATTTCCTGTCCTGTCTCCTCCCCCCCCCCCCCCCACACACACACACACATCACTGGAGACTGGCCATGCAATGATAAGAAGAATTAAGTGGCTATCAAGTAAGAATATAAACAGAAGCATGGACATATAGAACAGACTGACAGCTCTCAGGGGTGGTGGGGATTGGATGAATGAAGGTGAAGGGATTAGGCAAAGGACATATATACATCACCCATAGGCACAGACAACAGCATGGAGATGGCAGAGGGAAGGGGTGGTGGTGGAAGTGGGCACAGCTGTAATAATGTAAGATAAAAATAAAGTTAAAAAATCTTAATATTAGAATAACATATAAATACTTAACATATAGAAAATAACCTTTTCTTTTAAAACTTGCTTTGCTAACCACTTTTCTATTGGTTATTTCCAATTTATAATTATTACTAGAGGCTTGACGCACAAAATTCATGCAAGGGGCTCAGCTCTCGCAGCCCTGGCTTTGTTTGGAAGGTTGTCCAGAAGGATGTCCAGTCTAATTAGCATATTATGCTTTTATTAGTATAGATAAAAAATGTTGCAATACATATCGTTGTGCAGCCATCTTTGCACAAATAAGTAAATATATATATGAATCACCTAGAAAAGAAATTAGTATGCACCGGAAATAGCTTAATTTCTATAGAGATACTATCATTGAATAAACCTCAGTTTTCTTCAACTAATTATCATTTTTCATTCTGTACCATATCTTGAAAAAAGAAGGGGGTTATATAAATTTGTTGCCACTTTTGGTAACTTACTCAGGTTTTGAAAATTATTCATTTTAAGCCTCAAGCATTGTCTTTTAAATCTAGCATTCCATGAGTTGGGTTAGCAAATACATTTTTTCCTATCCATATTAGTTATGAGTTCACACTTAAAAGCTCATTTTACAGACCCTTAAGGTCTGTATCATGTATAGGTCATTAAAGCAGACAAAAAAATGTATGGGTTGTTGAGATTTAGTTTTTCTTACTAAAGTCTTATTTGAAAAATTAGGAGGAAGTAGAAGAGAATATTTTTTAAAAATATATTTTATTGATTTTTTACAGAGAGGAAGGGAGAGGGATAGAGAATTAGAAACATCGATGAGGGAGAAATATCGATCAGCTGCCTCCTGCATACTCCCCACTGGGGATGTGCCCGCAACCAAGGTACATGCCCTTGACCAGAATCGAACCCGGGACCCTTCAGTTCACAGGCTGACGCTCTATCCTCTGAGCCAAACCGGTCAGGCAGAAGAGAATATTTTTTGAGGACCTGTTATTACTGGAAAGGGGACCTGGCCCGAGCGAGTCTGCCTCAGGGCCACCAGATAGTGTGTGGGTTCTTCACTCCATGCAGGAAAGACTTTACCACACAAGTCCAGGTGATTTTGAGAGTACACTTACTGCAGCTGGGGGCAGTGAACCAAGGAAGAGCCTAGGATCCTAGAAGCAGCAGGAGACTAGGCAGGGCTCACTGGGGAGTCAGAGGAAAGGGGCCTTGGAGACAGGCTCAGGGGGTTAGCCCTGGGTGAGCTGGTGCTGCTGCCCACTGCTCCCCTGGTTGCAAGTCTCCTCGGGACCCTTCAAATTCAGGAGATGCAAGTCTAAGAGGGAAGAAGAGGGGGAAGCGAAGGTGAGGGCATACTCCCAGGAGAGGAGGTATTCTGGGCCCTTTGTTTTGAGGTTTTTTAAAGGCTGGGCATTTAGGGGAGATCTCAATAGATTATTCATCAGCTTTTCCAGGTGTGTCCTTTCAGAGTCATGGTCTCTACTGATTGGTCAGGGCCAGGGCAGGGGGTTGTTAGTCATCGCAGCTGGTCCTGGCATCACCCGCTTGGATTTTCGGCTTTCCTGGGACTGGAGCTGAAATACCATTATTTCTAGTGAGAGGTAAAAGGGTCTAAATCACATGGCCAGCCATATGCCAGGGGAGGAAAGGCCACCCTTGGGGCGAGATCTAGCACTAGTTTTGCTCATTGCTAGGCACCTGGTTTCCTACCCTTGGAGACCTTCTGTGTCTGGCTGTAAGTTGCTGGGCCAGTTTGTTCAGCTAACTGTCTCAGTTTCCCCGGCCCACTTGCCAAGCAATTTTCTTAACTTCTTACTATCCTGCTTCACTATTATTTGTCAATCACCTTGTCAGATGTTTTGTTTACATTCTCATTTAAAGCTAACAACTGAAACCTGAATTTAAGAAAATCTCATGGCGTGACTTCTTTGTTATTAGGAACTCTGGAAATAGAATATTCTATTAAATAGTGCATTTATCAAAGCAATAAGTGGCAATGGTAAAATGAACAAACTGGCAGAAGAGATTTACTCAGAATAACACCTTATGCTGTAAATTGTGGGATAATATTAGAATCATTCAAATATTATGCTTTATACTTTCAAGCCTGAAGACTAGGAGAAATACAATTACTGGTTCTATTGCTATTGGAGGCATTCCAGAACCTGAAGTGATTTTTTAATTGTCACAGATATAATATGTAAAAATAATTAAATGTCCAAAGCCAAGGAAACAATAAGCACTTTTATTTTTGTATGGAAAGAAAATGAATTTAAAATGACAATTTGTGTCTTACTGTCACCCCTAAATGATTATTAAATTTACAGAACTGTTCACCACAGAGTTTCTTTAAATAGCTTTCTGAGTGCCTTTGAATGGATTTGGATATAATTTTTTTTGGGGGGGGGGCGGGGGGGGGAGATTTTCTTAAGTACTCTACCTTGTTTAAGACTATAAAAAGATGTAACAAAACACTATTATCTTATGGTCATGTACAACTTTAAGGTGTAAGAGTCATTGGTCTCCGTGTATTATTTCTAGGATTTTGAGTCTTCATGGCTAATTCTAAATGAAAATGGCAATGGCAGGGTTGACTATGGAGAATTCAGACGTGCCATTATTGGTGAAATGAATGAATACAGAAAATCATTTGTTCGAAAGGTAACTAAGTAATCTTTTAAATAGTTACTTTTAAAAAATATGTTTTTATTGATTTCAGTTAGAGCAGTGGTTCTCAACCTTCCTAATGCCGCGACCCTTTAATACAGTTCCTCATGTTGTGGTGACCCCCAACCATAAAATTATTTTTTTGCTACTTCATAACTGTAATTTTGCTACTGTTATGAATCGTAATGTAAATACCTGATATGCAGGATGGATTTTCTTTGTTACAAATTGAACATAATTAAAACATAGTGATTAATCACAAAAACAATATGTAATTATATATGTGTTTTCCGATGGTCTTAGGCGACCCCTGTGAAAGGGTCGTTCGACCCCCAAAGGGTTGCGACCCATTGGTTGAGAACCGCTGAGTTAGAGGAAGGGAGAGGGAGAGATATAGAAACATTGATGACAGAGAAACATTGATCGGCTGCCTCCTGCATGGCTTCTAGTAGGGATTGAGCCCGCAACCGGGACATATGCCCTGATCACGAATCGAATTGGTGACCTCCTAGTGCAGTGGTCGGCAAACTGCAGTGGCGAGCCACATGCAGCTCAGTGGCCCCTTGAGTGTGGCTCTTCCACAAAATACCACGTGCGGATGCGCATGTACAGTGCGATTGAAACTTTGTGGCCCATGTGCAGAAGTCGGTATTTTGTGGAAGAGCCACACTCAAGGGGCCAAAGAGCCACATGTGGCTCACGAGCCGCAGTTTGCTGACCACTGTAGTGCATTGGACAATGCTCAGCCAACTGAACTACACATGCTGGGCTTTAAATTGTTACTTTAGTAGATTGTTAGGTTCCTTATTGTAAGACTTGAGTGAATTACCACTGAAAATGTTCTAAATGCCTTTATCTGCAATGTATCTTGATTTCAATAAAACAGAAACACATAGAAATACAACTCTCCCAGGATAAATCTAAATAATTTATGCATATATTTTAGGAAAATAATATAAAAGGAATATGAAATATGAATCAAATTTTGGTTCACAAATTACTAGTTCCATAAACACTGTTGTCTCCATAAACTACTAGCTATGTGACTACTGGTAATACTGGAGTGCAGGTTACCTATCTCAACCCCGAGAAAGAAGATACCTACCAAGAAGGGCTCCTGGTGGCTAACTGGTCTCAAATTTATAAATAGAGTCTAACAGCCCTGTCCAAACAGGGCCCTCACACAGACCTGCACTGTGTTCCTGCTGTATGAGCCAGCCCTTACAGAGGAGTTCCTGAAATAGTGTTTCAACCAATAGGACTGAGACTTCCCCTGTTCAATTGGAACTGTGCAGCTACATCCTCATTAGCATTTTATTGACCAATCAGATCAGCTCACTGACCAACCAGGGCAGTGTTTTTTGGACCAGCCAAACTTGAAGGATTTGGAGTTCTCTATAGCATGAGGATAGACTAATTAAGGTCCAGGGGCCGGGACTTCTCTATAAGTCAGCTTTCCTCTGGCTCAGGGAGTACAGTACACTTTCCCTTTCTGCTGAAGACTAAAGGCTGTTTCCCGAGCTGGAGCTGAAACACTGAAGATACCTCCTCAGGTCAGAATGAAGCAGAGCTCAGAGCGATGCGGAGCAGGCAGACCAGACAGGAGCAGAGCTTTGTGAGCGGGCCTCACCCAAGGGCCACCTCTCTGAAGACCATCTTACAGCCATGCCGTTTCACACTTGAGCTGTTTGCACTGGATAGAGGTTCCTTTTTCACTGTGCCCCAAGTTGCGGGTTCCCGTTGACAGTGATGGTGCCAACAATCATCAGTTAGCGCCTTGTATCTTGCTCCAGTGCCTTCCTTTCTTGCGTTCATGATGCTCCCTTCATGTACCAGTTCAGTATTTTTAAATTGTCTCGTTTAAAGCTTATAAATAACGACTGCAGAACAATAAATGAGGTTCGCGTGTCTAATGATTTCATAGAAAAAAAATAACATGTATTTTATTATTTAGGCTTTTATGAAACTAGATTTCAACAAAACTGGCAGTGTGCCTATCATAGACATAAGAAAATGTTACTGTGCAAAGAAGCACCCTCAAGTAATTTCAGGTAATTATTATGAGGTAAAAGCCATTAGATTTCTAAAATGTTAGTTAATGAAAGTAATATCTTCAAGTAATATTAGTTTATAATGTAGACCTGAGGCCATTAGGGGAGGAATAAGTCATTATGTTTTAAACTAGAAAAGTGAGAGCTCTTTGACCTTTATTTAAAAATTCCCAGGTCTATTGTCTACTTATTTTTTCTTCGATGTTTATAATCAAGATTGAACTTTTATTTTCTATTCAGTCAGTGAGGAATTTGAGTTAAAAATAACAGAATAGATATAGAGAATAGATAATTACCTGTGCAAATTCTCTGAATTAGTTTTACTGAATGTGCTTATATTTGAAGATTTAAGGCAGAATGAAAGAGTGTCTTTCTCTAAGGGTAGAGCTACACATATAATGAAGATATAATGAAAATTTGAAGATATAGAGAACATCTCAAAATAATTCTAGAGACTCATTACCCTACTATATTTCTTCTGACTTTATATAATAAAAATTCACTTATAAATACATAATTGATTTATAAGTGAATTTTTATTATATAGAAAGCATTTGGCCACTTTACATTGCATTTTCCTTTAAAGAGGTAGCAATTGCTATTATTTAATCTTTAAAGCCTAAGCGATTGTTATGACCAAACGACCAGAATGACCAGAACAACCAGCTGGTAGCTATGAAGCGCTCTGACCCAGACCTTGCTGCTAGGGCCCTGACAGCACTGAATCTGGTTCACCCACACCCCAGGCCCAGACAGGAGGGAGGAAGGAGCCCGATTCCTTATGGGATCGGCCATTGGTTATCTTGCTGCTGGGGCCAACCTCCCACAGTACCTCCTGCCAGCTGGCCAGGCCAAGGGACCACACCTGTGCACAAATTCATGCACTGGGCTTCTTATATGTACATATATTCCAATCCTTACATTATAGAGTTTCATAGTTTATATGTACTATAAGTATCTAATAATTTTTGAAGTTTTTTCATGAATGGTTCACTAAACATATTGCTGTGTAGTTTGCTATCTTATTCAACAATTAGAGGCCCAGTGCACAAAATTCATGCACTGGGAGGTAGGGGGTTCCTCAGCCTGGATTGCGAGAGGGCACAGGCCAGGCCGAGGGACCCCACTGGTGCACAATCAGGCTGGGGATGGACACGGGAAGTTGGCCAGCTGGGTAGGGACTGCTGGAGGGCTCCAGGGCATGTCTGGCCCATTTTGTTCAGTCCCAATCATCCGGACCCCAGAAGCAAGCTAACCTGCTAGTTGGAGTGTCTGCCCCCTGGTTGTTAGTGCATGTCATAACGAGCAGTTGAGTGGCCTTAGCATATCATTAGCACATTAAGCTTTGATTGATTGAATGGCTGACCAGACGACCAGACACTTAGCATATTAGGCTTTTATTATATAGGATATGTTTTAGAGCTATTTCTAAGTTAATCCATGTTGAGCTATCTCATTTTTATCTGCTGCCTGTTATTCTTTTAAAAAGTCAATATATTACAATTGAGTGCAAGTTACCTATTTCTTAGCAAAAAATAGTGTGAAAACTTATCTACCTAGCTATTCTTCTATTGGAAGACTTTTAATTTCTACCTATTATGTGCAACCAACAAACTAATGAGTTTGTTTATTTGGCCTATTTTCTTGGGGTAATATCAAGACCTAGAATAGCCGTGGGCAAACTACGGCCCGCGGGCCGGATCCGGCCCATTTGAAATGAATAAAACTAAAAAAAAAAAAAAAAAGACCGTACCCTTTTATGTAATGATGTTTACTTTGAATTTATATTAGTTCACACAAACACTCCATCCATGTTTTTGTTCCGGCCCGCAGGTTCAATTTAAGAACCCATTGTGGCCCTCAAGTCAAAAAGTTTGCCCACTCCTGACCTAGAATATCAACATTTCAAGTTTTAATTGATACTTGCAAAATGCTTTGTAAGACAGCTATACCAGATTATACTGCCATTAGTTGGAGATTTTATTTTATCTCAGATTTTTGCCAATCTAATAGTCTATATTTTTTTAAATTTGCATTTCCCTGATTATTAGGGAGATTAAACACATTTTTGTATGTACATTGATCATTCATCATTTATATTTAATGAACAATCTCTAATTCATAATTTTGATTATGTACTAATAAATACTATAGAAGGCTATTCTAGAATTTTCCTTTTTAATATTAAAAAGATACAGTGTAATTACTTTGGTTTATTTCTGTTATTAACCCTTGCAAATAGTTTATTCATTACTTTTAATTGTGAAATGAAAAAAACAAACAGAATTTGCATGAAGATTAAAGCGAATAATCACCACTGGCTTCCCAATTTTTAATAATATATTTCAGGTCAAAATAACTTAATTTGCTTATCAATGACTAAATGAACTACAGTTGCTGAAAGAGAATTTTTAATATTATTTAGTTATATGTAGTATATATGTTTTTCCCTTAAAACCCATGCCATTCCTGCTTTTTTTCCTTTAATTGTCATACTAAAGATAAGAACAAGATAGTTTACATTTTTCAAAATTAGGTGCTTTCAATACCATGTGTTTTTCTCTTTGTCTTCTCCCCTCTAATAATCTTAATTAAACTGCTTAAGTAGCTCTAGTTTATTTTATTTTATTTTATTTTATTCTATTTTATTTATGTGTTGGTGAATTCTTGGTGAGGGTTTTGTTTTGTTGTTGGATAAACCTTTGTTAGTTTAAGTAATTAGATACCTTGTTTTTGCATTCACATTGAAGGAGATAAGCTAGCAAACCAAACAACCTTAAAAAGAGGAAAATCTGTTACTGTTTTAAAAAAAACAAACTTTTTGTTAAATCTATCATTACAAATTATAATTTATTCACATGCCCATCTTTAGGATGTATATTGTTTAGAATTTAATTTCAAATTAAGGCTATTAGATCAGACAATTTAATTTAATTACAGAAAATATTTTCTTTTTAGTTTAAATAATTTATTTTAAAAAGTATTTTCAGCTTTAATAGAAATGGAATTTATCAAGTGTTTTTTATGCACTAGTATTAGAAATCTGATGCTGTGTATTAAAATACTAAGAGAAGCAAAAGAAAGGTTACAAACGATAGAAGGTGGGCATTTCCTGGGTGGGGATACAACGGAGGTGTACAGTGCTTCAATATTTGAAACAAATTTAAATAAAAATGTTTTTCTTAGAAAAAAAAATAGCGTGAAAACTTATCTGTTAAAAATATGGATGGTAAACAAAGAGAGAAATCTCTTCTGCCAACATGTATATATTTTTATATACATTAGATCTTGATTATCCTTGACTAACATTCAATCACAAATTTACTATATTGTTTTATATTACCATCTCTGTATGGCACAATTATTCAGTCCTTGTTTATTCAACCTGTTTTTTTTTTTAAAAAAAAAAAAAAATCACTGTTCTTTATTTCTTATACATGTTTTTAAAAGACTAAGCATTTTGCTATTCAAAGCAGATTTTATTCTTTTAGTGTGAATGAACTGTTATCTAAGTCCATTATAGACCCTCTAGTACTTGAAAAAGATCCAACTCTGACCATAATTTTGCCTGTCCTATTAGGCAAACAATTAAGGCAGCATTCTCATTTAAGTTTGTTATTTTAAATGAGACTTAAAATGATTTATACCAACTATCCTTAAATAAAACAAGAAATTTTAAAAATAAAATGATTTATAGAGTCACAGAGATTTTTTTCTGACCCTTTTTTGCCTTTATATATGGGCTTCTGTTTATTTTCTTTGTGTATTATCTGACCATCTATAGCTTCCTTTCATCTCTTAATCCTTCTTTTTTTTTTATTAAAAAATTAATGAATGTCTTTTTTCCTGCTGTGCTCTCAGATCTTGAGAGGAGATCAGTGCCAGGAGGGTAGGGAGTGAAGGGGTGGCAAGTTAGTGAGCAGAGTTCTCTGATGGAGCACCTGCATTGGGTGACCAGTGGAAGCTCCCCAAGAAAATGGTATTTAAGCTGAGATCAGTCTCCCTCTCTGACCATAATATGATCAAAGTTACTTATTTAAATAGCTTATTGTTCTCTTTCTGAATTAAAAAAAATCAAATGAATTTTCAGAAGGATAGATCAGATATTTTATGTTCTCTCTTTAAATAATAAATGAAAGAATTACAATTTTTTAAACATATATGATTCTCGATAGCATCTTCTTATAGGATAAAGTCAATCTTATTTAATATAACACCATGGAAATAGCCTACTTAATGTCAGAGATTAAAATATAATGATTTAACCAAGTGTAAGGTCTTCCACAAACATTTCCAATGGCCTTTGAATCTTGTGTTTGCAGCAATGCTTTTCTAGCTGCAGTCATGAGTAACTGATTCACAAAATAACTAATGCCTGAATGGGACATGCCTTTTACACATTACATCACTGTGTTAACAGCATGTAAACCTTTGAAATGATTCCTTAATGAGCATTAAGCAGAGTCCTTTAAAACATTAAGAAATACAAGAATGCAACAGTTGTAGCTGCTGTTTTGCCTAGATATATAGGATGCACCTTATCAGAAGTTTAAAAGATGCCTCCAATGTGTATTAAAGTCATTACCATTAAATTCTAGTTCATGCAAGAAAATGTTTAAATAAATTACAGGGTAGTTTGCCACAAGATTTCAAATTGCTGAAAAGGTTTTACAAGGCGATTAAGTATTTCTTTACCATCAACGGTCATTTTCCTGTACTTTTATGGAGATTGTTACATCATCAATACTATTTTGCAGGCCATTCCACAGAGGAAGAAATCAAATTATCTTTTCTGGATACGTTAAAAGAAGCCTGCAGCAAGTCTGATGAAGTCTCCTATGGTGAATTTGAAGATTACTATGAAGGTCTAAGTATAGGAGTAGTAGATGATGAAGATTTTGTTACTATTTTACGTACTCCCTGGGGGATTTAGTTTTTCGAAGTTAGTCCTAAGCATTTTAAAGGAGAGATGAATTCAATGTAAAGTATGATCAAAGACTGAAATATAATTTTCTAAAGCTCTATTCTTTTTTTTTCCTTTTTTTCTCAAAAGAGTTGAGTCTAGAGAGAGAAATATTCAGAAAGACAGATATAAGGGTATGTGTATGTTCAGGTGCAAGTATGATTGTTCACGTCTCTAAGTTTAAAAAAGACCCTGCTTGAATATATTCCAGAGGTCTTTTTTTTTTTATTAGACTTCTTAGGAAAGTAACATCTGTATCAAACTATATGAGATCATCTATGTAGTAACCAAGTTTCTTGTCCAATTTTTTCCCTATTCATTTCCCAAAATAAAATTGCTACTCTTTTCAATTTGATAAATGGGAGTAGGACCCAAAACTTATGAGACTGAAATAGTTCAAACATATGAAAATGTTAAAGGAATGGATATGCAAGAGAAATTTTCCAAGCAGTGTGATTATGGATGTTTTCTGTAACATCAATATCTTGAATGATAGAGGCCTACCCCTAAAATGCTTACTTAAACACAGACTTGTGAATTCTTGTCTTCCACATTGCATGTTGTTGTTTTTCAATAGAATACAATGTAATTACTTAGTAACCAGTTCTATTCATCTTTTTATTTTATTTTTAACTGCAGACCTTATAACCTGCACAGAATTATTATTTAGCTAGAAACAATACAAAATAGGAGATGGGATGTTTTCTTAGATTACTGAATAAACATCTCAGAAAGGGCATTGTCACATACATGGACTGAGGGATAATTTGATAATTCTTAACCAAAATGTAAAAAGATATTTTGTGTCCTAAGATGAATATATATTATTCTAAACATCTTTTCTTTTGTTGTTGTTGTTATATAAACAACTGAAACAGTTCCTTCTAAATAGATATAACTTAATGGTTAGAAGTGTTGTAATCATTTTTTCTAAATTCTCCTATGTTCTTCACTTCTCCTTAGAAATACAAAGAGGGGAGTTTATAGAGTTGTTTTCAAGTTCATAATTTTACATTTTTATGTTAATATAAATTATTTAAAAAGCAGTGCTGAGTAAAATAAGTGGCTAAAAAATAAAAATATATTCTTTGTAGAATACAACTTTTTGGCATATAACTTTATTCTTGGCAACATTTTAAAAAATGTGATGTGTGTGAACTAAATAAATTCAAAGTAGTATGTACCTTTTCAAGATTTTAGAAGGTACCAAAACTCACTGCTAAAATATCAGAAATACTATCTAATAAAAGGGTACTATGCAAATTAACCATCACTCCATCACAAAGATGGCGGTGCCCAGTCCTCTCAGCCCCCAGTGGAGTCCTCCAGTCCTGGGGGCGTGGCAGCAGAGAGTGGGCAGCATGAGGGGCCTGGCGGAATGCTTGCCTCATCGCTGTGGTGCCGAGGCAAGCGTTTCACCCCGGCAGCGGAGGGCCTCTGGGCTGTGGGCACCGAGCGGCCGGTGGTGGGGGGGGAACACTTGGGTTATCACCTGTCCAGGAGGCAAGCTTTCCATGCCCGGCTGTGGATGGGCCTCTGGGCAGCGGGCGCAGAGTGGCCAGGCCCCGCAGAGAGCTACTGACGCACAGATTCGTGCACAGGGCTACTGGTACATGTATAACTATTTTAGTGTTGTTTTCACCAGCAGAATTCTTTACTCCTTGGAGTGTTTTTTTTTTTTTCAATTAGGTTATTGTAATTAAATCAAGCTGTTGGAAGATGTTTTTAACACTGTTTGTGAATCACATTTTTTTACTTGGAAAAATTCATCCAACTATAGTCATCTTAAATCCTGTAAATTGCTCTGCCGTTAAAATGACTCATAATACTGTGGGTGCTCAGTATGCATGTAGTATTTTTCATTGATAAAATTATATTTAGTTCTCCTTAACAAGTCTATTCTCAATTTTGTTATGCCACATTTCCCTGTGCATATAATCAGAAAATGTTTGGGCTGTTACATTATTTTAAAAATGGAGGAGAACTTTTTTGGGGATTTAGCATATTAATATGACAGCATACTTTTAAAAAAGCCTCCACCCTATTAGTATAAATATTCATATGTGATTACCTGTGGGAAGTTTATTTAAATGACATAACAGTTTTATAGTTAATTTCTTATTTTACACAGTTATTCTCATGTAGAGTTAGAAAATACATATTCAGTGTTGTTTGTTTTATTTCATTAAAATATAATTGGTAGCACAATAAATCATTCTGCTTTGCCTCACTGTCTGGATTCTTGTTTGACTTTTGCACAATAAAATCTATTATTTAATATTCAATTCAATAGAAGAGCATCTATCTAATAGGAATTATATGTTTCAAACATCCCAAACCTAGTAATTGACTTTTGAAATTCTAGTCTTAATAATCTTCAAGATTCTAAAATATCTCTTGATTAACTTTAAAATATTAAGTTAAATGTTGTAATGATGGTACACGAAATTTATAGTTAAGTTCATTTTATCATTCTCTAGCTCTTTAAAAGGTAGTTACTTGTTATAGTATAGAATTGCTTTCCCAGTTAACAATACTATTTATTGAACTCAATATATTGATTTACTTTACTGTTTCTATTCTTATAAATAAAGTTTTACAAAAATTTCAGGAAAATTTCACATTGTATCAGAAAACTAGAGCTATACTTTAGGAATATTTAGCTATATTTAATTAGGAAAAATATACATGTGCATGATGGAGCAATTACAGGATAGGCAAAAGTATATGTAACTGTTTTCTTCTTTTTAAAAAATCTTTATTTATGAGAGTATTAGAGATGTCCCTCTTTTTGTATTCCTGTTTTAAATTTTATATTATATAAATATATATTGCTTAATGAAGTGATTGCACAGGAAGAGTTACCTAGAATAATTCATAATTTTGATACAGATATAAAACACATTTTATTAATTAGTTTGGATTTGCAGTCAGTTTAAGTTGTCAGTTACTGATAGAGAAAATTCACAATAAATTTTGCCTACTGCAGATTAAGATGCCTTTGTGGGGTTATAGTTTATATACTATGAAAAACTATAATCACTATTGGTTGACCAGTGAGGGCAAACATCTACAGTGAATATACTTAAAGAAGTAGAAGGCACTGAGCCTACTCAAGCCAAGCAAGAGAAAAGAGAATCCTGTGGGTTGACAGGGATGTGTTGGTATCTATATATATATAAAAAGCCAGCAACCAGAATACCGTAACGACTGGAATGACTGGCCGCTATGACACCCAATGTGGCCAGCAAACCAGCCTAATCAGGGGATGGGGCCAGCCGGCCAACCTCCTGCAGCCCCTCCCCCTGGTCGGCCCTACCACGAATCCCTCAGCCCCACCCGCCCGGCCAGTCCCTCCCCTAATAGGACTCTCCCACCCCAATATGGGGCAGGGCCAGCCGGCCAACATCCTGCAGCTCCTCCTCCTGCCCGGTCCCACCCCAGATCAGCCCCCCAACCCTGATTGGCCTGCAGCCCCACCCCCCAGTCAGCTTCACCCCGATAGGCCCCGCCACTCCAATCAGGGGCGGGGCTGGCCAGCCAACCAACCATGGCCCCTCCCCCAGGCTGTTGGTCCCCTATTGACACCCCTACCCAATTCAGGGGTGGGGCAAGCAAGCCCACAGCCCCTCCCTTTGGCCGGCCCCACCCCTGATCAGCCCCCACTACCCCGATCTACCCGGAGCCCCTCCCCCAACCAGCTTTGCCCCCGAATTTGCCCCCCCACACCAATTGGGGGTGGGGCAAGCTGGCCCACCGCCCACAGCCCCTCCCCACTGCCAGCCCCACCCCCAATGGAACCTCCCCACTCCAATTTGGGGTGGGTTCCCCAGCCAATTGCTCTTGGCCCCTCCCCCCAGCCCGCCTGGCCCTGATCACCCTGATCAGGGTGGGATAGCTGGCCAACCTCCTGCCATCTTCTCCTCCCAACAGACCCAGCCCGGATCCGCCCCGATTGGGGCTGGGCCGGCTGGACCCCACCTGTGCATGAATTCATACATGGGCCTCTAGTCTGATGATAAGAAGAAGCTCTTCACCTAGCTGGTTTGGCTCAGTGAATAGAGCATCAGCCCAAGGACTGAAAAGTCCCAGGTTCGATTTCGGTCAAGGGCACATGCCCGGGTTGTGGGCTCGATCCCTAGTGCGGGACTTGCAGGAGGCAGCCAATCCATGATTCTCTCTCATCGTGGATGTTTCTATCTCTCTCTTCCTCTTCCTTCCTCTCTGAAATCAACCATATATATATATATATATATATATATATATATATATGATAAGAAGCTCCTGTCATAGCCTTTAATTTTTCTTTATTTATTTTCAAATATATTTTTATTGATTTCAGAGAGAAAGAGAGAGGGAGAGAGAAAAAACTCCTCCAGCCCTAGTCCTTGATTGGTATAACTCAAGCATAAACCAGGCACAGTGGAACAGGGAAGGGCTATTAGTATCATCTCAACTGGATAATAATTCACACTTTGAAAACATATGATTTATTAAAGTATCATTGGGGAGAGACAAGATGGTGGTGGAATAGGCAGGTCTTGTCCCGGAGCAAATGGAGTGAGCAGCTGAAACTAATAACACCCACCCTGAATTGGTGAAGTATACCCAGCTGGTGAGACAGTTTGCAGCCAGGAAGGGCAGAGTTCCCCTGGAAAGGTAAAAACCAGGGATCTGGGCAGGAAAGTTTTCCAGACCTCTCAGCCCAGAGGGTCAGAGGGAGACTGTGTGGCACACAGCCGCGTCTCTTGGGACAGGCACAGCCCCTGACTGGGGATAGGAGATCTGCGGGACTGTTGGTGCCAGGAGATTTGAGATCTGGGTTCCATAATTATGGAGGACTGAGCCTAAAGGGGGCAGCCTGAAGCGCTGACCAGACCATGCAGTGCCGGTAAGAGAGGAGATCCCAGAGGCTCAGTCTTCCCCATTTCTGCGGCTGGCTGGCGTTTGTTTGTTTGTTTTCACTGAACCCTGTTCAGAGGACATTTTGGATACAGACACTCACCTGTGCTGAAGAGCGGGAGAAGGTGCGGACCAGTGGAATCTGGGGAGAGGCTGGGGAGAGAAGGGGGTCCAGGAGAGGTGGCAGCAAATTGAGTGCTGAGTCACCCCTGAGCCCAGGACTTGGGCAGCCATTTTCTTCTGAGGATATAATTCCTCCTTCCAGGCCCCAGGCAAGGAATACAGCCACACCCAGATTCCACCCTGAATGAGATGAAGGATTAAAATAATTTGATTAGTCCCTGGGAGTCAACAGGGTCTGGCCTATAGAGGGGCATTCAGTCCCAGCAACAGGAAAAAAAAAATCACAGAAATTCCAGGAAACTGGGATCTTAAGCCAGCCAAAGGAATGACGTTTCAATTTTTCATTTTTATTTTTTTATTATTATTTTGTTAGCTTTTTTTTTTTTTTTGCTTTTTTGCTTTTGTTTTCCCTTTTTTTTTGTTTGTTGCTCTTTTTTTTGCTTTTTTCTTTGTTCTCCTTTTTTTTGTTTGTTCTTTATTTCCTACTTCTTTTCACATTATTTTTTCAACCACGTGAGCAGCAGACATTTGAGGAGCGCGCTCTTGTCCAGGGAGCATCAGCCCCGTGAGCAGCCTGCCTCAGGCCTTAGAGCAGCAGCCTCATGTGGCCAGCCCCTGTCCAAGGAGCAGCAGCTGTGTGAGCGGCCCGCTTCCCCATCCGAGGAGCAGCAACCACACGAGCATTCCAACCTGTCCGAGGAGCAGCAGCTGCACAAGCAGTCTACCTACATCTGAGGAGCGGCAGCCCTGTGCAGCCCGCCCCCATCTGAGGAGCAGCAGCTGCGCACAGCCAGCACCCTGCACTAGTCCGTGGAGCAGCAGCTGCACAAGCATCTTGCCCTCATCCAAGCAGTAGCAGCCGTACGAGCAGCCTGCCCAATCCGAGGAACAGCAGCTGTGTGAGCAGCCCGCCCCCATCCAAGGAGCAGCAGTTCTGCGAGCAGCCCATCCCCATTTGAGGAGCAGCAGCAGCCCACCCCGGTCCGAGGAGCAGCAGCCACACAAGCAAGACCGTCCATGTCCGAGGAGCGGCAGCCATGCGCAGCACACACTGGTCTGCAGAGCAGAGCCACAACAGCCTGCACCTGTCCGATGAGCAGCAGCCGGGTGAGTGGCACGTCCCCATCCGAGGAGGAGAAGCCACGCATGCAGCTCACTCCCGTCTGAGGAGCAGCAGACTTGCAATTAACCTGTCCAAGTCCAAGGAGCAGTAGCCCCACAAGCAGCCCACCACATCAGAGGAACAACAGCAGCGTGCAGCCAGCCCCCATTCAAAGAACAGCAGCCATGTGAGATGTCCGCCCCAGTTCAAAGAGTAGCAAATGCGTGTGTAGCCCGCCCCCATCCAAGGAACAGCAGCCTCGTGATCAGCACACCCTCTGTTGGAGGAACAGCAGCTGTGTGTGAAGCCTCCCCCCACCAGCCAGAGGGGCCACCACAGCTATGAACAGCACCCACCAAAGGAGCTGCTGCCAACTGAGGAACAGCTGCTAACACAACCACCCGAAGAGCAACCACAGCCCAAGGAGCCACTGCCACCCAAGGAGCAGCTCCTGAGTGACTCAACATCTAGATATGTCAGTGAGATCAAACATGGGTAGACAAAGAAACCCCCAAAGGAAAGAAAAGGACTTGTTACAAAAGCAGCTAAGTGAAACAGAGGCATGCAGCATGACAGAAAAAGAATTCAGATTAAGGGTCCTACAATGTATAAACCAGATGGAGGGAAAAATCAACAATTTATGCAAGAATCAAGAAGAAACGGATGAAAAAATCAACAACTTATGTAAGAATCAAAAAGAAATGCATGAAAAAATCAATAACTTATGTAAGAACCAAGAAGAAATGAAGAGTGATATAGCTGCAATAAAAAACACCATTGAAAGTTTCAACAGTAGACTAGGAGAAGCGGAGGACCGAATTAGCGAATTAGAAGACAGGGAAGCAAAACACACCCAAACTGAACTTCAATTGGAGAAAAAAATTAAAAGATAGGAGGAGAGCATAAGGGAGCTATGGGACAACAGGAAATGAAACAACATAGGAATAATAGGGGTGCCAGAACAACACAAAGAGGAACAAGGGTTAGAAAACTTATTTGAAGAAATAATATCAGAAAACTTCCCTGAGATGGGGAAGAAAACAGTCACACAAGCACAGAGAATCCCAAACAAGGTGAACCCGAAAAGATCCACACCAA